CCCTCCGCTTCCACTCCCAACTCTCGGACTTTCCTCAACCAACCACTCTTTCCGCTGCGTCCATTTGATACGGGTGACATCCAACAGTCAACTCATATCGATGTCATAGTATCATTCTACCTGCAACACTCCTCAATCTCCCCAGCGTCTTCGCGAACTCACTATGATATTCGCCCAATCGGAAATCTGCTTGATCCAATCAAGAAGATATTGATTTCCCATCAGACGCCCCTCCAATCTCGGCAGACTTGGGAAGCAACATTCCATTTCGGTGCGATTCCATAGTGCAACTCAACCGGCAGTACAATGAGCAATTTCTTTTTGTAAATTATCCCTCTCGGCTCTCAAATTCAGACACGTCCTTTCAAGTTCCTCCAACAACTCAAGTGAGATTTCATAAGATTTCTTCGACTTCTTCCTGCCCTCTCTCCCGGCTTGATATTCTGAGATCTGGCTGAAACGCATCGTTCCAAGGTACCGAAGCTGGCTTTGATATCGTTGTAGAAAGGCATCTTTGGTAGTTATATCGAGCAAGACTTCATTGAGATTGCTGGTTTGGACTCGCCGCTCATATTGAATCTTTTCCATGACTTGATGTACACTTTCATTCAACTCCACGTGAGCTTTGTCGGCTGTATGTCCTAGCTGCGGGACTTGGCTGATGGTACTCTTTGTGGTATCTTCATGGGCTCGGTATAGTGATTTCATGTATTCTAATTGGTTTTTTGCGAATGACTCTTTCTTGGCGGTAGTGGCTAGTTGTTCCCACCACCATTCCTTCGGGTCTGGTGAACTTTGAATAGTTTCTTCGAGACTGCTGGCAATTTTCTCGATCTCGCTCGTTTTCCGTTCGATGTCGATACTTAATTTTGTTTTGGCTTTGTCTATCGCACCGAAAAAGTCCTCAGATCGATCGCTGGCAATATTTTCAGACTGAAGAAGTTGTTCTAGAGCTGGATATATAGAATGGGAAAATAAACAATGGATATTGAAAAGTTGGTCATCGAAATATGTCCGCTTTACTAAGAAAAATTTTTCCTCTTCTTCAGGTATTAAACCGTGAATGGGTGTACCGGCTTTGTATTATTGAAAGTTACCAGCTTTGGCGAAACATGGTGATCCGCTGGGCTGATATGGAATATTTTCATGAGATGATGTAAGTTTATTTCCCGTTACTAGTACAACGATAATCAAAACGAAGATGCAGGCGAACCACTGTATCGTTTTACGGCCAGAGACCTTGGGTTCTGTTTCTCCGCTCAGCACACCGGCATCTGCTGAAGTATCCGAGGTATTTGACATATTGCGAGTGAGAAATTATCAGAGATATTAGGGGAGGAAAATATGACTTGGGATTGGGTATGAAGTGATTTGATGTTCTGTATCTATCTTCGTTAATTCTGGTGGAGGTGATGGCCGGCCCGTAAGTAGATTGAAGAGGGAAGAAAATCAAAAGGGGCTTGGAAAGCATAGGATGTTGAATGATTGTTGGGTGACTGATGTGAAGGAATCTTCTAACAAGAATATCTTGGTTCCTATCTAGAGTCCTATCTAAGACAGCTTTCAGGGCTTATGTTCTAGGTAATGCTGCTGTTTCTAGAGCATTCTCTTCTTTGATTGGTCGGTTCTAGGTGGTTTGAAGAATAGTTCTATTATTTTGTGATATTTCCTCCGCTACTCCACTTCCATTTTGTCAGCTCAGTAGTTGGATGGATTTTTTTTACAGAATTCTCGGCGTTTGTTCAATACATTGCTTCCTCGTCTCGTCACCTGCTTGCTACCGAAATATTGTCAGTCTGGAGATACGCATGGGTTTTCTCCAGCATTTGAGCTGGGCTACAGACGAGAAAGTTGTTTTGATTCTCAGGTGAAGGAACCTTACGTCTCTCTTGTCGTATTAGTTGACACCCTCTCATGAAATGAAACATTGTTCCAATAGCGGCACCCCCGTCTCGCCAAAAGGCGTATAATATCTCATTAATACGGCTGTCAGAAGTCTCCATGTAAGATTAGATTATTTGGAAGTTTCCAATGGGCTACCAATTTATCGGGTTTGCTTGACTAATAAACCACCCAGAATTTTTCAATTCTGACAACTCCCATCATTATAATCGAAGTAGCTATTTCTCATACAAGTGCCATTAGAAAGAATGGGAAATCTTGGCACAAATTCGGTATTTTTCGCGGATTCGCAATTAAACTTGCCCGTCAAAGAGTCTACCTCTTGGGCAGAAGAGGTGTCACATTTAAAATAAATTACTAGCTATATTATCACCACCTTTGTTCTACCATCTATTATCCTCCAATACTTAAAAGTGTTTGACTCAAGAATCTTCATATTCCACTAAGTTGTGTTGTTAGTTTGGGGGTTGTGCCGTATGCAGTATACCGTATACCGTATGCCGTATACCGTATGCCATGTGTCTATCCGTGGCTCGGGTGAGGATTCTGGTAATTTCTTTAATCTCCTGTTTCAAATTGTTCAAGTTTACCAAAGTTCCATTACCATTTTTGCTTGGTATTGCAATGGCACTAGAACTCTAATTGGATGTCGGAATGATTTAGAAAGCTCAGAGCTGAACATGAACAGTCATTGGATAAACATTTTCTCAAACGAATTCTGTTCTTCTTTCATGTCTTGAACCCAGCTCAACTTTGCGGCCGGACAATATTGAATTCAAATTCTACTTCAGAGTTGAAGATAATTTGAAAAGTTCCTTCATCGAAGCTAGGCTAGAAATGGGTGACGACTGAGAATTTTCATCGAAAATTACGTATTGCCTTTGCCATTCTTAACCAGTTTGTACGGCTACAAGGGGATATTAGACGAAAGAAGAACCACAATATAGAATGTGTGGCTAGTTCCCTGTCTTTCCTTCCTCCTCCATCTCCTTGTAAGTTCCTTTTCTTTTTTTCTATTCCTTTGTGTCTTTAAACTTGCCCCATTTTATCGTTCAAAGAGATCTATTTGGAAACTTCCACACTTACGAATCTCTTTGTTGGAATATGATAGATAGATCGGTCCAAACCCAGTAATGCGAACTTCGTCTTCTCCACCAACTCATCCTCATTCTGATCGAAACTTCATCTATCTTATTCAGAAATCATGTTTGGTGTCAATTGCATTCCAGGAAATGTCTCCATGTTTTACAACCTTGACATATCGCCATACCGGCCTTTGGAAGAGCAACAGCAGAGACTAAGATCTGTCATGATAATGATTCATCCAGACAAACAAAACAACAATAACCGCGAAGTGATATTGAATGCGACTTCTATGTTCCAAATTTTATCACCATATAGAGAAATTCTCGAAGCGGAATTTATCTTGGAAAGGTACATCAAGGACGACAGGGAACAAATACAAAAATGGGACGAAGCACGCACGAGAAGAATGCAACACCGTTATGGCGGGATGAAACCTTGGTTCTTCTCCTACAACCCTGACCCCCCCAAGTGGTTTCCAAATTGGGCAGTCCTGGTTGATTTCATTCATGGCTCCGTAAGGATTTTACCCTTTCCATCGCTGATTGATTCTTTTTGGAGCTCGAAAGTTTTTCGTGTTGGGGGGATCGGGAAATCTATACAGATGCATATGTATGATGGCGAATGTAGAGAGGTCACATTAGGTATAGATTTGAACAGATGGATTATGCCGACGTGGACATCGAGGGACTCGGGAATGGAATACACTCAGTATTGGGACATGGTGGAAGGGCGAGCTGTAGATCCTATACTGAAATATTTTTGGGAGCTTGTGTTTGTTTATTACTCTGTGATACTACTGATAATCTGGTTGCTTTTCAAGCTTCTCCGGTGCTTGTTCTTCCAGTACGTGGTTGTTGGCAAAAGCAAAGCCAGTAAGTCTATTCGCAATGGTAAAGCCCTGAAGAGGAGGAAGAGGAGGACGAGCAGAGCTCCTTATGACACCCCATCTTCGGAGAACGAAATTGACAACACTGTCTCGAATCAATCATCACAACGAACTCTCGAGAGTCCGGAATGCACAGATTTTGAAGCATAGCACGCCTTGATGTTAGTAGGGGGTATTTTACGGCGGATAGCACGTTCAAAGCGGAAGGAATACATCGAGTAGTGAGCATCATCGGATAAAGAACAGGAAAATGTAAGAAGGGAAGATTGTAGCAAGTTATGGGTTGGCTAGATTGGTTAAAATTTGATTTCGGTATTGGGTTATGGGGCTTGTGGCGTGGTTATGCATGTGCTGGAAATTTTTGATGGGCAGGAAATTTGGGGGCCGGGCGGAGCTGATTGACAAGGAAGGTGTGAGGTGGAGAAGTTGGAGGATGGAAGTGAAGAGGATCAGATTGAGGAGGTGCATGTCTCTTGATTAAGTTAGAGTTTATGGGATTAGATTTTTATTAGATGGTGTTTGGTTCGTTTTCATTTTCGAGGGTTAGAAAATATTTGTTGGTAGATTTTACTTTTGATTTCGAAACTGTCTATGTGTTTTTGATACTCATTATACGGACAAGCATTGACTGACTTAAGGATATCTATGTTGCTAAAGGGGCTAAAGAAGAACAGGGACATATATGTCACGGAGATATTAAGGGGGTCTGGGCTCTGGTAGAGGTGAAGGTGGAGGTGGATATGAATGTTAGAAAGAGGTTTTCGTGCGAGGAGTGTTTGTTGGTGGATGAGGGACAGGAATATAAGTTTAGGTGCAAGATACCAATTATGGAGTTCGAAAACTATCACACTGAGTATGTGTACCAATTGCAAAAGGATATCTATCAGATTAGCTAGGTTTTCAGATTTCTATGTGCTCCATCAAAGAAATGCGGAGATACAAGATGGAAACAATAGAATATCTTCGATCTTCATTGATGGAGTTTAATGTGCCTCTATCCTAGAGGCCTAACACCATATCTTCTGAGGCTCGACACGGCGGAGTGTTTTAAAAGTTTCAAGAGTCGTTCTAATTCAAAGTGTTTATTCCTACTCGGTCTTGCTGTTCAGATTTGTCCTTCTAACTATGAATTTTAGGCAATGCTGTATACCAGCAATGCTTGTTGCACATCTTATGACTATTTACAGCAAAGGATTTCTTTTCTGTCTCGAATCCACAACTTCAAAAGCTTTCTACATTATCTCACTTTACTTTACTCTACTCTACTTTATCCATGATGATTCGCAAATCCCAAAGGAAAGCTCGGCTGTGGAGGAAGCCGGGGCTGATAGGATACCAGTTGAGGGGATAGCACACAAATAAATAGAATATCCTGTTAGTTTAGTGATGTTCTTGGTTCATGACTATAGACTCTACTTGAATATCCAACTTGGTCTGAAAATCAACAGATGAGTACTTGGTTGGGTTTCTCCGCTTTAGCATCAAGGAGGTTCTTACTTTACTTTAATTTTCTTGAAGGAGTTTAACCGGATAATAAATAACATTTATTATTATAATTATTTATCAAAATAGTAAAACATTTAATTGCATTTAAGCTCAATGTGAAAAAATCGAATATAATGATAAATTAAAGTCAAAATAATATAACGTAACTTATGGTGAACCGGGTCATATGGGGAACCGGGTCACAAAATTCAATTCTCTCTATGTGATCTTGTTCTACGAGCTACACATTCATCCAATTCCAACTCTAAATCACTTGAACTACTCTCTGGCTCTTCTTCTTCAGTCTCCTCTTCTAATTCTTCAATTGGACGTTTACGTGGTCGCCCTCGTAGCTTTTTCTCCTTCGGTTTTTCCTCCGCCTCACGTACCATTTTCAGTACTTCCTCACTACTAAAGACAAATTGACCTTGTAATTTGACTCTTTTGCCTTTAGTTCTCTTCTTTCGAGTCTCAATTACTTCCTGAGCATCAGCGAGCTGTTTCCGAAGTAGGGCTATCTCAGCATTTTGAGATTCTACAAGCCTAGTCATTCTCTTGGTATATCGACGAGTTGGTGATGCAAGAGAATCATTATCTGCTAGAGCTTTATTAAAGGTTTGATTTGCTTGCCTTAGCTTTGTCCCATCTGGAGGAGAGCTCCTGAGTATAGATAAGTCTAGATCTTGATTGGACATTCTCATTTGTGGAGTAGAAGGTTGCTGGGAGGAGTTAAATGGTAATGAATCGAGTATTTTTTATAGGGCAAAAGGTACTAAACCAGCTCCTCTTCAATTAGCTTTAATATTAGAAGAATTCAGTGCTTTTTTTCTAATATTTTGAAAGAGTTCTACCCATTCAGCTCTTTGAATTCGCTTTACACTAGCTCGAGAATATCGATCGACCTCTAAAGCATGATATCGTTTCATTGGCCCATATATCGCAATATCAAGTGGTTGAAGCAAATGGGAGCAATGAGGAGGTAATATAAGTAAATCGATTTCCTTCTCTATACAGAAAACAATAAAGCTGCCTGTAATATGATTTGAATGGTTATCCATGATCAAAAGTCGAGGTCGGTCACCTGATACTTTCTTGGATTCTGGTTCGAAAACCCTTTTTAGCCATTCTAATCCATGACTATTTGAGGTCTATCCATTCGTACTCGTAGAAAACTGCCAGCTTTGAGACATGTCCTTTGGAATCCATGTAGAATTCGTACTCTGAGCCTTGAAAATGATTATAGATAATAGAGCCTTTCCAATTGTATTGACATATTCAAATACAGTTATCCATTCTTGCTTGCCAGCTGTAACTTTCCAATTCGATTTCTGAGTAGAATCGACTATAATACACGTACTTTGAGTATTTCCAATTCCAAATCCGGTTTCGTCTATATTATACATATCATCTAATTCATACTTTCGTTTAATGAGATATATACGAAATGTATCAAACCAAGCCTGAATATTCTCTGGAGTTGTCTCTTTAGTCCGATTAGACTCTAATTGATATGAATAGTATGTTTTAAGTTCTGGATGTCGTTTTTGGAATCTATAGATCCATTCGTGGCCTATAGGTGGAATTTCTGTCGAGGTAGGAATTCGAGATGACGCGACCTGAACGCGTCGAAGACGAATTTCGTCGGCCATTTCCTTCACCAACATAGGTGTAGCAGGGAATCCAGTGATAGTAAGTCGTGAAATCCATCGTACAAGAGTATTTTCTTCTGCGTTTGAAAGAATTTGAGCCATTTCGTAGGATTGAGTACGTGATTTCCTTCCAGCGACTCTAGCTATGAGAGTTGACTTAGGAACTTCAAAATACTCTGCAGCCTTTCTAATTGATTTAAAGTCCTTCAATTGAAGTGCAATAATAGCATTCTGTATCTTCTCTTCAATTTGAGAAGGCGTAAGAGGTGATTCGGTATGCATAGCAAAATTTGTTGGGGTTTGAAGTCAGTGATGGGCTAAATGTGACCCGGTTCCCCATATGACCCGGTTCACCATAAGTTACGTTATAATAAGATTTTTATTATTTTTTCAGTTTGATTTTTCAAAGGCTTTTTCGAGAAAAACTTTTTGTTACGAGGTTTGCCGTCTAGATCACGTGGAAGTGCTCTAGGCTCTCGAAGTAGGTTTATAACTAGGCGTCAAGCAGGGACTTGAAGTAATGACAATAATGATATGCAATTCGTAACTAATAGTAGAGTATACTAAATGATTGATCTTGAGCACGAAGCTCTATACAAAAGAAATCCATCTTGATTATATAGTCCTTCGTGCCTATGGTTAACTAGGAATCGTCGTTCCTGGGAACGAGCGTTCCTGGTTGTTCCTAGGAACGTTCGTTCCTCACCGTTCCATCACATGTTTTATGGTCATGTGACATACTAATCGTTTTGGACGTAACACTTTTATATTTATAGTTTATAAGAAAATTCTAGTATATTCTATGATTAAAGATAAAATAAACTTAAATCGAATCTTATAAGATAATTTCATATAATAAAAAGAAATAATAACTAATAATATTCCATCCGAAAGATAAAAAAATTCAATATGTTTTTATTTCATTCTATTGTAACGATACTATACTGGAGGCAGCGGCTGCCTAAGGTTTCGTCTGGTTGGTAGTTATGGGTTAAGGCTTTATCATTGGTATTCACTTGAAAGTGAATTCGTTACTAGATCAAGTAGAATTTAGGTAAACTAATTGATAACTAAGTTGAGCACGAAGCTCCTAAACTATGAAACTACTCTGACTATATAATGATCGATAAAGGGAGCCCCCAGGAGCTTTGAGGGCTTCTAGGGCTCCTTATCACGTGATTTCTGATGGTGCGTGCGCATACGATCTTAAGGTGACCAAGATCACATACTAATTCGATGAAATCTGATCGTGTTTGCACAAGGCCTAAGTTCTCCTAATTAATCAGTTTGCTACCATCGTAACACCATCAAACCTAATGGTGAATCGTGACATCTATTCCCTTTTAAATCAACTTGATATAATATATAATCGAATTCTCATACGATAATAAAATTTAATAATATATAATACTATTATTGACACATTACGTGATCATCTCATCATTGGTTAGGCTAATAATTATCAAGTGATTTAATAACTCATTAGAGAATCTCACAACTTTGCAAGTATTTTCCATATTGCGATTGATAAATGCATGAATATCTATAGATGACCACAAAGAAATGCAAGACAAAGACAATCACTAGAACATGCCAAGATTCGAGGGTCAGGACTCGATACGAAATATGATTGGAAATATGAAAAGTGTGGAGGATAGATTCTACTTTGTAGAGTACTAGGTGTACTGAGTATCTTTCTTCTCATATCCTTACACGTGAAACTACTAGGTCTATAAGACTTGATGGGATTTGACTCGATGATCATACTTAGAGTACTAAATCAATGTATGCATTAGCTACGAAAAGTTATAGGAAAAACCCTTCCCCAAAAGCACTCCATTCAATAATCTTCCCATATTTATCTTCTCAATACCTTTATTATTCCCCTAGATTTTACCATGGAAACCTAATCAGACTGCGCATGCATCAGCCGTCGTTAAAGATTAATGATGTCTTTGCCCATCAAATTCTATGCGGGTTTGACTTTCCAAAACTTGACTTGACTTGCCGCGCGGCATGTTGTCGGGTCGACTCGGAATTTAAAACAACTCATACAATACCTAGTCCGAGAAGACAAGGAGAGCTTATATAGGGTAATTCTAGTATATGGGATCCCGCAACAACCATAAGTACAGCACCGAATTCCGAGGCTCTGATTTTTCGAATACGACTAATCGAACATGAATAACCTCAAACACCTTCGATGAAAATCACGATAATTTCAACAATCAATTATTCGATAACTAATCGAGCGCAAATCTCAACTTTTATATATTTGGAGATAAAGCTAGCCGAAAAATAGAAGGAGAGGTAAGATCTTACTCTCCTTTTTTTTGGCTTTTTTTTTCATGGATTTTCTTTGGAGATTTGCCTGTGCATTACCCCATTTATTAATTACACTCGTCAAAGCTCCGAGTTAGGAAAGTAGCTCAAGTGTAATAGAGAGATATATACAATATCAGCAGGACTCCTCTTCTGTTATAAATCCCATTTGAAGTTAGTGGCTTATTAGTGTAGAAGTCCTTCAAAATCATAGCTATCTTTAGAAACTTCAAATTATTTTAGCATTAGTCTTGCTCGGTTGTTGAGAGGGGGAGAAGTCTGATAATAGTGGAACCACTGATGTTAGCGTAGCGCCTCACTAACAAAAACAATTCCCCTTTCCTCTCCCCCTTCCATCCATCCATCCATCCAATAAATCTACATTGTACCTACTACATTCCATAAACTAACAACCAATATTCTTCCCTCACCCCTTTCCCCTCTCCCACCTCCCCTCAATCTCCTACCAATTACAAAACTGCACCATCACCATCACCATCACCATCACCATCACCAAAACCCACTCCTTCTCTTTCAAATTTCAACTTTCAAGCTCAACTTTCAATACAAATCAAATTTCAAACCGACAGATATCGCGAAATCTTATGTCCAAATCCAAATCCAAATCCAACACTTCCAACAACTCCTTCAAATTGTAGTTTATAATGACCCAGATGGATATTGAAGATTGGTGGAGAGGGAGAGAGTGGATGAGATTTTTAAAGACGGTTAGAAATAGAATAGAATAGAATAGAATAGAATAGTAAGTTACATAGATATTATTATTTAGATTAATCTTATATGAATTTTTTAGATCAAAACTACTCTGCTGTCTTCAATATCTATTATTAGTTGTTTATATATAGAGTTTAATTGTTTCTATTTTTTCTTGTGTGTATATATAAGAGGTATTAATTATATTTTATTTATTTCATTTTATTTTATTTTATTTTATCATATCAAAAAAATCATAATCTATTTTATTTGAACAAAGCAGAATGAAAAAGGAAATAAAACAAAAGAAAAGAAAAAATAAAGTAACCACATATGTATATAACCAACAGAATTTTATCCATCAATCCAGTTTTCCAGTCTTGTGTTTCCCCATGTTCCCCATCCCATCCCATCCAATCCCCATCCCCATCCCCATCCTCACCCCAGTCCCCAAATGGTATCGTATGGTATATGACATCAAACTCCAAAAACCAAAACAAACAATCAACGGAAAACTATCATAAATCAAACAAGGGTATCCAGTACCTCCGTATTACCATGCATCTCCTGTTTCTCTCTCTCATCAGCCTCCTCTTCCTCCTCCAAAAATCCTAATCCACTATCATATCTTCTCTTCTTTTTCTTTCCACTAGCAGCCACACCGCCACTTGATCTTCTTGTTAATCCTGCATCCAAATATTGACCTTTCCTCACGACCGGGGCTTTAACTTTCAAGTCCCTTGAAAGCTCCCCAGCTTCTGTCTCACTAGATTCATCACCATCGCTCTCCACATATCCTCTTCCGATATCCATTATACTAGCGAGTTGTTTCCTCATTCCCTCAACCACCTTCTTTCCCCTTTTCTTTTCCCTGTTGACTTCTCCCTTCAATTTCTCTGCGCAATTCTCGAGATCTTCGTTTTCAGTTTTCAAATCAGAGTTTTCTTGTCTCAAATTCTCAACGGCCTTTTGCGTATTCTTCAAAATAAATGTCGTTCTTTCAAGCTCTTCTTGAAGTTCTGTAATCCGGTCATCACGCTCCATTAGTTGTTCGCTCATTCGACGATCAGAGAGAAGTATTTGTCCCTCTTTCTCATTGAGGAGATTTTGAAGTGTAGTAGAAGCATTCAAAGCAGCTGTTAGTCTTGTCGAAAGTTCGCCAACTATCATATTCTTCCCTTCAAGTTCCACAGCAAATGCGTTCGATCTGAAAACTTCACGTTGAAGTTGATCATCCAAATTGTGTATTCCACGTTTCAAATCATCTTCCACAGCTTGATGTTCTTTTTCGATCCTCTCGACTAGGTTTTCCAACCCAGAGACCTCGCTTCGATATCCATTTAGTGCACTTTGGAGACGTGAATTTGAGACTTCATTTTCGGCCACTTCTTTACTCATCCGAGAAACAGCAGTTGAAACAGCTGACAACTCTTTCTGTACATCATGCAAAGCATCAATACGAGCGGTTAGTTTTTGGCGAAGAACGATTTCTTGCTCATGATATTGGTCGATGGTTTCATCTTGTTTCTTTGTTTTCTCAGCCAGATTCTTGAGTCGTTCAAGTAGCATACTGAGGAGTTTGTCATTTTCGAATCCTTCGGTTACTTCTCCAGGGGTAAGATACTCAAGCTCGAGTCTTGCTTTACGGAATTGCTCGACAATGATTTTGATAGTCATCTCAGGATCGGTAGAGAACCCCAGCGAGGTTACCTCAGTTGAAAGAGCATTAAACGATGCTTCCTTTTCAAGAACCTGAGCCTGGGCAATAGTAAGAGTCGTGAGAACGGAATCGAGAGCCGAATCAAGAGTTGAGTTATCATGAGATTGGTCCGATGAAATGTACGATGATAACTTTTGGAAAAGACGGGATTCATGATCTTTGTTGAGTGCCAAGGCGGAACTGAGACTCTTAATTTCAGATCGTAAGTCAAGAAGTTGTGCTTCAAGCTTTGCGTTAAGAGGATCCGGAAAGTTTGCTTGTGTCAAATTCGATGAGAAGGAAGGCTTTTGGGAGGATGTATCAGCTATTGTGGCAGGTGGCGAGGGGAATGAAATGTTGTGTTGAGTGGACGTGTTCAATAGATCACCCGGCTTGGAGAAGGGGCCGTTAAAATTCATCATATTATGGTCTTCATATGAAGAGTCGATTACCATGCCAGTATCATCTTCCTGTCTGTCCAAGGTTTGGTGATCCCCATCCACACTCATATTGTGATCATCATCATCGAAATCAAATGGATCTTGAGTTCCCGTTTGCCAGTCATGGTGAGCATCGGAACGTTTTTCCTTTTGTGATAATTCTTCCTTGAGCTCTCGAATCTCTCTTTCCATTTCTTGAAAATTTTCCACCATAGTGAGGTTTGGAAGAGTCGATGTGCCAGCCTCAAACCCGAGTTGGCTTGCGACGTCATGCTCATCCTGTATGCACTGTAATTCATAATCCTTTTCCTCCAATTCCTTCCTCAGTCGAAAGATTTCCGACTTTCTTGCTTTCGCCTCATGTTTTTTCTCCCATTCTATCTTATTGGTTTCCTCACTCAGTCCATTCCTCCTCATACGTCTCGTAACTCGGCCATCCAAAACTTGTCGTAGTGGGGCAAACTGTAATTCTCCGGAGAATGGCTCGTTGTCCTGCCGACGATCGAGTAGACGTTTTATTGGTGCTGAATGTCGACGATTTGATTTCGCAGAAGAAAGAGAAGTCTTTCGAAGAAATGGTGTCAAGCCAGAAGATGATTGAAGAAGATTTGGTCCTGGGTCAGAAAACCTTACCTTCTTATTGGATCTTCTTGATTTGGGTGTTGCGGGAGGAGGTATCGATACTTCTATGGAACGCAATGTAGAAGCTTGAGTATTTGATCGTGATAGAATTTCTGCTCCATTGCAACTTCTTCTCTTTCTCCGAAGAGCAATAGGTTGATCATCCTCCATGGCCATTACCACGTCGTTCTCCGCCATACCTCCGATAAACATATGTTTGTTTATCTTGATCAACAACCAAATTTTCAATCTCTGTGGAAAACAAAGTGAATACTGCACAGTGTATGGGATTGTAAGAAAGTGCTCGATGCTTCGTAGAGTCATAAACAAAAATACAAAGCAATAACCAACTGGCCACACAGTTTGATATTGTGTTAAATGGAAAAAGGTTGATGAATGGATGGATATTCTCCATTCATATTATATGTACTGTAAGTCTTATCGAAATCAACATAAATTGAATTGTTTACATCCTACCGTATTAGTCTTAGCGTGGTTGTTTCTTTTTTTTTATACCCCACCGTATCAAAAGTTTGGTTGGATGACAGAGCGACAAGTTGATGAACACGAAAAAAGAGCGTGATGAGATACAGCCTGGTAACATGGTGTGTTGACTCATGAGTGGAGAGTCGAACGGCTTTTAAGGTAGCAGTCAACCCAATGAACCCAGTGAATCTGTAGAGCTCGCTCTCAATGGTACTGTTCGTCCGTTACTACAGGGCTGCAGCTGGATCCACGATATTAGTTCAGACGGGCTGTCGGTGTCAAGAGCATGGGGTAAAAGCTTCCATGACTCCACTGAAAATCCGAATGTCAATTTCTAACTACTAGGTAATCCTTGTAGAAGATTTTGAGGGTATTTAGATGTTAACATTATTGATGTCGTTGGGAGTAAAGGAGAAGATGCTGAAAGGGATATAAATCCGCCCCCCTTGAATAAGCTTCGGTAAATTGATCTTCTAACAAAATCCTAACCTTTGTTTCTAGATTAGGTCATATCAAAAATGAATTGGTGGATATCCCTTCCAGTGAACCAAGTGCTTTAGGCGTACCTACATTGGCGTTGGGTATTTCCCTGCAGACATGACACATCACACTATAATTTTGAATTACAACTTTTCCAATAAAGCACCCTCACCACAGTCCGGAGAAAAAATACCCGCCTCATACCAAGCTCTCCCTCGTAGGGCTACAATCATCTAATCACCTTCATCCTCATCCAAATTCCCACATCCACCACTTACTTATATATGCATGCATGAATACCCCACAACAAAAGATCTATTCTCCTATCGAACCTTTCTAGAAGCAAATTCAAGATCCATAACTCTATTTTTTGCTCAAGAACCATCCAGTCTTCAATCTAGATGTTCTATTATGAGAAAGCTTGCATTTCGAGGAATTTTCCATAGCTACCTATGTAGGTAGTCTACAACCAGATGGACCTTTCTTTGTAAGACTTAGATGCAAGATCAAAAAAAGATTCTCCCATTATGATCATTTTGTAATTGATCTTCCCACGTACGGGTGTAAGTAATACTATCCATTCTTTATTCCATTCATTCTATTATATGAATTCTCTGATATAAATCTTTCAATTCTCTTTCTCTGTTCCCTTCACAGCGTGCTATGGTGATGCACATATCTTGACCTCTCTAATTTCCCACTACAGTATTTACGATCCAAGTGCGCCAATATCGCCATCAGTGACCATCACTGACGACTCGCTTGATTGGTGGTGATGTCTCTCCCGTTCTGCACTTCTGCTCTTATCCATGTTGCTGAATGAGAAACTGTTTTGGGCTCAAGATTAGGAGTTCTAATTTTTCCTGCTTTGTTTGGTGCGAAGCCCCCAAATGACGAGCTAAATGATCATGATATTTGATTGTTCCTGCTGTAATGTAAAGCTATCCAATACTGCAACTACCTATATTCCACAAAGGAGGAAACTCCCGTGTCAGGAGAAATATGAAGGAAACCAAGTAAAAGCCAACCATTAACCACAAAACCGCCAAATGAAAAAAAAAAAAAAAAAAAAAAAAAAAAAATATATATATATTTGAAAAATGAAAACCCCCCTATCCAAACCATCAAACCCAACTTTCAGACTATTCCAAAAAAACCTAACACTAGAGGATCCGGCTTATAAGGATCCCTCTGATCGCGATACGGGAACCGACGACACAAAAACCATTTCGCAATTCAATTTGGGAGTCCGCCAATGGCTCCCCTAAGTTTCAATAATAGGCTGTTAGTTCCGAACCGCTCATCACAGCAAAAGTTTCAGCATCCGATTTTAAATGATTCATAAGGTCTTCTTTGGTTTGAAACATCTCTAGTGGAAGCAACGGTGCAGTTGAAGTTTGATTTCTTCTAGGTCTTAGTATTGTTGCGTTTTGAGTCTGACTATCCTGGGCCTGCGAACCCCAGTTTAGCATGCATATTCTTTTCTGTTCCAGTTATAGACTCAACCGTTCTGCAAAACATCTCAAAATCTTGCATTAATTCTTCTTTCTCTGCTAACATCTTTTGACAAAACGTAACCTGACATCATCCTTTCCGTGCGTCAAGCTCTTCTCTTTAGCCATCTCCCGACTGCCGAATTCTAAATTTTGATGAGTTGTTCTCGAATGATTCCGATCGGGCTGGCCGTATTGGGTTTGCTTTCAATGGCGAGCAAGAATTGTTTTCAATAGGCTTCCCTTTCGATGAATCGATCATGGACCGCTCATTTATTCCCAATTTTTCTCTCGTAATACCTACCAGACTGATGACGGCATGGCGTTCTAAACAAACCCACATTGGAGTTGGAATTGCCACAAGTACCAGCGTTGAGAAGCTGCCAAACCCGGCTTCAATGGCCACGGAATTGGCAACAATTGGCATCATGCGAAGCCAATCGGCAAACGAATCGGCAGAGAGGTTGGAGCTTAGATCTTCCTTTAGTCTAACACTTATGAGAATCCTGGGCAATCGTTGCTCAGTGGAGAGAACGCTCAATATAGAGGATGAGCTAGATCTTTCTCCCGAATCCGCTATTGCATTGGTCGAAAGTGAAGTGGGGCTACCAGTTCCAATCGATTGTATTGGACTTGTTGGAACTACAGATCTCGGTTTTACAGAAAGCTGTATACTTGAAGGTAAGGCTATATTCTGGGTCAAAACAATATGCAGTGGAGCCTTTTGCAATTCCCATCCAGCAGGCATCCAATTATGAATTCGACATAACACTCTGTTATACAGAACAGCCGCGGTAAATTTAGGATGTGAACTCAACAAACGCAGTTCTGTTATCAAAGCACTTGTAAAGGAGTGAGGGCCAACACCATTCGCAACATCATTGAACCCACAAGCCGCAATAAGCTCTGTCGTTCCACAGCCGTCTCCTGTGTTTGCAGTGCCCGAGGAGCAAAAATCAAGTAACAGTAGAACATCAGATTGTGCTTCCTCTAGCAAATTTTGAATGCCGCTCCATTTGACCATGTTGTAGCTCGGGTCTCGAGGATCTGGACGACTGCAAAGCTAGTCAACTTCTAGAATGCAGGTAATAATAATTTCCAACCAAGTAGAGCCAGACACAAATTCAGACATCTAAGACATCTAAAGGCCATTTTGAACTTGAAAAATGTGAGGTTCTTAGAACTCCAAGTCGAAATTCGATAACACGAGAAAGCAAAAACTTGTCAAACTATCAACTAAACCCATATTTTGGCCCATATTTGAATGCTGTGTATGCGTGCAACAGTAATACCTACTGCGTATCCTTGGTGTTCATCATACCAAAGGAGATTTAATGCAAAGAAAACCAGGAGAATACACTTGTATATAATCAATATTGGCCGAAGGGGTCATGTTTGCGCAATATAATGCTGAGCCGACGGTAAGGTAAGTATAGTGAAAATTTCTTGATTGACATTGACAAAGTAGACGTGGGAAGTAGAGTATGTATGTAGTAGAGTAGGAGAGTAGGTATGGTATGTATACTCGTGTATTCATAGCTCAACCCCCACTTTCCCCATACAGATTCACCCCCACCCAAGATCCTACTCTGAAATCAGGCTGAAGACAATTTACCCCTCCTTCCTCATATGACCTCACTAATTTCCTTCTCGTAAGAAAATCTTCATTTCTACGACTTTGAAATTTCTTACAATCTTCTATTTACTCCATTACTTCTCTACTCCTTAACCATCAAAATAAACCTCACAATGTCTCTTGAAGCAGATTTCGAGTTCCTTTCCTTGGGAGCCATCATTCAAACTTTCCTAGTCCCCACTAAAGACAAGCCATTGAATATCGTCCAATCATTTCCCACCGCGGAGCTATACCAGAAATACAACCAACCATTTTTTGGTGAAACGATCGGAAGAGTGGCAAATCGTATTTCGAATGCGAAAATCAATTCTTTGAATGGAAAGTCCTATGCTCTTGCGCAGAATAATGGTGTGAACGCATTACATGGAGGAATAAATGGATGGGGTAAACGCGTTTGGCAAGGTCCGAAATTGGTTGGCACCAGACAGATTCCCGGCGTTGAGGGATTAGAGGGAGGAGAAAGTGTGCAGTTTACTTTGAAGGATGAGGATGGAGAGGAGGGATATCCAGGAACTTTGGATGTTAGTGTGGTTTATACGACCGGAAAACAAAAGGTTGATGGCAAGGAAGTCAGAGTTTTGGCTATGGAATATGAGGTTAAATTGGTCGATGATGGAAAGGGAGTGGAGGAGACGGTTGTTAATGTTACCAACCACTCGTAAGTAATATTTGTTCAAAGGAACTAGTGTTATGATTATTGAGAAAAGAACTAATTCAAAATCACGACAGATATTTCAATCTAAGTGGTAAATCGACAATCGAAGGTACACAAGTCACATTATGCACAAACGAATACTTACCAGTTGACGATGGAGGAATTCCTACTTCGGGACCAAAAGCATATGAGAGCATTACACCCAACAAAGAATTCACATTGGGACCAGAGGAACCAAATGTTGATGATTGCTTCATCGTGGATACTAAATCCGAGTCAATTCCCCTCGACACACGGTCTTCTCCTCTCACCACATTAGTAAAAGCTTCTCATCCAGAAACTGGTATTCATCTAGAAGTTTTGAGCACGGAACCCGCATTCCAATTTTACACTCGGAAAATATATCGATGTACCAGCAGTTGAGGGACTCGAGGCAAGAGGGGCCAGAAGTGGTTTCTGTGTTGAGCCAAGTCGATATGTTAATGCGATCAATGAGGAGAAATGGAGAGGGCAAGTGGTGCTCAAGAAGGGAGAAGTATATGGAAGCAGAGTCGTTTATAGGGCTTGGTCTGAATAAGGAAGTCAATTTTTGGATATCAATGGGAGGATTTTTGAAGCAACATTCTATGTGCAAAAGTTATTTGGCTCGTACCTGATTTGAGCTTTTATCAGAACAATACCATAGCATTGTTAATATTTGATGTTGAGTCAGTTCAGGGGAATGCATGGCATGTGAAGAATCCGGTAAAACATATGGAGCTAGTAACTAACTCTATATTCAAGTTTCTTGTTTGTGTTTCAAAGCTCACAATCAAAGGCCGAGAACGGTCACGTGTATCTATGCACTGAGATGTACCTCGGCATCCGGAGTCGGCGGTAAATGCAACCGGTCAGTTCTTCACATGCTAAATACGACACATCAACCAATCAAATGCAACGAAATTGTAAGATTGAGTGCACATGAGGTGTTTCTAGAAGGCAGGTGATACAATTGAGATGTAAAAGATGGAGAAAATCCGGGGTGGGCACAATTTAAAAGCATATTAGATTACCCAGTTGGTAGCGGAAAACGGGGTGCAGCTGAATCAAGAAACGCATGCGATGTGTGTTTAGAGTGAGTGAGTGACATGTGAAAGAGGAAACGAAAGCGAATAGACTCCGAACAATCAATAAAACATCTCATTCTCCAAACTTCACTTACCTCTCTCCTTATTCACTTATTCTCTTGTTCTTCCTATTCCTACACTATATAGAATAAATAAACACCATTGTATAACACATAATCATACAAACGCGAATCAACTCATTAAGAAATATGTCGAAGACTTTCAGTCAAAGCGACGTTGCATCGCACAATAAGCCTGATGATCTCTACATCATCGTAGATGAAGATGTTTACGACCTCACCAAATTCCCAAGACGACCATCCAGGTGGAAAAAAGATCCTCACAAGAGTCGCTGGGAAAAGATGCTTCAAAGCAATTCTGGAAATATCATAATGAAGGAATTCTTAAGAAATACAAGGCAAAGCTACAAGTTGGATCATTAGACACAAAGAAAGCCGCGGCACCACCAACGCCACCCGCCACTCCTCCACCAGCAAAAGAGGCTGTTAAACCACAGGCCGAAAGTGGTGCGGTTGTGCCGGTTCCAGCGAATGATGCGAAACAGGCCGTAGACGAATCGGAACCCTTGGATCCCTATGGTGATTTGATTCCTTTTGGAGATCCGTCGTGGTATCAGGGTGTAGGTTTTCCAATCTTTCATGAATCTGCGAATAATGCTAATGGGATAACAGTATCACTCACCATATTTCAATGAGACGCACGCTGCTCTCCGTGAAGAAATCCGCGAATGGGTATCTGCCGAAATCGAACCAAATGTTGGTGAATGGGACGAAGCTCGAAAGGTTCCTGATGAAATTTATAAACAAATGGGTACTCGAGGATATCTAGCCGGGTTGATGGGTATGCATTATCCAACTCAGTATACTCAGAATAGAATCAAGAGTGTGCCACCTGAGAAGTGGGATTTATTCCATGAGATGCTTCTTACCGATGAATTGTCGCGTGCGGCAAGTGGTGGATTTGTTTGGAATGTTATTGGTGGATTTGGAATTGGTTGTCCGCCTTTGGTTAAATTCGGAAAGAAACCTTTGGTGGAGAGAATTCTGCCAGGTATTTTGAATGGTGACAAGAGGATTTGTTTGGCTATTACTGAGCCAGATGCTGGTTCTGATGTGGCCAATTTGACCTGTGAGGCAAAATTGACAGAAGATGGAAAGCATTATATTGTTAATGGTGAGAAGAAATGGATCACCAATGGTGTTTGGTGTGATTATTTCACCACTGCTGTTAGAACTGGAAAGGATGGTATGAATGGTGTCAGTGTTCTCCTTATTGAGAGATCTGCTGGTGGTGTTAGCACCAGAAAGATGGATTGTCAAGGTGTTTGGTCTAGTGGAACTACATATATCACATTTGAGGATGTGAAGGTTCCAGTTGAGAATCTTATTGGAAAAGAGAACCAGGGATTCAAAGGTACATTTCATCATCATCTCCCCTTTAGCATCTACTAATATTATCATAGTCATCATGACAAACTTCAATCACGAAAGAATCGGTATAATTATCCAATGCCTCCGCTTCTCCCGCGTCTGCTACGAAGAGAGCGTAAAATACGCCCACAAGCGTCGCACCTTTGGCAAGAAACTCATTGATCACCCGGTCATTCGTCTTAAGCTTGCTCACATGGCTCGTCAAATCGAAGCTTCCTACTCTTGGCTCGAATCCCTCATTTACCAATGTTCAAAGATGGGAGAGACAGAAGCTATGTTAAGACTAGGTGGACCAATTGCAAGTCTCAAAGCTCAAGCTACCGTCACCTTTGAATTCTGTGCAAGAGAAGCCAGTCAAATCTTCGGAGGTCTGAGTTATAGTCGTGGTGGTCAGGGTGGAAAGGTCGAGAGACTTTATAGAGATGTAAGAGCCTATGCTATTCCGGGTGGAAGTGAGGAAATTATGCTCGATTTGAGTATTAGACAGAGTTTGAGGGTGGGAAAAGCATTGGGTATGAAGCTGTAATAGGGATATGATGTGTGAGGCGGCAAAAGCTTGTAATTTCGTCGTGTTTGCGCTAGAAGGAGGTTAAAGTGAAGTCTTTGTATATTATTGGCTTGCATCAAGATTGGTGCTTTGGGTTTTGATACTGGGATCGGTCAGTGCTTGGGATTGAGGATTGTGGTTTTGAGGAGAATATTACAACATTACATTATATTATATCTATAAATTGAATCTTGATACAGTCTAGAACTTTGGTTGTGTCTAGACGTATATTCATATTCGATACCCCGGAATACACGGAGTACAACAAGTGATTTGCGGAGATTGGATAAGGCAACAGTTGAAGTAACACATGATTTTCTCTAGGAGGTTTTTCGGACGTGTAGTTTTTTGGTTTGTTTGTTTGTTTTTTGAAAGCTTTTTTTACTTGAGTTGTGAACTTGTGGTATTTTCAAGATTTTTGATGGGAATGGGATGGGCAGATGGTATTTTTTTGATTTCTGGTGTTTTGTGTTTTGTGTGTTTATGAAGTCAATGTTTCTGGAGAATTGGAGGACTGGTCGTCCTGGATATTTTTTATAATATAGCAATATTTTGATTTTTTTTGTGTTGGAGCTATGTGAAATGGATGGTGTATATTATGCTTTTCTATTGCTATTGATATTGCTATTGAGATGGTGGAGTTGGTGGAGATCTTAATTGTATGGTTATGATATATTCTAAGTTTTTCTTTTGTCAATGATATATTTTGGTGAAGGGGGGGAAGGGGAGGGAAGGAAATTGGGCAAAGCCAATTGGAAGTACATGTCCTATGGTTGTCCATTCAATATATACTTTTATGAGTTCCCCTTCATTCTTCACATAGTTCATGTCGCGTTTCACTTCCTCTCTCCCTTTCGTCGCTTAAGGGAAACTAGAGAAACGGAACATTCTCCATTCACCTATGCAAATCTTGATAACTGTAGGAATGTTTTCTTCATTCCGATGATACTATACAAACTCCAATGAATCGAAGACAAATAAAACATTGTCTATGGTAAGATTACCACTTGACAAAAGTCTAGAAGTCTCCCGAGCAAATATGAAGATCATAAGAATGTATTCTAACCCTGTTTTCCCCAAGCTCATTCTTCCAGTTATCTTATATTGCATTTTAATCAGTTCACTCGTTTCTTCCCATTTATTCTTCTCCTTCGTTCCTTCATCTTTTTGGAGTTTGAAGATATTTCATAATGGCATCCTCATCACTCTTTCTGAGATGCCTTACCATTTTCACTTTCATAACGAGCATTACTGCACTCGAGAAGTATCAGCTAGAAGAAAAATATAGTGGGGATAATTTCTTCGATGCGTTTAATTTCTTTACGGCTCCGGATCCTACTCATGGTTTCGTTACGTATGTTAGTGAGAGTGCTGCTTCACAACAGGGATTGATTTCAGTGAGAAGTGATGGCGTTTATATGGGAGTGGATTTTAAGACGGTGTTGAGTCCTAGTGGAGCTGGGAGAAATAGTGTTAGGATTGAGAGTAAGAAGAGTTGGACTCATGGACTTTTTGTCGCGGATTTGGGTCATGTACCTGGTGGTGCTTGTGGATCATGGCCGGCTAGTATGTTGATGATTTGGAGAATTGGGATTGCTTGATGGACTAATATTTGCTTTTAGTGTGGACGGTGGGTGATAATTGGCCTTATAATGGTATGTTATGTTCGGTCTATGGAAGGATCAATTTTTAACACGAATTGTAGGAGAAATCGATATCATCGAGGGCGTGAATCTTCAAAACCACAATCTCATGTCTTTACACAGGTTAGTCTCACCACTCGTAATCCCACTGGAAGGAAGCCTAGCTAATTAATGAACAAATACAGTGGACCAACATGTTCAGTAGCCGGTTCAGGACAAACCGGCACCCTTCAAAGCGCCAACTGCAACAACTTTGCCAATCCCGTCGGCGTCGGTTGTGGAATCAGTGATCCCCGAACCAACAGCTACGGTACAGGATTCAACCTCAACGGTGGTGGTATTTACGCCATGGAATGGACCTCATGCTACATTCGTGTATACTTTTTCCCAGCTGGAACATCACCTGCAGATATTAACGGAGCAAACCCTGATCCGAGTAAATGGGGAACACCAGTGGCTAATTTTCAAGGTGATTGTGATATCGATAGTCATTTCAGGGAAAATAGATTGATTTTCGATACGACTTTTTGTGGTGATTGGGCGAGTGCTGTTTGGTCGAGTGATGCTACTTGTGGATCAAAGGCACCAACCTGTGTAGATTATGTTGCGGGTAATCCAGCGGCTTTTGGTGATCAGTAAGTTTTGCTTTATTTTTTTTAAGATTTCTCTCCTTTGGCTTGATGGGAGTGAAGATGAGAATGCTGATATATATCATGAAATTAGATACTGGTTAGTCAAATCAATCAGCGTATATCAACTTGGCAATATCGCTACTCCGGAACCATCAAGCACTCCAGTTTCAACATCAGCACCATCACCAGAACCAGCACCATCCTCCAGCATTTCACCAGTGCCACTGCCCTCCCCTGTCAGCTCACAATCACAAAATTCTCCTGCGCCAGTCGTCACGCCCTCAACTCCAATCAATACACCCACCGCCCAACCTTCATCTGGATCCAACGGTAATTCAGCAACCCAACCATCATCTCAGCCTAATGGCAACCCAGTCGCAGAAATCAACCCCACTTTCAGCCAACTTTCCGATTTCACCGGAAACATCCAAGACTTCGGAGAAGAAAGTAAGCTCCCCACCCCCAACCCCAATTTACATCACTAAAAGTAAACATCCACTAACACCCCCCACCACCCACACAGGAACCAACTTCCTCACCAACATTTTACCCACTCCCCCCGCCCTTCCCAGCGTCTTCCCCGCAGGCGAACTCCTCGGCGTCGGATCCGGCGTAATTCCAACTCTCGATCTCGATATTAATGCGGAGAATTTTTTGAATGCGGCGAAAGAGGAACTTAATGGGCAGTTGCAGGGGTTGATTAAACAGGCTGTGGGGTGGAGTGGTGATGATTATGGGGCGACGGAGTCGCCTTCGGATATGGATGCCGATGCGGATAATAGGGGTACGGGTACGAGTCGCATTGTTTCGAAACCGTTTTATCCTGATGAGGCGGGGAATGTGAATGCGACGGCAGGATCAGTGGCGAGTCCTAAGCCGGTTTTGAATTTAGGTAGTGCTGCTGGTGGTGGTGGTATTGGTGGGGCGAATGATGGGATTGTGGCGTTTGAGGGGGGTGCGAAGGAGCTGGTTTGTGCGGGGTTGTTGGTTTGGAGTGTGGTTTTGTTTGTGGGGGGCTTGATTATGATTTAGGTTTTTATAGTAGGGGGAGGGTAGGAGGGGGATTGTGGTTTGAATGATATGTTTTGTGGGATATTGTGATGATTTGGTTTTGCTTATGGGGGTGGAATTACTGTCATTTCATGTTCGTGTTATATATTAAGATTAGACTTCTATCTTATAGAATTAGCTAGTTTGTTTTCTTCTATTTGCTAGTAAGGTTAGTAGTGTCTATTTGAGGTTTTTTTGCTTTTGTCAAACACATATCTGAAAAATATCAGACAACTACAACGATCTATTTTATTTTAGTCAATTCAACTCTCTTTTTACAATGTCAATGAACAATGACATTCTTCTCTTTATTATACCATATGAAGAAGAAAGAGTCTGCAGTTTCAATCACCTGACTTTGTTCTCAGTCCTCTCTATTCCTTCTATTCCTAATTCATTTGAAAAGATCTTTAAGTTTGCTAATTGGAGCTTGGCTAATTACTTGATCCCTGGAGATGAGGAGTGTAAAATTGCTAGAGGGAATATGTGCAAGTTGTTTGATGTCAATAATATGATTTTTGATGTATTGAGATTTGAATGTTCTATAATTAGATGTTAGTTTTCTGTGTCTTAAGGAGGTTTTGTCTTGACTCCTGAATATAACAATGTAGGTAGAAGAAATAAATTTCTAACAGGGTCATCTTTTTCTTCAAAAAAGATATACAATATCGATTTATTAGAGATATTAATTTATTAAATATTGATTAAATAAATATTCAATTTTTGATTATAATTATATTTTAAAATTAAATATATATACAAGCTAATTTATTATATAAGATAAATAATATTTACAAATTGAGATTTTTAACAAATCAATATTGTATACTAGATTTGTAGAATCTAATAGTCTTAATCAAAATTTTGATTTCCTTAGGTATACTATTAATACAAATGAGATTTATCTGATTCTGTTGACTTAATTTTGAATTATTATTAATAATTATTTTTTTATATGTCCTGACTGATTGATTCTGTCTAATTATTATAACATATCTCTTTTATGCCGACTCATTTTGACAGTATATAAAATTCACCCGTTACTTGTGTTTTCACAAATTCACAAGACTTCTACGACCAAGATGTCATTTTTTTCACATCTCCTCAACAACCCCTCTTCATCTATATCACTAGTATATGTTTATAATCTTATAGGATTCAAACCCTATACAAAACTGTTCTGTATCATATCATTCCGCAACTTTTATGTACTCCTCCAATCAAAAAAAGATCAAAAAACCAAAAGACTACCAACTTCCACAACATAGTAATTTTTCTTCCTTCCTCCTCCTCGCCCTTTCTCCTCTCCAATCCCAAATCCCCAAAACCAACCCTTTCATTTAGTAAATACTATACTATCCACCAAGCCCCAGAATATAAAACCATCTTTCCCTCCTAACTCAAAAATCACCTACTCATTCATCAACCAAAACCCAAAAGTAAGCAAAAACTCCAATTTCAAAGATACCAACCAACCTCTTTTTCACTAAAATAATTCACTTTCTATCATCAAAGACCTTAAAGGGCCTACAGCTTCCTTTTTTTCAGATATGCAACAAGAGCTTTGACAGTGCAAAGTAGTTCTAGTCATGTGGTTTTGAGGTTTAAGGGGTTGTGGTTGGAGGGTCGGAAGGAAAGAAAAGGGGGATGGTTTTTCCGGGTCCGGGGTTTAGCCAGATGAATACAAATTTACAGAAGATGCATGATGTAATTGTCTAGTGGTCTTGGAAATTCTTTAAATTATTTGTGTTTTAATTCGGATTTTGATGTTCTTTCTTGTTATATTGTTGTTTGCAAGTGAACTTTTTTTAGTCGGTGTTTTTTTACAATTCTGTTTTCTCATCTACTTACCGAGATTAATATCTTTCTGAGAACTCTCTATTGTGAGTAAAAGTCAGTCTCAGAGAAAGCAGATGCCGTAGAAAAATAAACCACTGGTCTTTCACTTCTTTCTCGTCCCCATACTGCTGTAGAGGACGGAGAGGAGTTTCAAGAGGATTAAAGCGCCGATGGATACTCTTGTAGGTATTTGAAGTTTATTTCTTTTATTCTCATGGCCTCTCTTTTGCGCCAATTCTAAGAAGGGAGGTAATTCATTTCCATTGTGAAGTCTCACATCTCCCCAGTTGAGTCAACTTCAAGTGGAGAGAATAGCAAGAATAGGATATTTCGTTCACTGGACTCATTCAAAGCTTCTCGAAATTTCAGATACAATTTTCGCAAAATACCCGTCACTTATCTAGAGTCCTGAGTCCTAGGCTATAACATTAGTTTTGCCCAGGACCCTTCGAAGACTCAACTTTGATTACATGTTTTATTTGGGCAGGTTCCATATCGGCTGCGCCAGGCAGGGTTGGTCCTCTGGGAACCCGAGGGCCCGTCCCTCGCCTATTTCCTCGCCCCAGCCGGCCCTTCCACTAATCATAAGGCGAATAAGTCAAGAGTGCGAGATGCTCAGGTATTTATAGTTGGGTTGGGTCCTGGGCTATAACATTAGTTTAACCAGGACCTCGAGAAAACCAACTTTGATCACATGTTCTATTTCGTCCATCCAATTCCTTTCACTTCCTCTCCCACGGTAACTCCATCCCCGGCGTATAAACCTCTCCATCACTCGGTTTAGGTTTCCACATCCACCACGTAGTCTTCCCTTTAACCTCATTCGCCATCTTGAGCCATAAGAATCCTGGCTTTCTGTCTCTGCGAGTCGTATCAATGGTTATTTTCTCAATAGTACGGAAACCAAATTTTTCATAAAGAGGTAATCCCTCGGCGGTAGCTTCTACGAGCGCTTCTACATTCATTTCTGAGGTTCTTCTCATTCCATATTCCATGAGCAAAGATCCGTAACCATGACACCGGTGCTCGGGGTGGGTAAACATCGCGGAGAGTTCTGGTGATGTTAGTAAGGGTTGAGAGGGGAAATCCCGGGTGATGTGACTTGATGAGGTCGAAATCGAAATAGTTGTGCTTACGAGTATGAGGTCTTGCCATTCTTCTTGCTCTAAATCCAAAAATTTGAGAGAAAATCATTTTCGTGAAGTCACGGGCTTCGCCTTCAGGCCACCAAGAACCGACGCTGTCATCTTTCTCTTCTCCCCCTTTCTCACCATTCTCGGTCTCACCATTCTCGGTCTCACCATTCTCGGTCTCACCATTCTCGGTCTCACCATTCTCGGTCTCACCATTCTCGGTCTCACCATTCTCGGTCTCACCATTCTCGGTCTCACCATTCTCGGTCTCACCATTCTCGGTCTCACCATTCTCGGTCTCACCATTCTCGGTCTCACCATTCTCGGTCTCACCATTCTCGGTCTCACCATTCTCGATCTCATCATCCTTATTCTTCTGTTTCTCATCGTCTTTCTTCTCTCCAAACGGATTAACTTCATGAAACAGCCATTCCGCGCCCGCTAGAACCTTTCCGCTGGCTTCTGTATGTTCATCCCCACCAACAATATAAATCCAAACACTATCCTTATCCGCCTTATGACATTTCCACAAGCGTTCCTTCATCTCCTGAACAGCAGCTGCCACTCCTTCCGCAGTAGGTTCCTTAATCCGCACAAGAATACTCAAGAATGGGTTAAATGGATCGATGTTCGATTCCCAGAGGCAATCTACTACAAGGGAGAATTCCTCGAAAGTTGCAACGGTTTTGAGAGTAGGGGACATGATGGTAACGTCGGTAGAATACAGCAATAAAGGAGCTTAATTACTAAAGAGGTGATTTGAGAACCGTGAGCTAAAGAGGCTTTTGGTCTTAAGATTATGGTTGTTGATTATGGTTTAAGAAAAGAGATATCCCGATATATTTACCATTGAGCGATGGAATTTGGAACTCGATCCGACTGAAATAATGACAGGCTACTAATCTGTTATATAGTCACAATATTTTCAAAGTGGCGCAGCGGATAAAGACACCTGGGTACAAGTATACCGATGTTGGTGACTGTTGGAGCTTCTTATGCATGACAGGGATGGTTTGGTTACATACATAACAGCCAGCATAAATTGTGGGGCTATCATTCGCTAGGGTAAGCTCTTGTTATCTTTTCATGCCATCAAATACATTTTGCTCATTGGTATGAGCAAAATGAGAAATTATAGATATTATGGTAAGATCTTATATTATAAAAGAAGCAAAACAGTGCCCCTAACTTGTAACTATGAACTCAGTCATAGGAATCCGTTCAGAGAATAATTAATCTGATTCAAAAGAGGAAGTGGCATCGCCATATAGCACTGTGCAAGGTAGTCCCAAAACAAGTGACTACGCGGTGATCTAATTAGAATCAACAATTGAAAGGGGATGATGCTTCTAAATGACTGCATATTTTTCTAATCCCCGCCAATATCTTACTAGCCAAGAACACGCCGTCGGCTGAGGGAATCTGCTCTTTGTTGGCTTCATCAACGAGCTGAATTGAGTTCTCTTGTTCACTGAACCCGAGTTGGGAAGATCTCCGCTGTAGTAAATTAACAACAATCATCTCAGCTTTTTCAAATTCCCGTTGATTCAGGCTATCTAGCTTGACATCTCTATAGTTGGAGTTGAAGGCATCGCCAATCTCGCGTCATCTTTTCAAAGCAGCATCATTTCTACTCCAATTTCTCAAATAACACTTGCTATTGTTTTGGTGGCGACTATATTTACTGCCATGTGAAAGGAAATGATCGGATACTTGCGAGAATTGACTTCGGTGTGCGGCATTTCCTATATAGCTGGCACAACGTCGGTAAGCATGCTTTGACGAGGGTAAGAGTGTCGATTTTATGCGTGCTAATTCTGCTTTGAAAGTACTATTTGATGTTGTCATGATGGGTTTCGGGGCGGAACTTAGGGCGAACAGAGCTTTGTGAATGACTATAGGCTATATCTCTCAATGGGAATTGATAGGAATATTATACACGGATAGATTAAGCGATTACACAACGACTATATTTCAGTAAGGATCAATTCTGCCTTTTGGGAAGGGAATTTCATAGCAATTTCAGCCAAAAAATGCGGGGACGATAGTGAACTCGATTTCAGTGTCACTTTCAAGGCAGGAGAGGATATTGACACTTGAGCGTGTATTAGATTCCACAGCCTAGTATCGAAACGCGAAGGTGCCAGGTGGGCAAGATCTTCCTGACTTAGGATACCTGCATCGATTTAGTTTATTTTTCAGCGCTCAAAAAGGAAAAGTGAGAGGGGAGGAATAATGTCTAATTTTGAAGATGGCTTGAAAAGATAAAATACTTGCATTCTTATAGTCATAGGAACGGTGCGGATCTATTTGTATAGAAAAATATTATAAGCTAACGTTTGAGGTGATCCTGTTTGAAGTGTTCCCGGCTGTAAGTCCTATTTTTTGGTGCATTTAGACATTAATGGTTTGCTGGTGGAGTTTATTTTATTTTCTGATATGACTGTATTTATTAGTGTGGATATAACTGCAGACGGAGTCCTTGGTTTAATTTGGAGTTATCATATCATAAATACTAGTTAGTCATTACTTTTACTTGATAATCATGGTGCTCATTCATATGAGTGTTAGTTGAAATGAAGTGTGAATTTTATTGAGTTATTGCAAATCCAAATGCCCCATTAACTAGTGACTCTCCAAAGAGTCTCTACCCTGCATATCCCAATCGAACTACGCAAACCTATTTTCCCTTCAAAACACCACCTAGCAAATCATTCATTTCCAAAAGACCATGTTCCCGTCGTTCCCCATCCGCCACACCCAAAAGATCCAATTCCCTAGGCGTAGTCGAAGCAAAGAACTTCCTCGCCGTCTGCAAATCCGCCCCCGTAACATCCCTACTCTGCACTTTTCCCTCACAATCCGACCACAAAACCCCCATCACAACAAACGGTCCCGTCCAATCTCGCGAGCATCCCGTAAATATTTCTATACTCAAACTCTTACTACATGTATCTAATATTTGGCCTTCTTTCACTCCGTATATCACGCTTAGAGTCCAATCTTCCGGATCGCTAATCCCGGGTACTAATTCCCATTTCTGAATGTTATTTTGGATTATGGCATGAGTGGTATTAGCTCCGCGACCTAGTAGGGCAGTTGGAAGTGGAACATCGTATGCATGACATTCGTGGCATGCTTGACATACGATACATTCGTTGCACGAGGGTACACATGATGCGGGGACAACAGTCGGACACGGAATCCAACATACGGCGAAATTAGCTCTTTTGGGTGGAAAATAAAACGCGAGTTTGTAGATTGGTGATGGCCGCGGTATTCTTTTGCTAATGGTGCTTATGCACGTTATTTGGTGGGTGCTTCTACACTCTACCGAACAGTAGTATGCGTATATGGTGCATGCACAGATGTATCCTTGACGTTTTTCTGTGGAGCAAATGCTGCATGGAATTGGCGCAATGTTCCTTTGCGGCGCTGTTAGGTCTGGTAATGCGAAGGTCAGCGTACGCTGATTTATAATTGGTGGCCAGATATCCATCTTGATGAATATGTCTTTTACTACTGTTGTGGTGAGTGAGGTAATGATTCTTCGTTCTCTATCGCACTTAAATGTTTCGGCTCAGAATATGTTGTTGTGGAAGAAAGAGAAGTAATGGAGTTACAGGAAGCTATTTTGTATTTAAGTAGCTCTGATGTGTGAAATTTTGTAGTGCCGTTCTTGAGATCTAATACGGTATGTGATAATCTAGTGAATAAATACCGTAGAGAAATTTGGGACGACAGTATGCAAAATCAGAAAACTTGAGAATTTTTGTGCTGGGAGTGAAACCTGGATGGAATATATTCTTGCGAATAATCCAGAAATCAGTGATGTAAGAAAGCTGAGGTTCTTGCTTTATCCGGATCATATTATATGATGGGACTGGATGGCCACTCAACTTTGACAGCTGCTATTCCAAGGTAAAAAGCTCAAGGGAGCTATAACTTTCCTGCAATTATTCACTCTCACCACACACCCTCATCTTTATACCCGTTCTTTTTATGGAAATACTTAAAAAGGTGATTCCCAGCTTCCAGTCATTATAATTCGTCAACCTAGTTTCCATTTGAGTTCTGGTATCTCAACTTGCAATACTTATCACGGTTCTGAAATCTGAACGCTAGATCTCTAGCACGGTCTCGTAAACAGATATTGAGGGGTTAGTATTCTGCCTCATTCCAGTTGAATAATACCGCAAGTATAATTTTAGTGATTGTGCTGCAGATTTCCTCATCCTCGTCTATTTCGCGAAGATGCTGCAATGTACTGTGCCATCGCATAGCACTGCGTGTGCAAGAGCCGGGCTGAGTGCATAAGTTAGATTTATATTAAGCTGACCCAAGACAATTCCTGTATCACGGATTCCTATGTCTTTCCAAAAGTCATTCGATCATGGAGCCTCCATTGGAACAACCCTAGAAATCCACTGAGTATCCAAGCCGAACGTGTAATTATCGTTCAATTCTGGTACTGTATTGCTGTGAGTACGGTGAAGATGCAGAGTGATGGGCTTGGACAAAAAATGTATTTTACTCGTCATACCGAGCAGTATAATCGAGAGTTACATGACGGAGGCAGGCGGTGTATAGTTAGCGGAAATACACAGTGACATTGTCGAAATTCGAAGTACTCTAAGAACGACCAACCTCGAGAAAGTTCATGCAGGCCTTGGTATCCAAATTTCTAGTTCACAGACAGGCTCGTTATGAGGATAAGCTAGCCCAATGGACAGAATGACGTAGCAGCATGACTGGTTTAGATGATGGAACTTAGCGAGTTGAAGTATGGATTCACAGGTCGAAAAACTTCCAAGAAATCTAGTTCTCTATCGGGCTTTTGAGTCGTTCGCTCCCCTTATCATGTAGATCAATACGAAGAACGAGTTAAATGTCCAAATCTTGACCATATTGCTTGGGCTGAGATAGAATGGATTTCCAATATAATAAACCAGCTAGTTGATTCTTGATAGAGGTTGATCATATTTATCAATGATATGATATTGCTTGTTGTGTTGGTTGTGTGCATATATATTAGTAGTAGACGCAGTCGATTTAATTGGGCATAATTGAATATATAACTAATAAGATAATTTTGAGATCAGAGTTGAAGGAGCTGATTTCTTTTCTTAATTATTGAAAACCAGCTGTCCTGTATCTAGACTTCCTTGTTCTTTCTCCCTTTAAAAGTCTGGTTCCAGATTTTCCTGGGCCTTTTCGCAAAGAAGTACCATCTACAGGGACCACCGAGTTCTGAAACTCTTGTTCCATAAAAGAATCCATAATAGATGATCCATAGCTAAACAATGCAACCTTTAGGACAGTTCTAATATTCCGTTCGGCGAAACCAGCGAACAACGATCGAAATGATGCCGGCCAACTAAATTCCTCCGTTATAACCGGACACGATGCATTCAAAAGCTCAAGATCGACAATGATATAAAGCAGAGGAATCCCTTGCAGAATTGATGCAAGCACATTGAACCAATCAGACTCTGTCTGCGCTCCTCAATAAGACTTCAGCCGTGGAGTCATTGCCGCGTCAGTATGAATAGTCTTATTTAGCTGTAAAGCCTGAGATACCAGGTATTTCAGTAGATCGACGGTTGAAGTCATGTTCCCCAATGTCTCGTGGCTTTCAATGGCTTTCAGAGCCCAGATAACAGGTGTTTTCTTTTGTCGGAGTAGCAAAACGGAATCGCTGCAGAAATCCTTAATCTCAAATCGAAGCCTACGTATTCCCTGGAGGATAATGATCTCCGACCGTCCAATGGTGTTCCAAGAATTCAACTTTTCGCTATTCAAGAACGAAGATCCCTTTATTTTTGTCTCTTTCGCGGCGACGATTTCGCATGAAAAGTGCCGTTTGGAGGCTTTTTATTGGGTCAAGAAGATCACTGCGGGAAATAAGACTCATAATATGGCCAACCTGAATGTCTGACAAGTCCTGACGCAGTTCGATGCGAGCTGATGCATTTATTGCCTGATCGTTGATAATAGTTTCTCTAAGATCTTCTAGTAACTTAGTCAAGTAGTCGACTTTCTTCTTCAATACCCTCTGCTCATTGAAGGACTTCCTCTGCTCGACATGCATTCCACGATGTTCAGAAATCATTTCAAGTTGTTCAGTATGCATGTCACGTTGTTCGGCGTGACCACTTGCCGAAGCAAGATCAGTCAAATTGCTGGATAGTAAACGTATCTCCTCGATTAAGTCGTCAAAGCGAAGTTCCACTGGCCTTGTGATAGCATGGACGAGATGTAATAACTTAGACTCCTGGTACCAATGAAGTGACCGGATCAGGAATCGTAGAATATATGCGTACGTTCGGGAAATGAGATGCCTGATTTGAGAATTTGGATATAACTGGAGTACAAGTTCTGCTCTAGGTAGCACATCTGCAATCTGGCAAATCCCAGTTGATAGCCGAGATATGAGTTTCTGTTGATTTAAGACACCCTGTTGAAAATCAGTAAAAATGGACAGGATTTTTTTTTTTACAACTAAGAAGAAGGCAATTCTCTGTTACTTCGAGAGTCGAGAGCGGCATACACTTGTAAGCATAGGTCTGTATATCTTCCTTGGCGAAAGCTATATCAATTTTTCTTCTTGGCCCATTCAGATATTAGAGCCATCCAATTTCACCCCTAGAGTAAAACTTTTCTTGCGCATTGGAAAGAATACAGTCAAAAAGCGAGTATACTGACCACGACAAGGAACCTCATAGCGCCCCACACCAAAGACACATATTCGGAAGATGAGACAGACATTCGCGGGTGGAGGATTCTCCTTTACGGAGCTCGTACTTTTTGTTTTCATGCTCGATTGCTGCAAGAATTTCTTGCAGGTTCCCAAATTTCGAATCTTGGATCCATTGAAGTTTTGTTCCATCTTTCGATAATTCCAACCTGAAAATAGTAAGAGCTTTATCAAAGGTCTGCTTCGCAAGGTCGGATCTACAGTGCGATTCTTTGAATTAGCATGCATACTGCAATGTCCCTTAGTAAATGAAATGTTGTACTCACCTCTGATTGTTCCCGTTTGATTTATACCAAATTGAGTACATCCTAGTATCTGCTATACTCTTCAATTAGAACTTTCCTGGGCTTTGTATCTTTACAATATTTTGCACTCCAAAATATATTTTCAGTAACTCTTTATGTTGTTATTCGATCTTAGAGTAAGCTAAGGAGCTTGTGCGAGTTCTAACAAATGGTTGTGACGAGATCTGGAGGAATTTCAAATATATTGAAAAGCTAGAAGGAGATATATCTTCTTTTTGGGCTATTGTCTCCTTCATCTTTTTCTGCTGCCTTTGTGGCTGTCGCCTTGCACATGCATTTCGGGTGGTATTTCGACAGCTGAACGGCTAAACTTCGGTTAAACCGCTGTGTGAGGAGGTTGGAGTTGGTTGGTTTGATTGATTGATTAAATTAACGTCTACACTGAGTCTATGACTATCTAAGACGGCTAGGAGCTTTGTAGGCTTCTAACAATAATACATGGGGGGTAGCTGGCCTTATTCGACCGTAGCTAATACAGGTTGGGGAGATTGAAAGCCTCAATCTTCTAATGTTTGAATGGGGGAAGTGAAAACTAATACTAGGGAACCAAGCCCGCCTTACAGATACTCTCGTATTCAAATAAGAGGAATAACAAATGAAATGTAATGAAATTTGACATTGGGGTGATTGCCTAAATTGACCAAATTGACCAAATTGGCCAAATCGGTAAAGTAAGATCATTGGAGGGATAAATATGACTTCTTTTTGCCTAGCCATTGCGGCTTGGCCATTCATTTATTTATATATAGAGTAGATATCCCCATCTACAGGTGCTCTTCACCTGTAGATTCTGAGTTAAATACAATTGCTGGTCTCTAAACACCCTTTTGGTCACAAAATGTAACTTTTGAACAAAAATAATTAAAAATAAACTATATATTTTTGAAAATTATATTTGAAAATTTCTATTGATTTTATTTAATTTTATAGAAAAAATATGATTTTTGCAAGGATTTTGTCACAAATTCAAATGAAGTACGGTGAGTAGATTCTTAGAATTCTTATCAAAAGTTCTCCGGGCCACTCTTGGTTCCGCTGAATCAAGTAGTAGAATATTGATCTTTGTCGTTTGAAGCCCTAGCAACATTATTGTGAACACAATTCCTTAACCACGGGTAACTCGGCGTTCGTTGTTCAGTTGTCCACTGAGTATCAGTACACCAGGGCAGGTCATATATCATTCGACGGCACTTTTAGGTGAGATTCTCAATATCAGAGTAATGTATCATCAACTTATTGACTTAAACGATTACCAAAATGGTTAATACTAAAGCAAATTGAAGGGAGATTACACCAGATAAGAAAGAAACTCAAAGCTAATGCGATACTTCAACAAGAATTCGACCAACATTACTACAGGAGGATATTCGAGCTCAACAACAATAACAACTTCTGTAACTGTAACATCGATCGTATCAACAGTATTTTAGCGAAACTTCACCGCCTCGTTTATTTCTCCCCTATTCTAAACAGCCTTTATGTATTTGTAAATAGGCATATGTATGAATCGTGGTATATGTTTCTTCTGGTGGTAGTACAACAACGGTCTCAACCCAATTTTGAGATGATGACAGATAACATCTCTACCAAGTGGATTTACTCCTGTTCCGTTCACCGCTGGCATTGAGATACCAGCTAGTTTAAGATACATCATATCTTCAAAAGACTGATTTCAAACACTATATTCTATTCACGTAACTAGAAAAATAAAAGATCGCATAGACAGAGAACAAACTCATGATATACTAACACCAAGATTAATAACCTGATCCAGCCCTGCAAGCAAGCCCAGCAAGACTTCTTGTTCTGGCTGCGTTTTCCTTGCCCTTCACATCTGCGATCGTATTTTGCACTTCGCCCAACACCCCAGTGGTCTCTGTCATCAGCCATCAGGTCATTCGAAATAAATGATAGTAACTCTTTCATTATCACGTCTAACCGCGTATCTGAAATCGAGTAGTAACATCACCGTGATCATTGAATCATGGATGAAGCTTAACGCGGACAAAGTTAACCACGCGGCTATTGAAATATCTTATGCTAGTCAAGACTAACCCTTCACTTTTGCATATCAGATGATAGCAAATAAAGGTATCATTCGGTGCTTGATCCGGTATATGTACCCTCTCAACATGATCCCACATATTCGCAATGCGATCAAACCTACGGGTTCGTTGCCGATGCAAATAATGCACCGGGTTTTCGTGCATATTATAGGAAGCTGATGAGGTAGAGCAGATAGTTGCGGGGGCGACTTCGTGTATCCTTATAAATAGTCGAGGTTTGCGAGTTTGAAGATTATGTCGAGAAGCAAGCGCAACAATAAGGTCGATAGCCTTAATCTTTTGAAAAATAATCTCTGGATAGCTCAAGTCCTCGGAAGATAGCATTAAATATGTTGCAATTCATACCGCTCTTAGAGTTGATAATGAACAGTAGGAATACGCTCCGTTGCCTCTGTCGTTTTGATTGGTTGTGTGTTCACTTGCTTCTCCACCATCTCATTGTGAGCTCGGGAGAAATAATCTTTTTCTGTATCCATTCTAAATATCATCTCTCAGGCTCTTTTGCATTCGTAATCTGCTTCCAAAGATCTTGGTACCGCTGCCTAACAGCGTTCGGTGCGTTTCTAATGACTTTGTAACTCCATTATTTTAGTTGTGCAATGTCCTAAAATTTCGCTCCAAATGAATAGTACCTGGATCTGCTGCTAGAAGCGAACTCATTATTTCTGGTGGAACTGCTTTCTGTACTTCTAATTGCAATGAATAGTCGTATGGGTAAAAGCTGGATGGAGTTGTCATTCGACATCTTACTTTCGAGAAAAGCATCTTGTATGTTGATTCCGACGACAATGTTTATGCATGCACTATTGTAGACTCCATCAGAGGGTCGTGCATCATTATTAGATTATGGACAGCATCTGAGAAACAACCTATACAGCTTTTAGTACAAACTAGAACAGTCAGCACGGGATATGTACTGTCGATAGCATTTGTGATGCCTCGTCGAAAAATCAACTAGTGAACATATCCTCAGAGCCAGTATCCATTCCTATATGACCAATATAAAAATGCATAAGTTTAATAGGTCATTATCTCTCGGAACTTATCATATTTAGCAACCATGTAGTGCTGCTGTGAGTTTCCCGGTCTCCACAGTATAGCCGTTGCCCATCCTTTTTCACGTACAGGAATCGTCTCTCTCTCAGTGCCATAGAAGCTGTCAAGATCGCCCGATATTCCAATTTGTTATCGGGATTATCATCGTTGTATTCAGAAACATCATCGTCGACAGCAGTCTCGCCGCCAAAGCCATTATGCATGAACTTCGCAGGTCGCTTCCTGCTCCCAGTTGCTACGCCGCCGAAAAGATCTCTACTAGCTTTACCCATCGAGGAGCGAATAAACTCTACAAGTTCAACTCCCATGTAAGATTGAAACAGCATTATTGTAGCTGCAGCATGTCGATCATCTTCAGTGGGAAACGCATCCATCGCAAGTCCAAAGTTGAGCGACCAGTACGAAAAGATCAATGGGTCCAACTACGGGGTTGAGTTTCGACATAGTATCCAGTCCAAACTCGACCTCCCTTCCTTGAGAGTGTTGATGATGTACTTCCAACCGATTAGCATAATACCTGACGACTTCGTTAGGGTCATTTGCGTTCACATAGGTGCCATTAACACGGCAAATAAAGCAACTTGGGATCCCTCCAGTATTGATCAACAGACATTCTTTTTATCCTTTTTCTCTTTCTTGCTAGAAATTTTTTTTGGTCGATGTGGTGATGTGAAGAGGGACGCGAGACGCGCTCAAGGTGTGATTCGAAATGCGGGTGCTAGCGGAGTCATGTGCAGGTTGATGCAGTTTAAACGTTTAACCAGTAACTAAGACATAACAGTATTAATTACATTCCATCTACAAATGGTTCAATCGATTTCAATATAAAAACTTATACTTCCACTTTTGTGAGTTCTTCTTCATACTTTCAGTGAACAATTCTGGTAAATGAATGGCAGCGGTTGTGGAGGTGTAGTGTCTTAGCTTCGGGTTCGTCGTCCTGGAAAAGACGAATTGAAGACATGTAGCTATTCTAACTATCTTTGTCCAGTCACAATTACCCCTGAACCCGTTTAATTCCCGTATCACCGACTAGCATTCAAAATGCCTGCCATGCTCGACGACCCTAGTGCTCCCACAATATACCGAACTTCAGGTTCCGCACCCTTCCCAGATCCTCACGATGCGAACCCCGCTTTACCCCTCGATGTCTATCCTCGACAGGTCACTCTGCGTGACCGAGTGACAATCGCTACAATCGTACCTTTTGCGTCTCAAAGTCAGGTTCCTCCCTCGCTTCTGGCATATCTAAGCGACCAATTTAAGAAAGAGGTCGAATTGGGCGATACATATCCTATGATTGAGACTATGCCACAAGAGAAGTTTGCATCCTATTGGTTTCAGAATTTCGGCGCAATAATGCTCCTGGGTAGTCTCGAATCCGCAGATGAAGTAGTCGAAGGCAAGAATTGGGCTGCGGAATGCTTAGGAAGTTACTATATCAAGCCTAACTACCCGGGACGTAGCTCTCATGTTTGCAATGCCGGATTTCTTGTCACAGATGCTGCACGAAACAGAGGTGTCGGACGTTTACTAGGAGAAAGCTATCTTGACTGGGCTCCACGACTCGGATACACCTACTCGGTTTTCAATCTCGTATATGAGACGAATGTAGCTTCCTGTCGCATTTGGGATGCGTTAGGCTTCAAACGTATTGGGCGTGTCAAGGGTGCGGGAAACCTCAAAAGCTATCCGGGGCAATTCATCGATGCTATCATATATGGGCGGGATTTAGGGCCAGATGGCTCCGACTTCGTGAGTGAAGAACGCTTCGATAAAATCAAATTCTACTTGAAACATAAAGAATATCCATCGGGTGCTGATCGCGCGGAAAAAAGCAGACTTCGTAGCGCGGCCACACATTACAAACTACTACCGGGCGAAGATAAGCTTATGCTGAAAGGGAAGGAAGTGATTAGTGATCCGCAAAAACAATATGAGATTGCGAGGGGTATACATGTACTACACCATGGAGGAATCAACAAAACCACAGCTATTATTGCCGAGAAATATCATTGGGTTAGAATCAAGGAGACGGTTAGTCTTGTAATTAAGAACTGTGGAGAGTGCAAGGAGTTGGGAAAAGCACCAATTGTCAAACCAGATTTCCAAGTCCAGTTACCTCGTCAGCCTACCCCTAAAAGTCAAAATGTAACCAATGCAGGCATATTATCTCTACCACAGCAGCAACAACAACAACATTTTCATAAACATCAGCAAGCACAACCTACTCATTTACAGCATGATTTCCAACAAATTCAACACCACCATCATGACCACACCAGTACATCCGTATCGCCACAAGTTCTAAACCGCAGACTACCATCCCCTTCTCCCAATTCTCACACCAGCCCCACCATCCACCACAAACAACACCAACCACCCATTTCCCAAATGCAACTCCATCATGCAGAAACCCGTACCCAATCTCAGACACACTCCCAATCTCATACTCCTTCGCATAGACATCCCTCAACCGATTACCTACAAATAGACCCGCAAATCATGGATTACACACATATATCTCATTCTTCCCATCCACATTTTGAAGCGCATCATGTGCATGAAACAGATTCCTTCCAAGCGATGTTGGGAGATGGAGATGTAGATGGAGATGCAGATGCCCATGTAGAGGATGGAGAAAGCGGTGTAGATGGCGATATAAACGATATGCTCATCGACCACGACGAAGTAGAAATAGAAAGACAAGTCGGGGATATAGGAACTTCAGAACATCATCATCATATCGGGAGCGAAATAAATCATAATGGTACGATGAGTGAAGTGATGGGAGATGGGAATGGAAATGGAAATGGAAATGGGAAACTTAAATCTCATCATCATGATCATGATCATGAGAATGAAGATGAGAATGAGGAAGATGTAATGGCTACAGCGAGAGCAGCACAGGATATGATTTCAAGGGGTGTAATGGGTGGGAATACAGGATGAGTGCTTAGTGCTTGCCGTTTATGAGTGATCATGAACGATTATGCATATAATATTTAATTAATACCTATGGAAAGATGAGAAATAGTCATCAGTTAGTTGATGATACTGGCTGGGGCTTGATTAAGACGTCACATAATCTATCTATCCATCTATCTATCACCGGCTGGTAGCTGGTAGCTGATATGGCGACGAACAATAACGAGTACGACACGCACGGTACGCGGAAAGTACCTAAGGATGGATAGGACATCATATACGGAAACAACAGAGAACATTACATTACGTACAGAGTTCTTCTTCCATGGAGCCATCCTATTACTCTTATTGTTAGTTCAGGAGACGACGCTATTATTATCATCACTTAATATCACACTATGTACGGGCGCTAGGGGTTTCTTCAGGACCAAACATATATCTGTATTATTGGAAAGATAGCATTTTAGAAGGAAGAAACTCCTGGCTCACGACGCAAAGAAAAGTTCACAGCAAAGAATAACAAACGGAGTTAAGCATAAGCGAGGGGTGGACTTTTTGAACTCTGAGGCGCTAGTATGTACTTGATCATACATCCAGCACTCCGATATCATATCATAGAATAATCATCTACATATCAGATTTTGTACTCGTCCATCATGCATGCCCCTTGATTCCCCTGCATCATTCATGAATCATGATCCTTCTTTGCCATTTATCATTTATCGTCTCGGCATACCTCTTCCTCTACCCCTCAATGCTCTCTGTGCTGCTCCCGGAGGTAAGCCTCTCTGTGGAGCTTGTGGTTGCGCGCTCTCTTCATTCCTAATGGTCTCGTCCACGCTCAAAATCAAACAACTAGCTTCGGTTGCTGCTTGTATGGCGTTAACCTTTACCAACGCAGGTTCCCAAACGAATGCTTCCATATTATCTCTAATACCTTCACCCACGAAATCAACACCAGCCCATATATTTCCTTTTCTATGCTCCACACGGAGCTTGTTGAGGATATCTGTAGCATCGAAACCTGCGTTATCGCAAAGTTGACGAGGAATAACCTCAAGTGCCTTTGCGAAGGATTTAATGATTGCTTGTTGTTTGTTTCGGATGTTGTTATCGGCGTAATGGTGGAGATAGGCTGATACCTCCATTTCGCAAGCTCCACCTCCGGCAACAATTGTGTTGTTCTTAATAGCGCGCTTGACGATCATGATGGCATCGTGAAGAGAACGTTCAACTTCGGCGATGAATTGTTCAGCACCTCCACGGAGAACTAATGTGCAAGTCTTTGCTTCTGGGCAGTCTTCGAAAAAGTTGAAACGTTCACCACCAATTTGACGCTCTTCGAATGAACCACAGGTTCCGAGGTGCTCGGGTTGGATATCAGAACAAGTAGATTGAATAGATCCTCCTGTGGCTTGGATGATGCGTTCAAGATCGTCAGACGCTACACGACCGGCACAGAAAATATCTCTATCTGCAAAATATTGTGTAGCAAGATCACCAATTGGCAGCTTAGAAAGGACAATCTTTGCGCCGGTCTTGTATAGAGCTTCCATCTTGTTGTAAATAATTTGCCATTCGGCATCGACAATAGCTTGGTATTCTGAGACTTGCTCGACACGGACTTCTGCGTTGTCTTTCTCAGACTTGAGCTCCAATTCGACGTTTAAGCACACGATTTTAGGGTTCTTGAATGATTTTGGCTGTTGTTCGAATCCGGCATATGAGAAGGTCTTTTTGAATGCAACACCGTTAACAAATAGTGAGTCGGTAAGGGAGCCACCTGGAATTTTCTTCATGCCGATGAGTTTCTCGTTCAAATCTTCCTGATCTAATGTCATAACTGCATCAACAACCACTGTGTATTTGTTAGCTTTGCCTCTCTACTACAGGACTTTGGGGACATACTCTTTGTAAAAAATCCGGTATTTCTCTTGATCAGCTTACTGCTCATAGCAGTTCCAGCCAACTTTATCAGAGTTTCCCTCTGGTTACCCTCACTTGTATTAACAGCAATTTCCTTGATTTTGTTGACGGCCATCGCAGAAGCTCTTCTCAGTCCCTTAATAATTGTCTGCGAGCTGACTCCTTGCTCGACATGATCCTTAATCTCCTTCAAAATTTCACCTGCCAAAACAACAACAGATGTTGTTCCATCTCCAACTTCGGCATCTTGTGATCGAGAGATATCGGTAAGGATTCGTGCAGCGGGGTGAACAACGTCAAGTAACTACGCAAAGTCAGATTTTGAAAGACATAGTATACAGGGATTTCTAGTGAGCAGAATTTTACCTTCATAACAGTAGCACCGTCATTAGTGATAGTTTGTCGTCCATTTTCATCAACAAGTAATAAATCCCCACCGTATGGTCCCAAAGTACTCCTTATTGTGTTTTGGACAGCTAAACAAGCATTTATGTTGCTAATAATTTGTCCCTTTCCCTGCGAAGAATCCGTACCTGCATTACACACTTATATCAGTATCCTCTGTGGTAGAAGCAATATCTGGAGTACTTACCCTCTTTCAGCACAATGATCGTTGGAGTCTGGCCACCGAACGACATTTTCGCAACAGATTCTCTTTATGATATGAATTAGAAAGATGCCGTGGTCAGCTAGTAATCGCACTTCCAGATATGTAAGAGAGTGTTGCTGGGGTATGAAGAGAACTCTCAAAGCTTTGCTGCCGCTACCTGATAATTGTAGTTATTAATTTTTCGCGTCGCGATTTTGCTATCATGTCATTTGTAGATGACCGCAATTTATTACACGTGAGATGAGTTCTGCCAATTTCTATCCTAGCTTTCAGCCACCCCCACTACATACAGTGCTCCCGGTGGGCCGCCTTTTGAGTTTATATTTCTGCCGATAATTGACTCCCGGCGGGTTTGATTTCAGGAAGAGCAGATTGAACTTCGTATCGCGTCGACTTCCATTGGACGATTATTGCTTTCATCTCATGAGGCGCTACCAGTTTATTGCCGGTATGATTTAGCACTGAATAAATATATAATAGTTGTCAATGGTGTCACAGCCCTTCCATCTAATCCTAGATTCCATCACCAATACATTCCTCATTTTTCACTCATACGCAAATTTTACACCCGGAAGGTACCTAGCTATACCTCCTCATCCATATATAACTCCATGATAGTATCTCCAAAAGAAAGATCACAGCATGGAGCCCGGTTCTGATTCTACTCCTATCCCAATCAGTCCTCCTCACTCAAGTGAAGTGTAGCGCATGCACTACCATATCACCCACTATTCATCATCACACATACCGTCTTTGATGAATGAACAATGATAAAACTTCCATCATTGCCATAAAAATTTCCCATACTTGCCTCAGTACTATCGTTGCATCCACTAGTCAAAAAATGAAAGCACAGAACTCCGCTTCCCCTCATCCTTCTCTTCAAATCCGAAGTCTTGAGTTCAAGCAAGCTGTAAGTACAGCCCCTCATTAACATATATAACCTGATTTCTAGAAGGAACTAAAATCGAATTTGTGAAAGGTATGGCAGAAGATCAGTACAAACTTCTTGGTGCCTTTTCTATCCCCTCAAGAGGTGAAAGTACTCCAAATTGATTTGCACTCGTCTTCCGGTCCTATCTTATGAGTAATGCTTGGTAAGATTACAGCTCATACAATACTGCAAGATTTGAAAGTTCAACCCATAACTCCAACGGAATGATAGGCGTGGGATTCCTGGAAGAAAACTTGAGAAAATGTCAGATTGACACTGACGAATATCACAATTGAGTAATTCATCATCTTCAATCACCAGGTAAGATTTCTGATTTCTGATTGAGTTAGTTAATGCCAAATCATCATAACCTGGTACGCGCACAGCTAAATGATTAGATATATATTTCTCCAATCTTCTTCCTCAATCGCCACACCTTGTTTCCCTTATTCTGTACCCCCGTTCTCACTCTTCACCATGCTATTACCCTCAATAGACTCTCTGCAAAGCACTCCCCTTCAAATCCTTCTCGCACTAAAGTCCGTTAACAGACTCTAAATTGCCCCAAAAGCAGTAGCAATCTCTTGAATCGAGGCAAAATCCCCATCGCGTGGAAAACAAGACAGTTCTACTTAAAGATCATGGTGAGGAAAAGTTTGAAAAGTCAAAATACTGTGGTTAATTTCGCGGTGATCAGTTTGCTGGTAGCTAGCTATACGGTGTTTTTGTTAGTTATTTCTCGATGGGAGATGGGAAGGGAAGGAAGGCAGAGGAAGAGTTGAGGTGTGAGGGGTAGACTGTATGTACAATATAAGAGACTACCAATAAGATCCAAAAATACCTAAAGGACCCGGAGAACATCAGTCCCGACGTCATTCAAGATAGAAATTATGTCAGTGGTTCCAATCATAACACTTGACTACAGCAAGTAATTCCTCCTAGGGATATCATTAACGGCAAAAGCAATGGCACTAACGATATGCTTCAACTCATTGGCCATCTCCTTAGCATCACGTTGTTGACCAGTGGCGGCAGTGCTAAGTTAATATTAAGAGCATGGTGAACGAGATATCAGACAGCGAAGTTTCGTCAGTATAAACTGCAGCTACAACAGCGATGATTTGAATGACATCGCGTTTGGAATCAAAGCCAGAAATTATGACTTTTACAGGGAAAGCGACAGAAAGCGACACAAGTGATGATGTTAAGACCTCCAGCTTGTCTCGTAGAATCATCGGGTTTAGAGGTTGGAGCCTCTTCCCGATGACGATGCAGACAAACTATTGAGGTACTATGCATTCTTTTGATCTGGGTGTTGGGAAGTGGGCTAGATGGGTGTTTGGGAAGAAAAATTTGGGTACCTGATATAGGGGTTTCTGGAACAAAAGAAGCCGGAAAAGCAGGAAGTGCTGATGCTTCTCCTGGGTTGACGATCCTGAAGGGTAGAAGCTAAGGAAACAGGGACTTCCTCTGAATCTCAGCCTTGGGAGAGGCAAAGGAGGTTGCGCTCAGGCTGAGACGGCGATGAGATATGTTTTGTATTGTGTTTGAGGCTATTCGAGGACTTGAAGATTGAAGAACCGGGGAATCAACAAAGTAATAGGGGGGACAAGATATGGATATACTCGTGAAGGGCTTGTGGTATCAATGAAAGTGTACATGTGGAAGTTAGATTTTTGAGTAAGGGTAGAAAGGAGTTGGCGAAGCAAATGATGATCTATTTATACTCGAGTTCAAGACTCCCGTGAACTTTACACTACGATCGCGGCATAACTTCTGTCCCGGAAGGATGTTAGAAGGGAAAGAAGGTATAAAAATAAAACCTCCAGAAAATTTTCGATGGAAGTAATCTTATATTTAGAGATTCAACACAAAACACATAAGACTGCCTACTATCTAAGCAACAACATTATCCACCTTTTATAGTCATTCATCGTCCAGAACTCCATCTCTTTCGAGCATATACACATAGTAAGACATACCAGCATCTCCGAAGAAATTCCATGTGTACTTGTGAATCCGCTACTCCGTACAGATTCTGATATACCGGGAGCCACGAGTAACACAGTTCTTGAAACTCGTCCAGTCTCCCACAGAAGCCGAGAATAGAAGGTAAGGTCTTAAAAAGAGGCAAGAAATTAAAGATCACAGAAGAAAAGGAGCTAGGATGGAAAAAAAACATACGATCATCCCAATATCTTACACCCCAAGCAAAAATCTTCACCATGTTTACGGATGTGATAATCAGAATCATCAAACACGGCATCACAGCATCTATTCCAGAAAAAACTCCCCAATTATGAATTCTATTCTCCCCAATATCCGAAACCGAAAATACTGATATCAAAAATGACGTTTAAAACCATGATCTAAGTATAGTATTCAACGGCGAGCGAGCGACCGAGTTCGCCGATAGGCAATGTATCAGTCTCAGTCAATCATTACAACTTTATTTCTGAAAGGTTGCAGATCATCAACCCTTTGTAAAATGATCTACACTGTCAAAATAACCTCACTTCTTTCAAGTCTCACTTCAATCGTTGATAACATACTCGAGTATATAGAATACATATATTTCATTTGCCGGAAAGTTCCGTATGAGATATACCAAAAATGCCTAAATACCATCGCTTCGAGTATCGAGATAAATAATCGGATGACTCCGCATAATACTTCGGTACGCTAATTACAGAAAATTAGCGTTATGTATGTATGTATCTATCTACATATCTCCAAGAACTATTGAATTGAATAACCACACTACACCACACCATCTCAATTATTAATTTATTAGAAATATAATAAAGTATCCGCAAAAAATTAAAAATTATAAGTAAAGTAAGCTTAAGAACCTATAATAAATCAATAAGACTTATATCATAATAATGCACGATAAATGGACAGATCGAATAATTAATCACAAGAATCTAGGATAAAAATATCAGCAAGTAAGAACGATAAAATAACGAGTCGGAGCAACACCGCAGAAGAAACTCAAAATAGAAACAGGAAGGAAGAGACGAATCGATAAGCAACAAGAGGAAAATGTGCTAGTAGGCATGTATAAGGCGCTTGGTCAATTTGAATGCTAGCGCTACATTAGTTTCTAGCATGGTTATTCGGGACAGGGGACCCTGGATGTGATCCCTGTAGGTAAGTAGTGTAGCGAGTGTTAGAAATTGTAAGATATGAATCTTCTATTATTGTGTGATTCAGTCTGGTGGTCGGTCTATGGGATGGTTGAAATTTGAGTGTGTAAATAATCATGTTAATAACTATCTCGGTATCTTTCTTAATAACTATCTAGCAAAATATGAAGAAAAGTCTAAACACCCCGTAAAAAATATCCATAACCTGTGCGAACTAGAAAACCTCCGCGTGAAAAAAACAAAAACAAACAAAACAAAACAACACCATCTACACCTATATCTAGACCACTCCAGTAAGTAACTGCAACCCAAATCAAAGCCCAAGACAATATAAACCAACCATCCAACTACCAAGCAACCACCCAATCATCAAACAACCACCCATCTATCTATAACTCGTTCCCGCAATATCCTGTTCAATAATAACCGCAGCCGCCTTCTCACTAACCATATAAATAGGCACCGCAATATAAAACCCGGGAATCTTAGGAAAAACACTCGCGTCCACGACTCTCAAACCAGTGGTCCCCCTAACCCTAAAACTACTATCCAAAACCGCCATTCCGTCACCATCAGCACCAATAGGATTAGTGCAAGAGATATGATGACCCCAAGCCTCATCCTGAATAAACTGTTTAAGTTCTGCTTCTGTAGAAATATCTGCTCCAGGCCATGTTTCGTTGAATGAACCATCGAGAGGAACGACACTATTCATTACTTTACGGGAGAAAGACATCCCTTCGTACATTGCTTGGAGATCTTTTTCCCAGGCATCATCGACAGTGGTACCTTCGTCGAAGGAGTGCATTTGGATGAGAGGAGTATCGAGAGGATCGGATGAACGGAGGGTCACTGTACCGGCGGTGTTGCGAGCGTGGGCTTTAAGTGTAATCCAACTCCAGTGTAGAGCATCACCGAGAGCGGGACCGGAATAGCCTGGATAATAGCCGTGGAAATTAGCAGGGGCGCCGGAAATGAGAAGATCGGGATCTTGTTCTGCGGTGCTAGATCGTAAGATGACGGCGAGCGGGAGACCGGGTGTGGCGTAAAGTCCTGCATCTTCGGTATCATTTTGCCATTGAGTTAAACATGGATCATCGGAAGTTGTGAGGAAAGTACAGCCTTTAGCGATTGAGAAATCGACGTCGGATTCTGAGATGACGGTTGTTTCGTAACGATCTTGCATGTTTGTGCCGACACCTGGAAGATCAACCACAACTGGGATATTGAATGATTCGAGTTCAGCTTTTGGTCCAACTCCACTGAGTTTGAGAAGTTGAGGACTGTTGTAAGTACCGCCTGAAATGATGACTTCCTTTCTAGCATTAACACTTCCAGGGATTCCTGCAGTGGCATTTTTTCCAGCTCTTGGGTCGGCTCTGTACAAGCTCTTGCCTTCCAAAAAGTCAACTCCGAGTGCTCGAGGTGTGGTGTCGTTTGAAAATCGAATCTTTGTTACAAATGTATTGAGTTTGAGAGTCAAGCCGTATTTCTTAGATCCGTCTGTATTGACCGCATTCAATGTTTCGAGAATGAAATTTCTAGCACCATTTCTTGTTCTTCCATCAACAGCAATTGGAATCTGATACAACCCAGTAGTATTGTCGCGCGTAGGTAACGGATTGTTGGGATCAAGATTGACGAGCTGGTTGAAGCCTTCAGCAGTCGAGAGAATTGAGTCAGAAGCATTTACTGCCAAAGCCTCAGCAGCAGAAAGAACAATCGAGTTAATCTTCTGGTCTTGAACAATCATAGTCTGGTTAGTCGCACTTGTATGGAACCATCCGTCAAAGCCGTGTCCAGGAGTGTCCTCTGGGAGATAATCGCAATGCTCCATCTTTTCAAAATATGTTCGCATATTGTCAGGAGCCCAAGAATCATCACCAGTGAGGTCTGCAATGTATTGCCAATCGCTCTCATGTGGGTAGATTGTGATCATAGCATTGTGGTTTGAACAACCACCAAGGGTTCCAGCTCGGGGATACCAGATACCAAGTGGCTCTGCATCCGCTGGAGGATCCAACCCGACATAGAAGTCTCCATCAGTAGTTTGGTAGGTCATTTTCGTGTCCTTCTTTTGACGTTCAAGATCAGAATAGTGATGTACGAAGAAGTTCCATCGCTGCGCTTCTATTTCTGTCGATGCAAATTGGAAGAGAGGCAATTCAGCAGTCAGGTCCTCCCCTTGGTCATCTCCAGCATCGATTAATAAAACTTCGTATCCAGCGAGAGCCAGACGAGATGCGAGAGGTCCGCCTCCTGGACCACTTCCAACAACGATGTAGTCAACCTCGCTCGGCGTATCCCGTGCAATTTTAGGGCGAGCATCATTTCGAGACCAGTAGCGGGCCTGTCTTGGGGTTCTAGAGAATATCAGTACGTGTTCTCGTCAATTTGATGGTTTTGAAGTACTGACAATGCCAACACTGATGAAGAACCCAAAGCCAGGAGGCTTAGGGCACGGATGGAAACCATAACTGAGGTTTCAAGCGAATAGAGACTTATTGAAAGAAACAAGTGATTTTTGAATAGAGTATAGGATTTTGGTGTATTGTAAACAAGTTATCAAGGCAGCCCCGAATGTGATCTGTTGATCCCTTGGGAGAAGTAGTGAGAAGCTGATGAAGGATACATTGAGAAAACGGAAATGGGCGTGGTATTTATTGTCGTCGTCGACAGAACGAATCTCAACCTTCGCCATAATGATCTTGATACTTCATCCAATTCAGAGAACTCCTGGACTCCGATTCGCAATCCTCCATTGTCTTTCCAAATGTTCTCTTCACGATGTTCATGACCTGAGAGCAAACCCCGCTTGAGGAAACATTGTTTGCGGAACCCCGAGTTCGAGTTTGGAAAGTGGTATTGAATGAAAAATCAACAGACAATGAATGATAAATCCGACCAAAATTCGGCGTTTTACCTTGTATGAAATTTCACTAGGAGGAGAAACATCGGCTTTCCTAAAAGATTGAAGATATAAAATACGAAATATTTCGCTAATGTAGTGTTCTCAAAAGGGTCTCGCGCCCCACAAGATGATTATGTGGATGACTAGGTATAACGCCAGTGCAGGGGAACAACCATGTGCGCGTACATGGATATTCTGTAGCCACTCGTGCCACTTATGCCACCGACACCATTATGGCTGTCGCATAACCTACGGCACAGCCGACCCACCAAATCCTTCATCATATGCTCAGATTCTTGCTAATATACCTAGGCTATTTAGATAAATGCCCTAAAACCCCAAAAAACTATTCTGACTCTCAGGAAACGTTACCCCGGCTTGAAGCTTAAAACTCTAAAATATTAATGACGGCAAGTGCTCAACCCTGTGTGTCATGTAATCCGTGTATTCAGACGAGGATGCGTCTAGTTACCAATTATAAACAGCTAATCCCCGTCACAAAATCACTAGGGGCGAACGCCTTCTGCGCAGAAGGATTTCTGTTTCGCCAATAGGGTATCTTCCTGCATATTGGCCACATGGATGAGTTCAAAAATTGAGATTAGAAATCCTTTCAACTCTTATAAAGGCTGTCATGGGTTCAAGGGCATCAGCGCACTTTTCGAAGTACCAAGAAATAACCAACAACTGCCGTATTCAGTTCATTTAGCCCGCAGAAAGCTTGATTTATTTACGCCATCCCGCTGCAAAAGATTTCCTTGGCGATTATTAAGTTGGTAGATCCGATTGCTAGTGGGTGGATGATGTCCGTTGCATTCCTATCCACTCAATCAGTCAACACCTTGCCGAACGTTACTATCTGCATTCTGGCAGCTGTCAAACCGCATTGGGTATGGATTCCCAAGTTAGCCTTGAAACTAGATTTACCTACCTATCCTCGATTTGAAAGATCGTATTTTGCCGTGCTTATTGTGTCGAAATTCTTTGAAGTGATCTTGTGTCTCCTGCATTAACCATGACTCGGTTGTGAAGGCCTTCACGCCCGCCTTTTTAGCTTTAGAATCCCAAGAATAGATTATTACAGTTGCCTAAAAGCCACGAACCTTGCAAGGGCCTTTAGGTGGTACGATAACGGTACAGAGTTACATTGACATTTTTCAAGGAGATTCCCGGCCTTCTTCGGTGATAAGGAAATGAAAGATGGCAAACGGTAAACGTTACCAGATCTAAGGTAGATCCAAACTGGGGATTCGTCCGCCCTTGGTAGCATTTTCATGCATATTTTCTAAAAGACCACGCCATGTTTTGGGGCCTGGCGTTAATTATCGCGCAATTATGCACATGAGCGACAAGGCTCTCAAGATGGGAGGTAGAAAGTCTCTGGAGATACGGAGTATGCAGATGGCCATGAGGAGTGCCGTGAAGGAATAGCTCAAAGGAAGGATTTCGCTACACAGACACTGAACGGAATACAGGACAGTATGACTTGCCTATTCGTGATTAGGCATTGTCCTTGTGATTTAAACATCAGACAAGCGCGGAGCAGACATGCTCAGCTATCAGAAGCTAAGAAAACTTTGTTCGGTTGTTTTGTACCGGTACGGAATGAGGCAGCCAAAGTCTGTGCCAGCCATTTGATTCTTTTCCAAGCCTAAAAGACCATTTTTTGGTGGCCCGTTTATCGAAGGTCTTGTTAACTTACCTCCAAGGCACCTTCAATTGTGATGGACGCTTAATCACTTCTCGACCGGCCGCTCATCCTCAAGCCGCTCTCTTCGCTTTTCTTTAGATTTCCCGTACTGAAAGCCACTTGATGCTAGGAATTTGAAATGTGGTGATTCAAAAGTTGGTATTGTGCATTTGTATTGACAAATGTATCTTGGATAGAATATTCCTACGACGATGATCACGACATCGGGGTAACAACTAACTGCTTACCCAAGTCTGACTTTCGACAAAAATAGGGAAGTAAAAAAGCCTTCGATTAAATGACCTTGTGTACTGTTTCATTGATTTGAAAGGGAAAATAGGATTATTGACTCGGAGTTCGTGCCCGTCGTGTATTCCTTTCGGCTTCGAAATCCAAATATCGGTGGGTCGAAGAGCGGATCCTCATTTTGTCCTATGTCTTCCGCCAAGGTATTGCAACGTGAAAATCGCGTGGTAGATGTTGAGTGGAGTATCTGGGAATAGATAGTGGGCATATTTTGAAGCATTCGAGATGAGCTTGCAGTAAGCCTGGGGAAGGAAGCACAAGCCGCATGTTGACGGCCTTGGGACGTTGCACAAGCTAAGGCCACCCAGCGCAAAATGTGATCAGCAGTCTTACAATCAGTTGACACGGCTGCTCTGACAATATGGCTTGGTTTAAACTTCAGCTTGGCTGGAGAAATGGTTATAATTGTAGCTGGGGATTGGTTCCTTTCCCCTCTGACCAGAATCACCAGTACGGAATCGAGAAAAGCAAATGCAAAAAAAAGGAATTGCCTAAATCCCACCAATCAATGTTGCCAATATCGAAATTCCGTTAACAAAACATTGAAATAGAGTTTGCATGGGTCGTGTATATATGATGTTTTACGGGACGTAAGAACAGCTGGAAATGGGTCACTTCATCGAGCTTATTCTGATGTCCGACTTTGGAATCCCATTGATCCGCGAATAGCGATCGACAACAGCGATGACAAGTTTAAGAGAAACTCAGAATATATATATGGACCCGAGTCGCTAGAAATCCGCACTGAGGTTGGCGGCGTATACGTGCTGACACTAGATGTTAGATGGTGAAATTCTCGATTCTCTTCTCACAATATTTCTCATTTTGGATTGCTTCTGAAGTCGATGACCTAGATGCCACTTTAGGATCGCACTGCGAAGTCTAAATCTGCCGCCTACGCTTTGGAAGAAGGCACTAAGAGATTGTACTATGGGGCAATAAAAGTTGTTGCATGAAGTAAGACAGAAATGACTCTTCATAACTCCGGGTACTTCATTGCTAATAAGGAGAACAGAGGATCATGTATTCCTATATCGATGTGCACCAATCAACCTGCTCTTCTTTTGCCAATGTCTAGTTTGAGAAACCAACACTCTTCAAGGCTCTATCCAAGAGAATGAAGACGGCTAAGCACGAGTAGCCAACATTTCAGCAAGCTCTGGGCTTAGAATTACATAATAACTCTCTTGAACATTCCTTGGGTGGTACATAGAAGCAGCAGAAAAGCTTGGAGCGGCAATGCAGGTATTTATTGCAAAGAGACCGCATTGCAAGATGAGTCCAGAGGTACTATGCGACAGCAATGTCTTCTCATCCAATCTCAGGTAAAATGAAGAGGATTTCGATGTATAATGATTCAGCGGGGATACTGGGCAACCTCATAAGCTGAAAGGTAGGGTCCCAGGCCCAGCCTTGGTGCCCTGTTCCACGGCCATCGATACCTCCTAAGATGAAGCATATAAGAGCATTCATATCATAGAAACATTAACATGGAACCTTGATGATACGAAAGTTGTTGTGATATTTTCAACAATGTAGTAAATAAGTTCTCATCGTTTTGAAAAAAAAAAAAAAAAAAAAAAAGGTTGGTGCAACGTTTTAACTTTGTCAGAACCTTAGTCAGCTGTCCTCGCTTTTCCCTTGCCGCGTATATATTTCTACACTCCAGTGTAAATTTAAACCCATTGTTGCATGAAAATGAAATGTCCGACTGCATCAAAATTTAACAGCATAACAATCATTCTCATCATGCCATATTCATTCTATGTGGTCTCCGAACACCTCACCTTATCAGGAGAGGAAAGTCAAACACAACGCGGTTTGATTTTCACTCCATTATCCGCTCTCGGTCGGGGTAATTGAAGTCCGACCATACGCTGGTTTATAATCATGTTCCGGTCATGAGAAAGATCATCCAGATATAAAAACTTCGGATAATCTTGAAGAGGGAGATTCACTCCAATTAAGAAAACATCGCTCATATCAAAAATCAAGAAGCATTGTTCCATCATGATACTTGCCGAAAGTACTACATTACCATGCGGTTTGAGCCTGCCAAACCGTATTTGCAAGGTATGAAATCTTCATACAATTTACAATATTTCTTCTTCATGCTAATACAAATCTCTAGGGTGCAATGGCTGAAACTATGTCCACCACTCACATACCTGATGAGTCGTTTTTGAAGGCGTATGGCGCCTGGGCTGATGGTGGTTGGGGAATGATAATAACAGGTACGTATATCATACCATATTTCCTCATAACCCTCGAAACATAAGAGAAATCATCCAGTGATGACAAGCTCCAATGTCCAAGGAACCTCCCCACCCGTTAGTTTTCCACATTCTAACACAAAACACAGGAAACGTCCAAGTGTCTACCAAATACTTAGGAAACGACAAGGACGTAGCCCATAACTCCAACCCCACAGAGGCCACCAAGGCCATCTGGAAATCCTGGGCCGCAACCTGTCAACGTTCTGGAACACCCACCATAGTTCAAATATGTCACCCTGGTCGCCAATCACCTCTTATGGCTGGAGACCGTGGGTTTTTTGAGAAAACTGTTGCTCCTTCTGCGGTCCCTTTGAGATTAGGAAAAAGTCTCATTGAACGAGCTGCTTCTAAATTGATATTCGGTACACCACGTGAACTGACGATTAATGATATCACTGGACCTGGCGGTATCATTGATGAGTTTGTGGTGGGTGCAAAACAATGTTACGAGGCGGGATTTAAAGGGGTGGAAATTCATGGCGCGTGAGTCTTCCATTCTAAAGTCATGGTTTCAATTATTGACTCTGCTTAAAATATAGTCATGGCTATTTATTAGCACAATTTCTCTCTCCATCTTCCAATATTCGCACTGACGAGTTTGGAGGTACAGCTAAAAAAAGAGCCGAGATCGTGGTACGCATTATCAATGCAATCAGAAAGCAAACGAGTAAGGAATTCTGTATCGGGATCAAGATGAATAGTGTCGATGCATCCTCCAATGAGTCCTTGACCGACAGCATGGAGCAAATCCAATGCGTAGTAGAAGCCGGAATTGATTTTATCGAGATCTCGGGTGGTACCTACGAGAACCCTCGTATGATGGAGGGAGACGCACCCACCAAAAAATCCTCAACATCTTCCCGCGAAAGTTTCTTCCTCGAATTCGCCAAAAGCGTGCGTGAACAATTCCCTTCCGTGGTCCTCATGGTCACCGGTGGCTTCCGCACGAGAATTGGCATGGAAGATGCCTTACAGTCAGGAGCGTGTGATCTTGTCGGTATGGCTAGACCCGCTGCTATAATGCCTAAATTGCCAAAGGAAATTATCCTTAACAAGGATATACCTGATGAAGAAGCACGCGTTACTCTCGCACCACTCGCCATACCATTTTTAATTCGACACTCACCTATTAAACAAGTCGGCGCTGGTTTCCAAAGCACGTTTTTTGCATCACAGATTCAACGGTTGTCAAAGGGTTTGACACCTGAAAATATCAGAGCATAGATACGGGCGGTAGGCATGTATTTATAGAATCTCAGCTTTCTTTAATTTGATAATGTTTTTCTTTCTTCACATCATCTTCTTTGCACGTGTATATAGTATCTAAACTTCAATTTATTTAGTAATCTTTTTATTTTCTTACATCATCTTTTTGCACTATCTAGCAACCCCATCACTAACCTAAGCACAACTTCCCGCAATGCTACTCGTGGCGTTCTTCGAGTAAGCACTCAATGCACTACCTCCACACATCAAGCCCTTCATAAACGCAGCAGCAACCACATTTGCACCAGCGGGACTAGTGTGGGTGTGATCATTTGGATAGAATGAATCAATAGTACTAGCTCCAAGGGATTGGAAAATATTGGCAGTATATAGACCATGATCTACGAACGAAGCAAGGGAGCCGAGCGCGGTGGCGACCGATCTTCCGTAGCCGGTGAAACGGGGCGAGGAGTACACAAAGGTGCCGGTTTCCCAAGGGTTGTCGGGGGTGGGGGAAGCAATGATTAGGTGTGCACCCTTTGCTGTGATGAGTTTTCTATGGATGGGACAGGTTGTTAGTTAGGGTTTCCGATAAGCATGTGGGGAAGGGATTAGTGCGACGAAGGTGTTACGAACCCTGCTTGTAAGAGGTAGAAAACATATGTATACACGGTTTCCCCTGTGACAGGAGAAATACATGTTTCGGTACCGCCTCCGAAACAATCGGTACGGAGATTATCGGTAGTGCTTAGTGATCCTCCATCGTTGTGACCGAATTCACTGCGATATCTATTAGTACATACATTTACATCTGTGATAAGATACTGGACACATACAAAAGAACATAATCGCCGGCAACAACAGAGTTAGCCAATGTAGTAAATCTCCCCTCGTTATAATACGAGCGAGCGGAGCGTCCGGCCACAGCATCATTCACGACATTGATACCCTTGAAACTGTACTTGAGATATTCACCGAATCCTATACGTAACCCATGTTAGCTGATAATCTCCAGCCGCATATATGATATTTGGAACGGGGAATATAGTACAAACCCTGAGTGCCAGTTCCACCACCACCAAGCGCCATGGTAGAATCACCAGCCAGATACAAAGTCGGAGTCGCGCATACCGCCGCGATGGAGGAAAGAAGAAGTGTGATAGATGTCTTCATGATGATGATAGTCGATGCCAAGAAGTCTGCAGAAATAACGGATGATGTTTGGGCCAGAAATCTCGATACTCAGGTAGATCTTCTACTCTTTATATATGTTTCCAGGCATGACTTGTGCAGAAGATATGGGCATGGAGAAATAAGCCTTCATCCGTCAACTTGGTGTTTTTCCATCTTCACCCCTCAACACCGTGAAATTACTCGGCGTTGAGTCTAGATGTCAATAAAACTAACGAATTTATTTATTCCCAGTCCTAGAAATCTGCATATTTCTACATGTAGAAACATATCCTTTTTCTTGGCTATCCATCTATTCAACTGCCAAGATGAAACTTCATCTTGCATATAAATTTATTCTACACCGATGCGGAGCAAACAAAAAAGACCACCAGTCGCAAAACTTAGCTGTCGGTAGATCTTCGCTGAGGTTACATATCTGTGGTGCACCCCGGATTTTAGTGGAACGATTCAGGGACATCTCTGCGCGGGCTTCCCCTCACACACGGTATTTTGGATGGGAGAATGGAATGTTACAGCTGTTCGTGGATCCACCAATGATGTCTAACCGTTTTTAATAAGCCGCCGGTTGAATTAGCCTTGGCAAGGGCTTGGTGACCACGAGATTGGGGGATCTTCGGAATCAACTTGCACGAGTGGGGTTCGTTTGTGACTTCTTTGGCTGATGTTGTAATGGTTCATGAAAGCTATTTGTGCGCTTGGGGAAACAAGTATCCGTGACCGATTATGGAGGGTGTGAATTTGAGGGGGGTATTTTTTGGCAATGAACTAGGAATATTCTGCTAGAGAGACGCATGTATGCCACTCATGCTTATTTATTCTTATCATGGTAATTAAAACGTGTCTACCTTACAGAAGCACTAGCTGAATGAAAGAAATGCTGCAGAAAATAAGAAAGCGGAGTTAGAGATGATCGTTGCGATTTCTGTCATGTATCGGCTACTGGACTACGCTTGAATTATTGAAGTTGTATCTAATTGATCTTGAGTGTACACTGTACAAGTACTACGCTCCAACTCGCATTCTAAATCCCCTCGATCAGCTTCTAATGTTTTAGATTGGGCAATTGCGATAAGTATCTTTTAATAGGGGGTTCTTTCTCTGTTCTAACACAATCCTTGATTCCAACCGAACATGGCTCATGCAACGCGAAAAGCATTATTGGGCGCATAACTGTGCCAACGAATTCTTTCGTACTTTTTGGAGGCTATGAAGATTCGAGGCATGTATTGGGGGATGGAATTTAAGGACACTTTATCTTGTGAAAATCGACATCCTGATCACAGTCCCCAAGACGTGTTCTCTTCAAAATGACTAGGTGAGTCCCGGAAGATTATCAACAACGGATCCGCAGAGGTTACTGCTGATGTGATTGATGGCGCAGGTTTTGGACATTCGACAAGATTTGGAAGACGATCTTAACGAGGTTCTAGCTGAGCTCAATGGCGCTTTCTGTGATCGTTGAAGGCTAGCATCACGGCCAAAAAGAGAAAGTCCTTGTCTCCTGCTGAGTGCTCGGGGTGCTCAATTGTTCGGGATGGATTGATATGAACTCTACCATACAATTCAGAAAGTCTGAGCACTCTTCTGTTGATTGCATGGTTTTCTTGGAGCTTTTGTGTTCTACTTTTTGGATTCGCCGAGATCCAGAGAGGCATTCTTTCACGCATCTAGCGAATTCAGATGATGTCAGTGTTATCTTTGCACCGTGTTGTGAAGCAAGCAATCAAGGCCACTGCCCTGGCAGAAATGCTAGGAGACCTCATGAAGGACAACCTCGTCAAAGTTCAACAATCGAAGTATACATATGCATATGTAGTGATCTGGAGTGGGCCTGGAAAGAAATCTGGCTATTTTAGCAAGATTACGATCTTCCATTTTACTTTTGAATGGCGATGAAACTTTAAAATTTGCTTTACAGTCGCCCATCTCGTCTTCAAATAGTGGTATGACAAAACGACAGCCTAGCCTAACCGTTAGACACGAAAATTCGAGGTTCGAGGTGGTATCTTTATGGGAAGCATTCGCTCCCTTCGGAGTCAGAGATACCATGAATATGGTCAATAAATACATAGGACCCCCAGACACCGGCGCCTGAACTTTTGCTATTTTTGTTTATTTTATTTCTCCTTTCCCGTTACTTAATTTGTAGGTTTAACTGTATGGTGTTCGACACCTTAGAGGATGCGGAAAACTGACTTCTGGAATCCAAACCAAATTGTATCCTAGAGAGGAAGAAAACAGATGCAATTTGCTTAAAGACTAGTGATGTAAAACTTGTTCCACTAACAACTTGTAAATAATTAAGGGACAAAGCTCGAAATTCTCGAGTGATATGAACCTTCGAAGCCGCCTAGCTATCTATACTGGATCTAATACCCCTAAGATCCCTAATCAATTCTTGAAAAACGATCAGTTGCGCTGTGAGCTTAATGTGATGATGTGATCGATACAACCATTGTGTTTGCACAATGTGCAGAGTAAGGTATGTAGACAATAACGTCGATCACTTGACCAGCCCGAGTAAGATTCAAGGAAATCTCTCCCTCCGACTCAGTTCATGCACTTCAAAGGATTCATACTTCCCTTCCAGCGCATTTGATTTTCCAAATCTCACTCACTGCCCAGATTATTCTCTAAAGCGTGAAAGAGTGCATCTGAGAGGGTGCGTAAGAAGTCGAATAATTATCAGTACTTGAGAAAGTGTTCTGTGCGTAAGTAAATGTTTAAGTAAACTTCCTTCCTTGCATCGTCTCCATGGATATAAATTTGAGATCAAAAATTACTTGATCGAATAATTAAACATATGAGATTAAACTAAAATAAGGAATAATCTCAAAGTAATAATTTTGACTTATATACTCTTTATAATGTATAAAATTTTGAAGAATATATCATTTATATAACTTTAGATTCTTAAAACAAAATCAAAAGATCATAATTAAAAAGACTTTATAAATTAAAAGTTTTAATTTAATATATTTATATTTGTTAAAGTGAATGGTTCCTGCGTAGCACGTGCACAGGGCACTAGTCCTGTTAGGACTAGATTGAGAAGCTCTCTTACAGAGAGCTTCGCACTTCCGTAGAACTTAGAAGAGAGATTTACCTACTAGACCAATATTACCTCAGTTCTGCCCTATCAGCTTCCCACTATTCCCTGTGTGAGGTCATTCCTTTTAACAATATTGAATATTATCATTGAAATGATTTTCATTCAATTGATTGTCGGCTTGCCGACACCAAAACATTGCTGTACGCGAGGTTTACCCGATATAGGTGATAGAAAATGAGAAACTCGCTTAAGTGAAGCTCGATCCTGACAATCTGATTGGTCTAAAATACCCCTGCAGAAAATCTAACAAAAAGCTTGGCATAGTAACCTCACAACCTCAGGCATATCTGACTTGAAGCTTTTTTCAACTTGTTACGACCACGGATCTTATACTAACCAATCGTGTACTTACGAGATACGATTTGATCGATTTAGTATGGAATCAAGGTGGTGTGGGGAACAAATATGCACAGATCCTGTTAAGATTAGATCCGGTTCGATAACAATTACAGAACCATATGATTAGAGGATCATATGATGGAGCATTGGAGGTTCGAAGGCTTCTATGGCTCCTAATTACGAAGATCTATATAGCTAGGAAGGATTCCTTATTGTAGAGCTTCGTGCTCAAGATCAATCATTTAGTATACTCTACTATTAGTTACGAATTACATATCATTATTGTCATTACTTAAGTCCCTGCTTGACGCCTAGTTATAAACCACTTCGAGAGCCTAGAGCACTTCCACGTGATCTAGACGGCAAACCTCGTAACACATGTTATGAAATCGGGTGTAAGAGTTTTAGAGAATTCATTGATTTTGAGCCTAATATTCGCTTTTTTGTCGAGTACATAACGTTACAGGTGCACGATTTCGCCGGCTTAGTCATCATGGACATCTTATATTCCCAACTTCTGCAAATCCGTCTTTCCTATACTCAATCCATTAACATTAAGTACATGGTCTTGAGCACATTTTACTTTGGAAATATTTACATCGGGTAATCTTTCCAAGAAATATGTATGCATTACACTTCATTAGAGTTTGCGGATTGCATTCCAGTGTTACTATCATATTCCGCATTCTCAACACGTTTGCGGGTGGCCGCAAACAGAAAATACACCGATAGGGATGAATACTCCCACTTTACTGTACAATTATTGAGGATTTCATTGGCAAACACTTCTTCGAAGTCGAATTAACCCTCCAAGTAGGATGGTTTCGTTACGCGCGCACTTCCAGCGTGCGATTGACGGCCCACGCGCGTGTTGGTTGATCCCACGATGGTGCTTTCCACATAGCCAACATATACAACTTACCACTGCCCCTCAAGACTCATGAAGTATATAGACTTTCCCAACAATATTTAATTGTCAAACTATTGTGTTTTTTTGATCGGCATATATCCTCAAGAATGAGTGTCTTTAGCCAATCGACAGAGACTTCCGTCGTGAAGCACGTCCCAGCAACGCGGAGTATGCGTCGCATCATTGCAACTCGATATCTTCAGTCTATCGAAAGCTGTCCGCATAGCATTCCCCGCAGTGTATCTTTGTCAAAATTGACTTCTTTCACGCTATTTAGCAATCTACCATCTGAATTCCGCGCTGAAGTCTGGGCGTTTGCTCTCCTAGAGCCTCACACAATAGAGCTCGAACTTCCACCTCTCATGGATACAATACCACAATGGATTTTTCGAATCAAGACAACGCATCCTCTTCTCTCAGCCTGTATAGAATCCAGAGCCGAGATTTTAAAACGGTACCGGTTGTCTGAATATTCGAGACACATTTCATTTTCTATTAATTTTGCCTTCAATCCATTGTTCCTCAAGAATCTCGACTTTGGTTTTGTTCGAGGCTGTTGGCCGACAACCACGGGTACTTTCAGCAGTGCTGTGCATTTGATGCCTTTACTGGGCATTTTTGATGGCGTAGAAAGTTTAGTGATTTCTCGAGAATCAATTTTGGATGCAGAATGCGAAGCAGAAAACATTATCCGCCGTTGGTTCCTAAATCTGTGTTTACTCATCGTTACTATCGACTTTTGTGGCGAGGATGAACTCTCCTTGAACTACCATTCTCAACTTGTAATACATCCGGAAGATGGTCGCCACATTTCAGTCCCGACCTCAAGACCACTGACTTGTCATTGGGACGCGATATATGCTTCAGGGATAAAAGCATATATGCAGCGGCGATTTGCAAGGCAAGAAAGAACTCACAGAAATTATGTTGCACCGATTGTGAAGGTCGTGAGCGCCAGTGAACGTTAATGAATCCTATGGTGGAATGTAGGATTACTTGATCTTGCTGCTACAATCATCAATAGCACCTTGCTGCGCAAAACCGGTACAAGCGTAATTTCAGCATCCTTTTTCGATGATCAACTGAAGTATTCACGAAAGAAAGAGATTGCGATGTTCAGCATAGCACAGTGGGGAGAAATTCATGTCGATTCTAGCAAATTCGTAAGGTGACACAAGCCCTGGCGGCGCCTGTTTCGTTGTCCAAAAGGCAGTTTGAATTGGATATGTCTCAGAAAAAGAGGATTCATCAACAAGGATCATGCATGAGCCATTTTATCTATCCGTGTCATAACCAAACTGTCGGGAATCTCTACAGCCTTTGATAGGAGCATCAAGCAGGAAGAGTGGCTACTATGCAGAATAGCTTCGGGGATACCTCAACTTGGGCTCGCAAAAGCAGCTCAGGTGGTTAATCATGATCAGTTGAGCAAGGTTTGACCGCCTTCTAGGCACCCCACAGGCAATGAATTTCTATACTACGCAAATCATAATACCTCGCCACAAAATTCCGTTACCTTTCTTGCACATTGGACATTATTCAGGTACCATGTTTCGTCTGATAATTCTAGCTTTTCTATCATCTCGTCAAGTCCACCGAAGAATTCGATGATTTTCTGCGCCCAACGGTTCTGTGGTTCGAGCGTATTATGATTGGTTGACCTAACAAGATCTTGCCGCCGTGGAAACTACCGTGGTTCACACTCCTGCAGCGCCACTGCACTTGCTCCAAAATACCGATGCATCTTTCTGCTTTTTTCTACTCGGTGTTCTTCGATTGGTCCAATTAAGGTTATAGCAACTGTTGTTGCACCAGTGTATCGATACTTACGTAACTCCCTTCATCCGTGAAGCTAAGCCTTACGTCTACCTTCCAAGCCAAGTTCCTACATAACACTTCCTATTGCACTGAAAATAAACTGCACATAACGTTTCTAATTTCGTAGCCATGGAAAGTTCCGAAAATCATGGTGCCCAACCGGCAGTCCAACAACAAATACCTCTCCTCTCAGGAATCTATAGTCCACCTCCAACCCATGAACATGGCCCTGACACTGCAAAACGCTATGAAGCTCTTGAAAATGAATCAGAATTTATCATAAGCCAAGCAAAAACACCACACCTTCCCACAGACTCAAATTTCTCAGATCAGCCCCCACGACATCAGCGAGGAAACAGTACAAACCGCCTTGGAATCTTCAGCAAAGTCTTCGCAACAAGCGGTCCTCCTTCTCCAAAATTTGAAACTATTTCTGTCACTATCCTCTTATTACCTCAAGCCGGTACACGACCCCTTCTTCTCACTCTCCGTACAATTGACATCCGCCTCGAAGGACATAAAGACAATCACCTGTCGCACATCCCCGATATGCGCTCATTTTGGGGCGATGGCGATGCCTGGCACGCTCGAATACAAAAATATTCTTCCCTAGCCATGGTCAAAGATTCCGCAGATCACGCTTTAACAGGAACATACATGCTGTTATACACGCCGGAAGGAAACGGATTACCTCTGAACGAGAGATGGACTGAAGGAGTTAGTGGAGATGCATGTATAGTGAAGCTAGGCAAGAATGTTTGGGGAAAAGGAGGAGCGGCTGCGTATGAGGATATTGATAAGGAATTTTTAAATAGTGGGTTGTATAAAAAAATGTTGATGGGACTGTTCGAGAGTCATTCGAAGAGTTCTAAGTCCTCAAAGGGTTCGAAGTCAGATGCGGCTAAACAAGAGAAGGAGAGTATTGATAAGGAGACTTCGTGAGGTACAGGCGCTTCTACATCTCTTTAGTTGTGCTTTGTGGTTTACTCAAGTTTGTCGTGGCTGGGTGTTCTGCGCTTTTTTTTCGGTTTGCGGAGTTCACTATTGGCGGGATAGGCTTTGAAATGGCGTTTTGAGGTACGTGTGGTATACTGGAATTTTGATAGCGATACAGAGATTTAATTACATTAACAATAACGCAATTTCCTGAACTAAAACTTGTGAAAATAAGGACTCAAATGGTATGGGGATGCTTGTATTGCTCTATTGTGACACGTAGAGTACAAATAAGCCTAGACTCGGCATGTTCATAGGCTAATGGCACTAATGGACCTTGAATGCTAGCTTCCGATGGACCTCGCTCGTCTGACTACGGAGTCATTAATAGCCCCTGGTGAGCCGTTAAGAAAGTTGAACCATGCCAATCAATCTTGGTAAATAACATCTACATATGAAACTTCCAGGACATAAAATTCTAGACTCGAGTACCAGAACTCAATTCTTTACATTCTCCCTGACCAAACCGACAATCCTATCCGCCAATAACTGCACATCTCCAGGCTATCTCGCGCTCATATAATTATACTTCTCATCTTCCACCACGAATCTAGTAACTCATTAGCTTGCCTCCATATATATCACAGAATACTAGTAAATAAATAAACCCACGGATTCAACAACAAATAATGCTTCCACTAGCTCTCAGGATCATCCAACCTCTTCCTAACCGACGCCTCCACATTCTCACTTCCCGCTCCATACGTTTTATAATAATCACCCAACACCCATCTCGTACTCCAATATGCCATTCCCTCAAACATGCCCGGTAGGGCCGTTGTATCACAATCATGAATAATACTTTTCATTTCCTCTCCATCGTTCCCCTCCATCATACTCTCACTTAATAACATAACCCCATGACAAACAGCCCCTATGCATTTCTTGCCAGGTTTCTTTACGTCCTTCCAATACCCAACAAGATGTTTGTGCATAATATTCGAATCGATTAACTGTCTCACACCTTTGTCATGACCACCAGGAAGAAACACCAAATCATAAGGCTGGAGGGAAAATGAATCTGAAGACCATGAAAGAGGCGATGTAAATTCTTCCGTTTGGGACATCTCTTTGTAGAGAGAAATGGTGGCTTGTGTAGCACCGAGTAATTTTTGCGTTATTCCCTCGAGCATTTTGATATCGCATGCAGGGCTCGCACCGTGTTCCGTCGCGAAATACACGCTGAAACCTGCGGTTTTGAAGGTGTGATGTGGGATTGCAGTTTCTAGGGTTGAAAGGTTAGTAAAATGGACTTTTAATGTTACACCTAGGGAAAGCTATAAAACGGTAAATTGATCGTGATTTTTTGGAATTTAATGGATATGGATGCGTGAGATGAGTAGCTACCTGTGGGATCATGACCATAATCCGACATGGGAATCAAGAGTTTTAGGACCGACATCGTTAAGGTAATAATTATGATTATGATGAGAAGAACTATGGAAATTCAAGAAATGGATGAAGAGGATGATTCTTTTTCTCTTTGATGGAAGAAAACTTTCTTCTTCTTATACTGCGCACGATGCTGAGTTAAAAACATTGATATGTAGGTAGGTAATCCGATGTTATCACCAACCGTTACACCTACTGTTTGCTTATTTAGCTCATGTTTTATTTATATAACCTTGCCCTCGTAATCGAATCCGGAGTTTAATGGTTAGTGAGTGAATCTAAGATGCTAATAGTACCTATCTTTCCACAGAATACAAAAGCAGGAGCGAGAATTGACTAGTTATTCCATCAAAATCAATGACCCAATCCGTGGCCAAGGGGTGAAAGATTGAAAAGCGACAATTATCCATACATCACATATCAATTAGTCAATATAACTAATCAGCCGTGATTTTACGTATACATGAAGGATTCCGGAGAATGAAACTAACATCCATCAATACGTGAGGAATGCCGAGCAGAGGTATGGTATTACAGGGTTACTTGAAATAATGCCCTTGGAACTAATATGAAATTCTTATATATCTTATTAACAATTGCAATATTTTATCTTGCATATAATATTAATTCATTTGAATTCTTCACGTGTCCGATTCCGAAATCTGGTTTGGTGATGAAGCATTATTGTGTAAAATGAGGTTAGTTTTATTGTATACCTGAGATCTATCCTAAAAACTAGCACTGACATATAAATTGTAAAGAAGCAATGGTATCTTCAAGCAAGCTCTCAATCACAATATTTATAATATACAGTGTCATAAAACCAGACTACCAGAGTCCTTGTTACCAATTATCTAAATACAAATCACCATACAATCAACTCCTCCTGGAGATCCAAATCTCCATCCTTTCGACAAGGACCCTGCCTAAACTTAATCAACGCACGCCGTCGTCCTAGCGAGATTATTCCCAACACTACTATCTTAGTCGCTTCTAATACCTCTTCTGCTCTGGAAATATACTCCAATCCTTTCTCTTCCTTATCTATGTACCATTTACCAATACTACTCGCATAGTCACTATCCCAAAGACCTTCTCTTCTGAGCGAAGTGGACAGAAGAGTATGTGCTTTTCTGCGTATCGAAGGGTCACGACATTTGCATACCACAAATACCAATGGTGGTATGATTACTGTATCGAATGAAAAGACTGGTCTATGTTCCGTTCTTGAATCGCTGTATGATTTAAGAAGCGACTCGGCTAGTGAAGTCATTAGCTCAAACTGATCGATATATCGATCGTAGTCTATTTCAGTTTCGAACAGTGCCGTTTCGAGAATAAGTTTGTTGGTTTCGTAGTCAAGTTCGAGTGATATAGATGCTCGCAGATCCTTTGTATCCATTGTTTGACCTGCCGTTTGTGCGAAACTGTGGAATACTGTGGACCACTGTTCAAGCTTTAAATCATGGTTCCTCTTTTCTTCCATTATAGCATCCATGTTATTTGACCGTGAAGCATCAGCTTTCTCTGTCGTGTCAAGACTATGGTTTTGTGTCACGCTCCGATGGTATTCCAGTATTGCATGAGTCTGATTCTGCAAATGATATTTTGCTTCATTCAGAGATGAAATGCTGTTTGGTATGCTATTTTGAGTTCTAAATTGAATTTGGTGGATGCAGTTGTCATTGCCAAGCTATTAGGTAAAATTGTCGTTGTCTGGATGTCTAAAGCACGAAACAGAGGCAAAAGCTCCGAGCGGATGAATTCTTGAGTCATGTTCGACTCTGAATCACCATTGGGATCATTTTCGTTCTTGTGGACGCAATCTCCTAGAATCTTCAGACCACTGTTAAGATGCGCAAATGCCTCTTGATAGTTTCCTTGCATTGCTTCAAAGCAAATAAACAAGAGACAAGATGTCAGAATTACTTCCGCAGATTGTGGATCACCTCCCTGTGAAGAATGTCCAGTCAAATGGCGTATAGCTTCATTATTCTGTTGTAGAGCAAGTCGTTACTTAGGATCATCAATAGCTCCTGCCTCCAACAACTTTTTATCGCCAAACTTGAAGAACTCGTGGAAAGCTCCCAGAGCAATCACCGCATGGCGAATGGGAGGATCGGAGTGACACCTTTGCAAAACGAGACTGTTCCAGAATCTAGACTTAAAATCACCTGCTAGTTCTGGCGCTGTGTTGTTGATGAAAAAATTGAGGCTTCTTGTTTCCCTTTCATCCTTTTCAATAATAGCGGATGATGTCGCAATTATGCTTGCAGTGGGACTAGCAATTGAGCTTGCCGTTGGCGAAGATCCAGCACTAGCCCTTCGTGCCAGGCCCGTGCTTGACATTTCCGGGCGATCTGGATCATACCAATCGCATTTGCGTCCAAGTTTTGTGCACCGAAGACATTCTGGTTTCTCTTCTCCGCATTTTACACGTCGTGTCCTATTTGCCGTTAGTTTCTCGACCTTGGAACTCTACTCATATACTTATCATAGAGGCAAAATATGAAATAAAGCAGGATGACTAACCGACAAGTAAGACATCCAGTTTTGCATTTCGGGCTCCAGGCTTTTTTCCTCGCAGCGTTAGCCATTCTTTGAGCAATTCATATCTCCTCTAAATATTAAATTGCTCGCCTCGCCTCGCACTTGTCGCGTATCGATTTCTTGTTCCATCCAGGACATGAAAGTGGGTAGCCATAGCATTCTTATACATCTGCGGATCCGATCCTTGAATAAAAATTTCAGGTCAAGCAACTGTGCCGTTACATTGTTGTTTTGACGAGGAATTCGAATCTAGCGATAAGTTGGCTTACTTCCCTCGATGCAAACTGGCATTTGAAGAATTCAGCCTTGCACTCCTCATGCATACAATACGCTTATATTAGTATGCAAGGAAGTAAATTTATAATATCTTTATTAGCACGCACTTGACGTGTAGCCGTATAGGAATTCAGCCTTGCGATACTGCACAACGATGATAATGCTACTTTAATTCGTCGTCATGCAGCGGCTACAACCTTAACGCTACATCGGGTTTCTGGGCCTCGTTTTTACTCATCTGACCGCAATTCTATCCTTACGTATGTAAGTTTTTGCATTTTTTCAGAGTGTTGTTTACATCCCTAAGGTATAAACAGTTCGACGTAACCCCTCCAAAATTGCATCTCAAAAAATGAAACTAAGAAACAGAAGTTCTTGAAAAGCTTACCCCCGCTCCGGACCATGCCTTACCATCAAACTGCAGTGGATATGCCCCGTCAAATCATAAGGTACAAAAAATTATACGATCCGCGTTCTACAATCATCTACAGTCAAAGGACTAGTAAGGACGTACACATTTCTGAGGATCCGAATTTCGACGTTTAGCTCGAGATCCCGTTAATGTCAGCAATTATGGATGATTTATCTTTAACAGTATCTAACAGCATCGCAGTTGCCGGCTAAGGCATTTAACAGCGTCAAGACGACTGGAAGCGCCGCATAAGTACTTCTTCAATCTATGCTGACTCTTCAGCCTCAAAGTAGCGTTGTCTAATTCGGTGGTTCGGGTCATATTCAAGACACGGTCAGGCAAGTTGCTGGTGGCTATTAGTAAGTGGCTTTGGTATCGGAATGAACTTGTGACTTTCAAGTTCCATTATACAGTCATCTTCTTCTTTTTTCAGGACCGATGGAGCCAAAAGTGCGGAAGACGCCATGCCCATGACCCGGACCGTTTCCACGGGAGAGTTGGGGTGGCTTGCCGGCTGCTTATCTCATAAGTTTGACAGAGAAAGGCTGAGGAGCTCCCTCAAATGACATAAATTTTGGCCTAAAAGAGTCTTGCGCCGCGAAAGGCGAATTAGACAACACAGCGTTTCAATTGGTTACGCTTACGAAGAGGAGGAATATCCTTTGAATGATAAGAGGGCTGGTGTGGCGGTGGCGAGTGTAACTTTAATCATATTGAAGGCATCCACACTATTCTTTAATAAGATGAGATGCATCAATCACATTCTTATCTTCGTGTGCGCGAAATGCATAGTAATCGACGTGACTTGTCTAAGTTCAGGCAAAGATCGAATTTATAGTGGAGGAGCAACACTTGTGGAGACAATATTGGATTTCGTTTGGCTCTAGTCTTCTCACGAAGAACTGAGCGACGGAGATGGAGTGAAGAAAGAGTACCGGTTCCGGGTTTGGCTAGTAAACGTGCAGAGCGCTGCAAATGTGATGATGATACGTTTGGGATTTCGTGGGCCTGCACGCTGTATCTTGATGGGAATTAGCAATAGTATACACCGACTTCGTCTTGCCAAGCAGATGCCCAGGTAGGTGAACATGTTTTATGGGGATTAGCAGGATCGCCTATGGTTGGGGCATGGGCTGTAATTTAGATCCGGAAAAGCTCGAGTCACTGGAAGGTTGAGGATCATCTGAGGCCAAGTGCCTGGCAAGTTTCAGTCGCCTTCAGAAGTCTTTCTTGTAACCGCCGAGTTTGACAGGTCAATGCTCGTAAGTTTGGCCTATCAAATTATGCAGTGTCTTTCTCGTCTTCAGGTGCTTAGAGAATCCACCATGTTCCTGACGACTGTCTCGAATAAGGAGTGTCAGAGCACGACTGACCTATAACGACAATGATAGTGGCGTCTGTGAGCCGGCACACCATATGATTCTCTAGAAATTCGACCTAGGCCATGCCAAGTTTGCCAGTGCTTCCTACAAAACCTCCTTTCCACAAGCTGCACCAAAGTCGCGGTGAGCTTCACAGCGCCTAATATCTGATGATTAAAGTAAGATCTGAACGTTTGCACTGCGCACACACGTGTGCACGTCTTTGTTGGGTGTTTTAAAATAAAACCAACTACACGCCGAGACCGGCAACGAACATGTAAACTCCGTACACAGCTGTTTTCATTGTCTGAGGAATATCAACCATTGTGAGATTCGACGCGATACGACGCGGCAAGAGTCGTGTATGCAGCTGGATAGTTTAAGTATTTTGACTGTTTTCGGAAGTTCCCTTCGGTTGTGATGCTGCCGGTTTGGATCTAGGGTTGTGATTCTTCAAGTAATTCACGCCAGCTTGTTTGATATGCCACACCTCGTCTGTCAAGCTGAACAGGAAAAATTATCGCGACGATGGATGTGGAATATGTCAGGCTGGTGTATTCTTCTCCGATCTGGGCATCATTCTCCACGGCTTTGCTTGCTTGCCCAACTCGCTCTATGAGACCATAAATACGAATTGTAATTATTGCCCCAACACGGCATTAGCCTCTCGCTAAAGGGAACTCCTGAATTCCCCACAGCACTTGCAATAAGTTTTTTCGCATGGCTCAAGTAAAGACCACATTTTGAGATTGTCGAGCATCTTTTTCTCATAATGGAAAACATTCGTCTCATAGAGGCTGCCTATTGTTGCGAGATCTTCCCGTCTCAGAAGAGCCAGGTTTTTCGATCGCGCGCCCTGCAGCATCAATGCAACTCATTGTTGGGCCCACCATTATTTGTGCCGCGGTGATCCGATTCATATTCCATTCCCTCACCAGACTGTGTGCTTTGCCTGAATGTAGATACTGCGTATTTGCTCAATTTGATTCCAGGTGTGCCAGCCTAATACAAAGGCTAATCAACAGAAAGCGTGTTGAGATTAGTACTGTATGTTGTAGACTCTCCTCTAAATTCAGCCACAGCTTGACCTTGATACCAGTGAGGCATATCATTACAGCTTGTTGATAGACACTTATGTGGTATATAATCGAGAAGTCTGATCTGGCGATCGGCCAAGAAGTCGATAGATATCCGCCATGTTACCCAGCTTTGTGTGGTAGTCAGCTCCCAGGATGTTGGTCTAAGCCTGTGTGTTGCCGTTACTGAGTAGTTGATGGATAGCTTTAGTTGCTTGCTCAATAGTGGGTGCCGTTTCGGTGTAAGTTGAAATGATAACTGTTGGTGTTCCGAGGTCGCTCGGTGCTGCAAGGGTGCAAACCTGTTCAAAAGTACCTAATGTCGCTAGATACTTGACCATGATCACTATTGAGGGTGCAGAATTATTTCGTGTTTATCAATGAACAATCTGAATCATGGTATAGCAGACATCTTTGTCCCCTGCTAGGGTATGTATTGTATCTGTTGCTGAGGAAATGGCCTAGGGTCTATCAATGAAATCTCCGTATTTTGGTTATTTACTTGCTTTCACGGCTTTCTCGGCTTTCCCCCTTCGGTGCAAACTTATCATTTTATGGCAGAAAAATAATGTATATGTAAGAGTCACATCGTTTGGAGATATTGAAGCATTCCTGCTACTAGAAATACATTTCCAGACACGTCGACTAGAACATCACCTTTCCATAATATGCACCAACCGATAAGCATTGCCAAGTGGAATTAATTCGATATTTAGAACTTGCAAACAAAGCAATGTTGCATATGCTGGTGCCCGCTACCCCAGACCCCTCGGGCTGACGATGCCATCCATTGGTTAGCTAATTAGTTGATATATCACAAGTTAGCGTATGAGAGGATTTCTGAACTCAAGGTCGATTTTACAGCTTTCAGAGGCATAAAAGAACTGATTCAACTCAATAGCTCGAAATCAAGGATATCACACAGCCGAAACAGGATTCAACGATATAAGTTATAATATTCCAGTTTTCCTACTGGAAGTGCAACGAGCTTTTGCTCTCGAGTATGGAGTGGGGTATCTTTTGAAATCTTCGGAGATTGGAAAGGAAAACGTGTTTCGATTTCATAACATAACATGTCATGTGCCGTGTTCCTTCTCCATTTCCCTTTCCAGTCTTTCACTTCGTTCCTTCCATAATCTCCGAAGCTCAAAGCCTACTTCCACAGCAATGAGAACAATAATGATCCACTCTAGATGGATGCTGTGCTTCTCACTCATCGTCTCCCGAAGAATTGTTGCAATCTCCTGGGCATAATCCATTTTCTGATTCAAAGTCTTGATCCGTACACCAACATCAAGAGCCCTTCCAACTTGATCATAATACCCTTCTAGACCTAATTCATGCCTACTATCCCAAAACAAATCCGGGAGTGAATCTGTGAGCTCGGAATAGTGGTTTAGCCGGGCCCGTAAATCAAGTAATTCCCCAGTCTTTTGTAACATGAATTGCCTATTAAAAGGTAGCCTTGACCCTCTTGAGAGTAATGTAGGTATGGCTTTGGTAGATTCGAAGTACTTTGACAACATAGTCTCGAGGACCGCGAGTTTTGTCGACCTAGCAAGGCCAGAAGAGAAGGCAATCTTTGCAAGAGTTGTATCTACTCGTGAACTATGGCAAAAATTAGCATTGATGATTTACCAGGCAAATGTGACTGGGCGTGGGATACCTTAAACGGCCCTCACTTGGCGAATCCTTCGTCCCTAGCACAATGATATCTCCTCTTATACTGCTGTTCTCGCGTTTAGCGTCCTCCTCACATTCCAGATCTTCTATCTCAACATCGGTCACATGTGAATCGATAGCGGCTGGTAATAGGGTCTTGGTTGCCAAATCTGTAACTACATCCTGGGGTAAAGACCATGCCACAAGTGACCCTGAGGGGAACACAAATATATCCCCATTGTTGACCCCTCGTGTGTGTATAACCTCATCGGATTCAAAGCCAGTTCCATCTGGGTCAATTGAGAAGCCGTGCGATCGTAGGATTCGAGCTACAGCTTCCATGTCAAAATGATCTGCCACGGAGATAGCAGTAACTCTATTCGTGCCTTCAACATTTTCGGATGTGACTTCAGATCGAGTTGTGTTTTGCCTGGATCTTTGAGCTTCCACTGCTACCCTTCTCAAACTCGTCTTCCCAGCTGGCGACCGTATAGGCTTTCTCTTCTGAACAGGCTTCAGCTCTGATGCAGATTCGTGAGTGGATGATGCGAGATCTTGTTGGAGGGCAGCGTTGGAGGAAAAGAAATTCCGCTTTCTAGGTTGTGGCGCCGGTGCTGTAGCATGTAGGCATCGATAAGGAAGTCGTGAATTATTTTCACCAATTGGGCGTCTAACTGCGACAGAGGAAAACGAACGACGTAAAGACTTCATGGTAATTGTAGACCTTACTAGTCGTACAACATAAATTGTACACAAAATTGTCCATGGTTGCGAGGGTTTCGAAGCTAGATTATTAGGATCACCCCAAAAAAATAAATTTACTGCCGAAAGCCTAGAACTCGGTTATCTGAAGGCGCTCTAAACTTCACTGGCATTGACGTCGTCGGTGTAGCTACCCCTGCACATCCTTGACAACAACAGCAGATGTGATCGTGAGAGTCTGCCGTTATGGCTGAAGGCTCAGAAGAACAAGGCGACACCAAAAATCTAGACAATATTGAGTCCAGTCGAGCTGGCACTGAGACAGGAGATGATGATGATACCGTCGAAACAGAATCGGAGGAGGATGAAGAGGAAGAGGAGGAAGAGCCCAAGCTAAAATATGCTCGAATGACAAGCCATCTTGGTCCAGTCTATAGGAATGGAGATGCTACAAGTACTTTTCTGGTTGCTGGCGACAAGATGGTGAACCTCCAATACCCCGGTGACTGAGCTCCTGCAGCTAACTGTTTTGTAGTTTATTGGTACACACAATGGGAATATTGTATGCTACCGAAACCCCGCTTTCCTTGAAATGACCTGCTAACATCATATGCAGCATGTATTGTTGCTGCCTTCGTTCAAATCGGTTCGGACCTACCATGCTCACTCAGCTTCGATTACGAGCATATCCATATCTCCCTTCCCTCCTCCGCTACCTACAGCAGTTCCTGAAGCCGTACAGCGCTTCACATCGCGAGTGCACTCAGACGCTCCAATTACACCGCAGAGACCTCCATCAATGATATCCCAGTCCTCCACAAATACAGCTCGTAGTCCTGGAGCTCCAACACTGCAAAAAACTCCTTCCAACGCAATCTACATTGGCACATCATCTGTTGATGGCAAGGTGTGCATAGCATCGCTCATTGATGTCAAGGATGTACAACTAAGAGATTTTGCAAGACCTGTCCAAGCTGTTAGTCTGTCGCCGGATTATAAAAATGATCGCACATATATATCGGGAGGGCTAGCAGGAAATTTAGTGCTTACCGTCGGCGGTAAAGCAGGTACAAGCTCGACGTCTACTACTACTGGAAGTGCGGCGGCTACTGCAAGTGGTTGGTTAGGAACTATTGGTTTAGGCACACATACTGGGAAGGATACTGTGTTACACTCCGGAGAGGGCACAATTAATACCATCAAGTGGTCCTTGTCAGGAAGATATGTTGCTTGGAGCAATGAGCATGGCATTAAAATCATGAGGTCTCACTTGCAATTGGACAGTGCGGATACTGAATCTGCTTGGAGAAGAATTGGGCACATAGCTCGTCCAGATGGGGAGCAATGGGAAGATATGGCCAGTGTTTGGAAAGCTAGGGTCGAATGGATAGACGAAAAAACTCTTGAAACTGATGAGGATGATAAAGCTCGCGAAGCATCAACTGCGTCCCCTGCCACAGCGAAGCTGAGATTGCAAGCTTCGAGAGATAAATTGCGAATTGAAAAATTGGTCGTTGGATGGGGCGGCACAATTTGGATGATTAATGTGCACCCTGGTGGAACGGGAGTTGGAAAAAATGTGGGAGAGCGTTCTGTTGGTAGCGCTGAGATCATTAAAATGTGAGTTGCAAGACTCAACTTACTATGGCGGTATTGGGACTTTCTAACATTGTTAGGTTACGGATGGATTGCATTATTTCTGGATTATCGTTATATACCCCAACTTTACTTGTTGTGCTTGCTTATGTTATGCCTGATGAAGAAGATGAGGAATTTGTTACACCGAAAGGGCACAAATCCCAGTCGTCAACGGGTAGCGGACCGAGTGGTGGAATACGGCGTCGACAGAACGCACTATCGCCAGAACTTCGTCTTATTGACTTGGGAACATCCCAAGAGGTGGATACTGATGGATTAACAGTCAGCCGTTACGAGAGACTCTCAGCTGGTGACTACCATTTATGCGTGTTGCCCGCCGCTCGAGACGAACCGGTCGTTCAAACATCTCGCGGAACCCTGGAAGCCCTTACTGGAATGGGCAGTGGTATGTGGAATGCTACAATTAATGCTACATCATTGCTTAGTTCCAGTGCAAGTGTGATCAGCAATGGAAGTACAGGCGATGGTGATTCAAAACACACCTCAGTTAGGTCAAGGCTCGCCCAGTACAATCGTGCTACTGCTGCTCATCCGCACATCACCACGCCAGGGATGAAAATCTTCATACAAAGTCCATATGACTGTATTTTGGCAACGAAACGAGATCTCTCGGACCATCTTGCGTGGCTGCTGGAGCACGAAAAGCACCAAGAGGCCTGGGAGTTAATTGACGAACATCCTGAAGTGATTTCATCCTCTCCCGAGAAGCTCTCTGAAATTGGGCCAGCAACTCCCGATCGAACACACTCAAGTAGTGATGACTTCTATGATTACGAAAGCACGACCATCGAATCTGCAAGCCGCTTGATTAACTCATCCGTGGAAAAAGAGAAGCGCAGAATTGGTGAACTTTGGATTCAATCCTTGATTGAGAACGATGACTGGACCACTGCAGGCAGAATTTGCGGCAAAGTCTTGGGTACATCGGATCGTTGGGAACATTGGGTCTGGGCATTTGCTGGAAAGAATAAATTTGATGAAATAACGAACTTTATACCTACGGCACAAATCAACCCACCACTGCCATCGACAATCTACGAGGTTGTGCTGGGACATTATATTACCCATAACTTACCACGGGTAAGGGAGTTGCTCGAGCAATGGTCACCCGACTTATTTGACATCAAAGCTGTAGCCACAGCTTTAGAAAACCAGCTCAAATACCGGGACGTCCGCCAAGACAGTGTAGAAGATGGTGAAATTGGTAGGGATTGGCGGATCGTCATGGAATGCTTAGGGAAGCTTTATGTAGCTGATGGGCGGCCTCGCGAGGCTTTGAAATGTTACATCAAGCTCCAGGATGCCGATTCTGCTATGGTTCTTATTAAACAATATCGTTTAGTGGACGCAATTGCAGATGATATCCCTGCCCTCATCATGCTACGCGTTTCGAAGGACCAAAAGCGACATGCTTCTATCTCGGAACTAAAAGAAGCTACGTCTGAAGCTATACAGTTACTTGTTGATGAGGCACATCATGGTCTCGTTCGACCCCAAATTGTCGTGGATCAGCTAGAAGAAATGCCGTTGTATCTCTTCTTCTATGTTAGCTCGCTCTGGAAAGGTGATGGCATAGATGAACTTCCAAGCGAGAACCGCGATCGATTATTAGCAGAGAGTAGATCGCTCGTTGACGGTCTTGCTGATTTAGCTGTAAATTTATTCGCGACATATGATCGCGACCTACTTATGGAGTTTCTCAAGTCTTCCACCTTCTATACTTTTGAAAAGGTTTGTGTAGCTCCATCTTTCTATTTAAGTAAGCTAACAAATCCCTAGGCAACACTTGAATGTGAAAACCACTCATTTATCCCTGAGCTTGTGTATCTCTACTCCAAGACTGGACAAACAAAACGCGCTCTCTATCTCATCATTGATCGTTTGGCGGATGTTTCACAAGCTATATCATTTGCCAAATCTCAGAATGATGCAGACCTCTGGGATGACCTTCTTGAATACTCTATGGATAAACCTAGATTTATTCGTGGGCTATTGGAAGAAGTTGGGACAGCAATTGATCCAATCCGTCTAGTTCGGAAAATTCCCGAAGGTTTGGAGATCGAGGGCCTGAGAGAAGGTCTCAGTAGAATGATTAAAGAATATGAAATCCAAGAAAGCATAAGTCAAGGAGTAGCAAGAGTACTACGAGGAGAAGTTGCAATGGCGCAAAACACTCTCCGAGCCGGTCAACGTCGTGGCGTCAAATTCGATGTCACCCAACAAGAAATCGAAGTAGACAGTGAAACTCAACGTCCAGAGAGACAATCCCACAAACACAAACCAGTACACTGCATAAGTTGCAAGAACGCCTTCGTCGAAGGCGAAATAGAGACCCTAGTCGGCTTTGCATGCGGTCACGTATGGCACCTATCTCACCTCCTAAACTACGGCAAAAACGAAGACCAGATTCGTCAATCGGCTGATGCGGAGAGACATCCTACGTATGATGGATTTGACGATGGTGGGGACGACGAGCGCAGATATACGAATGTGCATAGTATTGGGACGAAAGTGACGCGGGCGAGGTTATTGAAGGATAGGATTAGAGGTGGCTGTCCGGTTTGTAAGGAAAAGGGTCATGATGTTTATGCTTGATGCAGATACGTATGCGTATACGTATGCATGTGCATGGACTTACTTGGGTGGTAGCATATGGAGCGATGGGATGCATGGCTTGGAGTAAGACAATACGGATATGAAATTTAGAATATAATAATACCTACTCATTGGAAGATTATTCCCCTGGTTGTTTTTGACAAGTCCCCGTTATGCATGCTCATGAAAAGGTAAATTTCTCTGGTTCTCAATCGTATCCCGAAGTATAAATCTTGACTTGTTTTCATTCAAATCCAAAATTACCAGCTCTAAATCTATCAAACTCGCGGATATACCAGTACAACAAGGTAAAAGGTAGTAAAGATCTTGAAAATCATGAAAAATCAAGCTTTTCAAAATCTAATCTAACAGAAAAGAAACCTCTTCCAATTCAATCACCAAACACCATACATAACTAAACTGACCACTCAACAAACGAAGTAGACAACGAAGTAACTAACCAGGTAACCTAACTCATCTCCTTTCCTCAGGAATCCTCCCATTGAGGTATAACCTCAATCTACTCAAGTTTTTCACCCGAACTCGTGTCATACCACCAACCAACCCGTACTCGATCCCTTCTGGGTCTGTTATCGAAACCTCCCAGCCTTCCCTTCCGAGTTTATTTCCAGGCGCCACTCGACCTTCACGTTCGACCATTCTTTTCATAAACCCGGCATCCTTGACAGCGAGCCCCGGTTGAGTGTCGCCATCTGGACCTTTACCGGAGCCTTGACTGATGTCTAGCAATCTCTCTCGCCAGCGTGGGTCAAGTGGAAACATGGTATCTAGATAGTGCTGTACGAACATATGACCGGTCTAAGCATTCAATTGTCAGCACATAGATCAGGCATAGTTGCTCAAAGATATACTCACAGCTTCTACTTCAAAAATCCTTCCCATATAACGCGCTGCGAAATTATCATCATTTTGAATCTTGGCAAAGTGAAGTATTCCAATTCTAGAGACAATTTCAAATGTATGCGCGTGGTGTTCAATGTGTGGGATGGACTTTCCATTCATCTCTTGATTAGTGAGAGGGTCTGCAGGGTTGTTCGAGCCAGCCGCGGGTGATGCCGGTTTAGCCAAGGCGGCTCTCTGGTATTCCCGGCGAAGATGTGGGTTGTTGAAATGATTAGCGGCGTTTCCAAATGTGTAGACCTCGAGCTTTCGGACAAGGTCCTGAGGGATCTCAGCGAGAAGCCGGTCTATCATAATGCTAGCCTCAATGCCACCTTGAGAATGGCATATAAGAATCACTCGCTCAACACTGGTGTTGTACAAGTCGCCTTTGAGGATACGGTAAGCGATGCGAATGTCGGTAGTGGCATAATCGAAGCTGCGCTGGATCACACATTCGATGAGGTCGAAAATTAAGCCATTGCTGCACTTGATTAATAGGGTACAAATATGGTACGAGAGATACTTACGTTCTGTTGTGGATTCCCATGACCGGGCGTCCAAAGGTGATGGCGAGACGATTCACAGAACCTTTAAGCCAATGACGTCTATCATTTATTAGTTCATGACAGCAGATTGATACACTTGCTAGAACTACCCAGTGCAAACACCATTCAAGTATAACCATCGCTCTTTCGCATGCTGGGTCCTTCCCTGGGCGTGTTCACAAGCAGATCTATAGGTCCTCGCCGATCTCGGCCCATTCAAAATATAACAAATTGAGTAGTTGAACAACCAAAACGCAGTAAATCCTGCGAATACCGCCCATACTGGCATCAAAATCCAGATAGGAATGGAAAGCAAAAACAATAGTTGCAGAACGATCAGGAAAGCATGCAAAGTAAGATCTCTGTAGTTCATCCAAGTAAAAGATAATTCGCAAAGATCATTAGAAAGAGCGGGAGTCCGAGGCCTAAAGACATTGAGAAGGTATCCGAGGTTTATAAGAACGAGCCATAGGTCACCAAGAAATAACTTGAAAGGAGATGTAGTGTAGGACAAAGGAGTAACGAATATAGATCCAATTTGCGATGGGTAGAAATTGACCATGATTGACGAGCCTACTTAGGAAGCGACAGATGGGATAAACAGGGAAATGAAGATGCAGAACGACAAAAACAACACGCAGGATAACGCTAAAGATATTAAAGATCTACGGAATGGTACATGAAGCATTTGTTTTGTCTCAATAAAGGAAGGAATGTGACACGAAAATTCAGACCCTTTTTTCGGCAGGAGCATTAATTAGAGGCTGGATGAATCACCCGACTGGGGAGCAACTTGGCTCTTATGGCTTGACTCAAAGTAGGTGATCTAGAGTATTCCAATAAACATGAGCAGAAATGCTATACTCAGCTCAGAGGCTGGGAATGCTGCCACCGTTGTAGTCTCACCTCTCGGCGCTGGGTATAATTGCCAGCTACCGGTGAAGAAACGGCCATGCTCGGAAGGGGAGTTTGCAGTGTTAGTTCTAGCTGATCCTGTGTCATGGTCATAGGTAGTAATAAAGAGGTCAATGATTTATAATGGATTTTATCACTGGGAGAAGATGCTTCAAATTCAGCTGTCCGCTCGCGCTTGTGTTTACTTTGAGTGTGGGGTGTGGGCGGAACTTTAAACATCACAAGTCAGCACAGCATGCCCTTCGGGAGATCCTCGGCTTCACATGTGCAACCACATGAGGCATGTTTTATTTTCGACGTCAACTACGATTGGAAGGAGCGACGGCCGGGCAGCATGGAAAACGAAAGTATTGACTTTCATACTTTCACACGGCTGTCTGAGTATCTTCGACTTGATACATTAATATCTTCATTCTATACCCTTATGACTCCTTCGACCTTGACCATTTCGCCATTGTTTGGAGGCTGATTCCCCTTACCAGATATGCATATGCTAGATTGCCCAGCTGTGAAGGCATTCAAGATTTATTCGGCAACAAAATGGTGATGAGGGTGGGATTAGGGTCCTAAGAAGGACGCTTTCCACCTTGTTCGATTTCTCTATGCCTCCCTCTCCGTTCTTTGGGATAGCAAATATTGTCTACGTTGAAGTTCCAAATCCTCTTTCCCTATGCGAGCGGGGATTCGTTTTCAGATCCATTCCTGATACAACACCAAAGCTATCTAAGATCGTGGGTTGATCTCTATTTCCAAATGGAAAAAGCCAGTGCAAGTGATAGGTTTTTTTCTATCAATATAGAGCAGAGTAAATTACACGCGTAGCCTCTGATGACCTTCAACACCTCATTTCGCACGGGAACAATATCAGCACAATATATGAGAACTCCTAGGTCTTCATACTTCCTTCATGAGCCATACATATCTATCTCCTTTATGAGAATATTGGTGAATACAACCTCTCGCTGAATGCTACCATCATCTCATTAGCGCGACCTATTCGAAACTTCGTCGAAAGACTCATCATTCGTATCAGAATTCGGAGGCTGCGAGGCCACCACTAGACAAGACTACGAGCCAATACTTCAGCAACAATGTGTCTGTCAGTCAGTCACGACAAAACATGATATGCACGGATCCCGTACCGATTATTGTGGACATGTCGACAGAGCCCAACACACCAGGATAATCCCTGAACTACAGTCGCCGGATCTCTTCAGTATTGCCTGACCATCTATATATATATATAGCATACTAGGCATTTTAGTACAGTATGTGCAAGTACCAGCTAGAGAAAAACAAAGTGTGGAATTGTATGAGGTATATTGCTTTCATATTTTGAAGCAGTGTTACCACACGCTAATAGCAGAGCATCGTTTTGGATCAAAAGTATATGGCTCGAGTACCTACTACCTATACATATGAAGGTAGATAAGGGTGGGTGGGTATGGCACGTAGCTCTGATATGTTTAAATATTGCTGTGTTGCTATTTTGGTACTGTAAATTGGAGGGGTGACACGGTGAAAGGGTTGTGGGATGTGTGAAATGGGATGTATGGAATGGGATATGGGATATGCGAGAATTAGGATGGAGATACAAAACGAGGAGTCAATAGTTAGGAACTAAACAGTTCCTCGGGGTGGTTTTAATATGTTAAATATTAAGTGTTGGGTGCTAGAGGATATTGGTTTCGATTGAGAGGTAGGTAGATGAGAGAGGGACCTTTAGAAGCCATACTTGGAGATTAGCCAGATGAAACTACTTTATCCAGGAATGAAAGCTCACGAGCTTCAATATTCTATCGATATCAATGAATATCTAGATACATACCTAGATTAAGATAGAAAGACCAAACTAAGTCTTCTCAACTCAGGACTCTTTTGAAGAAAACCTACCTAGCGAACGACAATTGAAGGATCTTAGAACCATGACTTGTTTCTTTTTCCTCTATTCCAATGCACATCGCCATCTTTATATTGATGATTAATAAAACTAAAATTATTTCTCTTCTTCAAATAAGATATAATTATATATACTACCTATATCATAAGATACCTACTTATCTACATACATACCTACAGTAACATAGGTACATACATAACATACATTAAAAAATGTAAAATACTATGCTAAATAAATACAAGTCAAGTCAAGTCCAGTCCACCACTGAAAGAAAGCCTTTCTCTACAATTCCTCAACCTCATGTACAATTTTTTGCTTTTGCTCCATCATCCAATATTATTAACTCATCTGTATCTGTGCCTTCGTTCGTCTAGATCAATTCTCATTTATCATAACATGACGCATTTTCAGCCTTCTCTTTACCCTCTCCTCTTCTAATACTCTTCTCTCCGTCCATCTATTCCTTTATCTTTCACCGCCCGGCTCCTTCTCCTCACGAGGTAAACATCCCCAACTGCTTCTGCACATTCATCACTCTTCTCCATCTCTCCATCACCCCAAGCACACTCATAACACCCATCAACTCAAACTCATCGCCCAACCCCGCACTCCCACTCTCCAACTCCAACCAGCGCATCATACCCAATACCTTCCCTCTTTCCTTTCTCGGCCGTCTTTTCCGCTCTTTATCAGCCCAGTCTTCGTTTCCGACTCCGACGTATACGGCAATGGTTTCGCCGGTTGAACATCGCATGAGCTTCATTTTTACCCCGCCTTTTTTACTCGTCATTTCTTCGGGGACGGCGGCGAGTCCGACTTGTGGGGCGGAGGAGGAGGACGATACTTGGCGCCATTCGAATTTTTCTTTTACAAAGGTTCGGGGTAGGGTGTGGTAGAAGGCGTACCGCTCTGCTGTGAATATTCCGCCTGTAGGGACTAATCTCTCGGTTTTGTATCCTTGGGATCGCACGCCAAATGTGAGGGAGTCGCCAGGAGAAGTAGGTAGGTTGTAGGTTGTAGGCGGTGGCACAATGGCTTTTGAGGGTAGAGAAGATGAGGAGGGCGGAGTGAGCGGAGAGATGGGGCGTGTCGGTGGTGGGAGCGTGGTTATATCTGTTATGAGGGTAACGGTGTTGAAGCATGCGAAAGCGAGCAGGGGTGAATTAGGTGATGCGCTGGAATGGAGCGCAATATCCGGCTTGTTGCGGTTACCTGGAGGTGGTACGGCTGGAACATTTTGCGATGTAGATTGATGGATCGTGATATAGAAGAGTGGCGGTGGTGACGGGAGGGGTTTTTGATTATTGGATGCTGGTGGTGGTGATGATGGTGAGAGAAGAATATCACATATCGAATTTCTCGTGAATGTTAAATCTCGTGGAAATCTAATTCCGGAATTAGATGGATTGATTGGAGTATGAGTTGCTATATTGCTTGGAGTATGAGTTGCTATATGGCTCGGTGCATGTGTCGAAGGCGTAGTGGTATTAAATCGTGACGTTATCGCTGATATTGGAGTATGTGAAAAATTAGGTGAAGTGGGAGATCGTATAACTGCTTCCGGAGCATCTGAAGGTTTTATAACTGCCTCTGGGGCATCTGAAGGTTGTATCACTGCTTCCGGAGCATCTGAATAGGTATAATCGAGAGGAGTTTCTACCACCTCGGGCGCGTCATGGTAATATGGTGTATGGTTCACGACTTCTGGTGCGTCGGAATAATGGAATTTGGGAGTGAGTTCTTCGAGGGTCTCATGGTAGTAAGATACCGTAGGACTTATGGATCCTACTGATTCATAGATGGATTCGGTAGATTCATAGCGATGATATGGAGGAGGAGTTTCGGATGTGGGGTAGAACCCCTCGTCGAAGCCTAGGACTTCTTTCCACTTAGATACCGATCTTGTCCGTCTCACAGACATTATTACATGTGTAAAGCTTCCTTTGTGATGTGAGGTCGAATTCTCATGGAAGGGTATTTGCAGCTAAATTTTTAATCGGAAACAGTTCAGTCGGCATGAGGTTGTGAACACGAAAAAGGTCAAAATGTATGTATGATGTGGTGTATAGGAAACGGTTAAGAATGATGGATAATAATGCAGCAGATGAATTGCTAAGACAAGTTAAGGTTAAGGTAAGGTAAGGTAAGGTAAGTAAGGTAAGGTAAGGTCAAGGTAAAGAAACTAAGGTATTGGTAGTAGTATACGAGTAGAAAATGTAATGTAATGTAAATGTAGGTTAATGTCGCACAGAAAATGAATTGCGGTTAAATTTCCAAAGTTGCATATGCTCAGTGCCCACACTGAAACGGCACAGCGTGAGCTTTCATGCTGACCCCCCCTATTGGTTATTGGTCATAATGATATCTGCTCCCTGTAACTGGCAAAGCGAACGAGACCAAAGCATTTTTACATTCAGGCATTAGTAGTTCTGGGTGAAGTATGATGAGCTTCATATCGTGAAATCTGACATGCATAGGGTAATAGCTTATAGCTATATCCACTGTGACAAACCAGATCAGCGAGAATGTTTCCAGAGGAATGGAAGCTTGGAAAGCCCTTCGAAATTTGCTGGCTGTGCTTTGTCTACGTCTCTCTTCTCCTGTGAAGCCCTACACAACTCTTCCATTAGAATGATTAGATGTTTCTAGATTGTTTAGAATAAAATGAACTGGTGTTGTGTCCATTATCATAGCCAAGTATGTATGCACCACGATGCAGGGTAATACCAAAATCCATGTAGGTTGACATCGTTTTCATTTTCCATTTGTTGGTTCTGTTGAACCTTGAGATGTATTTTGCGGACAATTGGTCAGAAAATGGCAAGGTTTGTGTACTCCGTATGTCAAAGCATGAGATAGGAAATAACAAGTGTGGGAGAGATGATTGTGTAAATAAATGTAAGAGGTGACATCTCCGCCCTACCCCTGCATCCTCGTACAGGTTCTCCTACTGACCTACCATATGCATGTGGTCAATGTCCTGCTCGCCGGCAAATTTAACTCGAGGGTTCCTGAGCAGACACCTTGTGCATAGAAAAGAGCCATGGTCAGAGTATTTGGTTGGATGTCATAGTAAGGGAACCTACATTATCCCCTGCGTTAAGTGACAGCCAGTCGATGCAGAATGATTCCATCAGACCGGCTCAGCTAATAAGTGAACTTGGTGAATGAAGGTGAGAATAACAAGAACAGTTCAAGTTGAGAGTGGGATGGATTTGAAATTTGTTGATTTGAAATATTGAGTCTTGACGTCTAACGGTAAATTAAATAAATGTTGATTGTTCCAAAGCGGGCTCCTGAAGACACAAGATTTTATCGCATTCGTTTCTTCCGAGCGGAACACTAACTGATAGCAGACTGATAGCTTCGATATGAATCATCTAAGAGACTAAGACGTCCTAAACCCGAGAATACTTGTCTAATAGATCTCACCTTGCTTTCTTGGAAATTGCACTCGAGCGGATTGTGACTATCTCGCTGAAGGTGGATGGATTAACCTTCAGACCATACTCTGTAGGCTGTAGTCGATCCAACGTAAAACATTAACTATATCTTATTCTTTCCTGTTCCTGTACCTCGGTCGAATTCAATTGCCCCGAAATTTCGTCTGATGTACGGTATCATGTACCTTTCTTTGTACAGGGTACCAAAAAGGTACCGTCCGTGAAGGGTTTAGAATAATCAGGGGTAACACGCCATCGGTCCCGTCCTGGCGCTTCGAACTTTTGAACTCACTGAGCCTCAAGTCAAATTGTCAATCCTTTTTCCTCATTTATCTGTAGGATCGTATTGTCCGATTGACTAAGTGCGTCTAGTTCCCTCCCGGGAAAGTCGGCAAAGATTTATCTCTGTTGTCTCCGGATTGATAATTTCCTGATAAATTCTCTCATTATCCGAGTTGGTTCTCGAGTTTTTCATTTGAGCATCTGAGCTCTGTTCCCTGTCTCCCTAAGCAACATTTGAGCTGGTGAGCTCGGGCATCCAAACTACCAAATAATGCAGCTACCACGCCCTGATCCAAGTTTACCTAGGTACCTATCCTATTTAATAGCCTTGGGCCTCCAAAGAACGCCGTTTAAAATCTTGTGCAACAACTTCCCCAACATTCTCCCGAGACAATGGTTAACAGAACCAATTTGGTGCCTGTGTCGGGATTAACTAATATGAAGACGGACATTGGCTTTTTGATATATCGAAAAAACTTTCCGGCTATGTTCGTTCAATTTGAAATAAAATATACCATCGTATCGTATATACCTCCAGTCATCACACTACCACAGCAGATGCCGCTATAAGTGCTGTGGTAGAAGTTGTGCATTGTGGATTTTCTTTGCATTAAAACGTGGCCATCATTCGCAGGTGGCTTAATATTTCCCGCACTTTTGCTTATGTTTATCTATGCATAAGCATATAGCAGACGCCGCAATGGAAGTATGACTTTATTGAATTTGCATCTTTGTCCAGAATGAATTATCTGCTTTTCATGACGGGGCAATGAAATATTATAGTTTCGTATAAAAAGTGGTTCAGGCATCGGAAGTCCGGTATTCCTGGGTGCATAACGACACAAGAAGAAAAACCGATGCTCCTTGTAGCTTTTGTGCCGGTGGTACATACTCCTCATTAACGATGGATGTAGCCTCCATAGTTTCGGGCGCTCCGATGATAGCATTCTGTATGCACGTCAGCAGTCATCCGAACCAAGACTTTGGGCCGTGTTGTTTTCATTTAGACATATCTTTCTCCAAACCTTCATACCACGCATTTTAGCAATCGCCCGCATTTACCATACCTAGTTGCTTTTCATGCTAAGGTAAACGGCGATTTATATTTAATAAAATGGGTGTTTCTCCACGCAACAACAAACAGCAATGTTGTTTGAGTAAAGTGCGATGGTAAAAGAATACGATGATAGTAATAAGTTCCAGCGGCGCGGTCTATAATGCCGCTTATGTCCAGCTTTGAAGTCAGGCATTACTTAGAAGGTTGACCACTCACAGTCCAGATGAAGCACATGATGCTGTGGTGTATAATCCTGCTCAAAGATTCTTGCGTGATGAAGGCCTCATGAATAGAGCATGCTGGCTTGCAATCAACTCACCCCTACCTTTCTTTTTTCAAGTAACAGGTGAACACTACTTCTTTTTACAAGAACCTCGCTTGCCGTTTTCTTTGAAAAGACCATGGAAGGTGCGAATGCAGCATTCATGTTGTCTTGGTATCAACATCAGCATGTGTGGCAGGCGCGTACGTATATACCGTGACCACGGGTAAGAAGATCAGTTGGAAAGATTTAGAAGAATTTGTAGATTAATAGGTAACACGTGGCTCTGCTGATGATGTACGCCATCGGACGAGGCGTCAGTCCATTTTAAGTCAATTTCAAAAGAACCAAAAGCAAGAAGCCTTAAATATAAAGACTGATATTTTTAGTTGAGCTTTCAAACATTCGATGAGGAGCTTTATGGTGAAGATTTATCTCACCGCTTTCCCGACGCGATCTCCCTTCCCTTCCTACTCTACTGATTCACTACTCCTCCCCTCAGAAGCCAAACTCCACCATCCACGCCCCAAAATACCTTCAACAACCAAGAAACTTGCTTATCAACCAATACAACCCATACTTGTCACGCGCCAGGTGGGAAGAAAACTTCGCGGTGGGAATTTGTTCCGATTTTATCTGACAAAGCAACCATGTTTGCTGCTCCTGTTCCCTCGGGGGATGATGGATTTTTGAAATCGTCTTGATGGCTCAGAAAATTCTGCACTATGGGTTAAGCAAAGGACAGATTATTCATTTCCGATGCCCAAAGTGTTTACATCGGAACCCATAGATTCGAGGATGTTCCTGTGGTGATTTTCCCATAGCCTGTCGATATTTGCTTATTTGTGACATCTCTTTCCCACGAACCAATATACATGGTTGGTACATCCACTACCGCATACCTAAAATTCAGATCACCAAACCCATTGACTAGCATCTATCCCGGCTTTCCTACTGCAATTTCGCTGCCTATATAGTTCAACAAGAACTTGTAGAGCATTGAAAACTTTAGGAACGACAACCAAACTCCAAGAAATGATATATCCCCAAATATCCACCAGCCCATAAATACAAGTAAAAGAAATCTATTGATGGATGCTAATAAATTAACAAGATACATACATACACAGAACATCCTCCTAGATTAACATCTCATAAAATCTTTCAATCAAATTTTCTAACTGTCATTAATACAACATAAATATCCATTCTTCCAATATCCTCCTATGCCGACACAAACCATTTCCAGGGATGACCTTCTTGTCTTTAAAACTCGACTTTTTGTCTGCAGTAGAGAAAACAAAGGTGCGATGCTTTCAAATCTAGAGATTCCCGTTTAGGGAAGTTCGGCAGATGATATCGAGGATGATTCATCTAGCTACATAGGCAATGAGAATGAATGATGGCGATCGTAACAAACAGTAAATCTTATGGATCTTGTAGATATTCATCGAACGGTTTAAGAATTGTACACTGTGTTTCAGGCTGATAATCTCGTTGATCTTGCATCGGAACATATACCAAGGCAATTAGAATTGTTTTTTGGAGAATTGTGACAAAATGTTTTATATTCATGTATCAAGTAGATGGGACCTATATACTTCTATGTTGTGCATCAAAGACGCCTAGTTACTGGATTTTCTGGTACAAAGGATATTCTATTGTACCATGATCTAGACCCACACACCAACTCACCTTGACACTAAAGATTAGGGCATCCGAGTAAGATTCTTTTCATCATGTTCGTCAATCACCAAAGAACCGTCACCAGATTCTATCAATGGACCAGCTTCAATGTAACCTCTAGCATCCTCATCCGTTGGCCATGTCCAACCGTCGACACTTTCTACCAATTCCCTTACTTCTTCTTCATAGGGTGTTCCCTTACAGAATACTTTTGTAGCTGTAAGAGTTCTTCTCAAGAGTTCATAACCATTGCGAGTCCACTTCGCCTCAGTAAGTAAACTGTTGTGATGAAGTACCATCCAGTCCACAACAGCTTTGAGACCATCAAGGTCCTCTGCAAGTCCTAGAACACGGACGTATGCATGTAGAATAGCGCCATGTAGTTTATGAGGGAGCACTGAAAATTCAAACTTAGAACTTGTCGAAGATATTTTTGCGAATTCTTCCTTCACAAGCAGAATTGCGTCCGCGAACGTTTGTTTTTCGACCATTCGAAATGATGCAAGCATTGCCTTTTCCAAACATCGACAAATAAGTTGAAAGCCTTTAGGGTCGAGCTCAAGTCCCGCGTCGTGAAAATCTTGGAGTACGGCAGCAGATATTCTCCAAGAATTGACATCATCTTGAGGATCACCAATAATATTAGGATCAATGATAATGCCAGGTCGAGCAAGGGCATCTAAGACCGCGTACCACGTTGGCTTGTATCTAGTTTGGCTGCTTCTTATGAGCTCCAATGCATGAGACAGCGGATTGATACCAGACTTCCTAGATCTAGGCAACGTCCGTGGCATTACCCCATCCGCGTTGATGCTGTTGATGATATTTGAACGTTTTTCATGATGCCCTTGGTCATCACCAAACATTGAAAGATCAGATTGTGGAGGAGCTTGTGGTACAAGTTTATCCGCACACCGGCAAAGTAACGTGATGAAGGCATATATAATGCGAGTTTCCTTCGATGTAAGTTCTGCAGGTGGATCGACGTTATGACCAATCAGATAATTCAAAAAGGTATCTCGTTGTGCACTTTCACGAAGATACTTTATACCATAAGCTATTGACCTAGCATGGCTGATAAGGAATCGCAGACAGTCACTTTCCGGGCGTATACCAGATGTCATCATGGTTTCATACATGACATCTATAGTTGGCGGTGGTCGAAGCTCTTCCTTGTAGAAATCACTGAAATTGTCGCTGAATGGCGGAAGCACTTCCTTACCCTGGCCAGGTAAAACATCTACCGCCCGGAAACGCCCCGTTCTCCTATTCTCGGCTTCGATTTTTTCCATCATAGCATGATAAATGGATGATGTGGGTGTACCACCTAGGCGATGAAAATTCTTAAAAGCACTCCAAGCTTCCTGGACATCACGTGTCGCTACGATTCTTGCACTCCACACGCGAGGGTTTAGAGGGGACGACTTCTCCAAAGAACGCAACTTTCTAATATGAGCTTTGGACATCGACCTAGTATGGATTGTTGGTGTTCCATCATCCTCTTGTCCTCCAAGAATATGATGGACATGAGTTCGAAGATTTGTATTGTATCCAGCTTCCTTCATTTGCCTTATTGCAAACACGACCCTACTCATATCTTCATCTGAAGATCTCTGAGCATCCATACCATCTTGATCAACTCTCCATGGAGGCCAACCCCTCGCCTGCAGGTTAGCTAATCTTGACTCTTCATTAGTCTTTTGCGTTGCAAGTAATACGGCTTGGACAGAATGATAACCAAGCCGATCAATAGTCAAGGGCGGCTTAGTACGATTTGCCAAACTCAAGAGCACTGTCTGAGCATGCCAATTATGGAACATGGATCCGAAAGGTATTGAGCTTGATGGCCGAGAGAGGGCGTGAAGTAATTTATTGAGGAATTCTGAGAATCGACCATGTTCTTTCGGCTCTAAAGTCTCTGACATAGACCCACGATGCAGATTATGGAATAAATATGGAGGGACCATATGGGATATAGGGACGACCGCAGATGGCAGTAACTGTCGAGCATGATGGAGAAGGCGAGAGATGAGAAGCGTAAACGTGGATAGTTCCATGTCAGGTGAAGAAAATGACATTAAATCCTCCGCTTCCTTCTCAAGAAATGACTCGGAAACTTCGGGCCAAGAGCCCCCGGCGCGTTCTTGGGAATTTACCGAAAAGACCCGAGTCCAAGTATAATCAAGAAGTGATCGAAAAGTTTCCACGTGCTTAATCTCATTGCGGAGAATTTCTAGCAATATGAATGTCGGCTTTCGTGAGGGAGAAGACAGAAGTCGTTGTGTCTGTTCATCCGAACCTCTTCCTTGGAGGATGTATGTCCATATGAGGAGATCATCTATAGAGAAACCCCGTTTTCTCAAGCCAAGGGTCATGTCTAGAGTCAGAGGACAGCGCTACATTAACTCAAAGTTAGCAGTGTAGACCTATAGAACTTGATGAAAATACCCTCATGTGCTGCACTAAGATCGTTGGCAAAGCCGATTCCAAGACTTTAAATCTAGCCTTCTCCGATCTAAATTTTTGCCAATATGCTTCCCGCGCGGCATCATCTTGCAAATCTAACCATGTCCCAAGAAACCTAAGACTTGAGACCCGTCGTTTCTTTTTAAGTCTGTTGCTGAAATTCCTTCTCATAGGCAACGATTTAAGTGGTGAATAGTTGATCACGCCTTTCGTCGGTTCAGAAAGTGCTCCATGAATAAATCTCAGGGAGTTTTTGCTATGCTCATCAAGCTCGTTCAAATTAGACGTAGTCCAATTTCCATTCTTTCTGGATTTCAGAAGTTTTATAGCAGCAAGTTCACTGGAGCGTTTGCTCTTCCAATGTTTAATCCGTAGGCTTTTCTGGTAATCAATATGCTCAAAAAAAGTACGCGAAGTTTTATCCCGATCTAACTCGTCCAATTTAGAGGTAGTCGAATTATACCTAGTTGATATTGTTAGGAGCTGATGGCTTGAGCTTCCTTGATTATATTTCAATTCCGTGGGGAGCTGTGGGCAAGATGCGTCAAAATTCATTAAATCCTAAATAATTATAGAGGGGTCTTCTCATGCTTACTTGGAATAATGAAATAATGGATGAGAACCTGGCACGATGCCATGAGGAGGCATTGCCAGATTTCGAAGAATGGAGGCACGATTGCATCCGTTCATATTGTACTGTACAAGATCTCTGTCTAGACAGTATCAAAATGCGAATCTGTCTTGCATTACTGTATTTCAAGGTATTATATTGGGTACAAAGTGTATTTCCTCGAAATGAAACAGAAATGCAGTGGGGAAGAATGGATGTAGTGGATTGGAAGTATATGAAAGCTGCAGGAGAAGAATTGTTGCTTCACAGGTGAAGTGAGGGTACCATGAATATCAATATCAAATCCTCAGAAATAATTGTATGGATGACTAATAGCAGGAATTCCCGTGACTGCATCAGCCACTTTTACTACTTTAGGTTTAGTACCAGTGGCTTTTCTAAGCTCTGCGCTTAATTTGTCATGTCCGTGCCTTTTGGTCTTTGCTCTGCCATTCCGCCCGTCTGCCTCATCTTTCAGAGCGAGCCCGGCAACCAATATTGGAGAGAGATTTGAGGAACGAAAGAAACAATAAACATCCAATACAGTTTCTTACAATAATTGCAACAATTTTCCTTTCAAGGGAGCGATACAGACATTACGACTTCTTATTTTTCCCATTTCTATTTTTCGCTTTCAAATTACATATTGAAGTACTTTTGAATGAGGACTTCAATGACTTTGCTGCGCTGAATTTTGGTTTTCCTTTTCAAACCCCCAAAGTATTCATCTACCTCTCGTACCCATACCTGAAAAAGGAAGAGTCTCCTTCATCGGTAACACACATACGTTTTGCGATCGCGACGCGAAAAAAAAGGAAATCCAAAAAAAAACTTCGAACCGCGAGACTACGTGATGGCCTCGACCAACGGGATTCTCAGTCCCCCCACTCAACCGCATTTAGACATTGCACTATCAGCGAAACGAAAACGCGACGATAACATTGATCAGCCCGCTCTCATAAATGGCATCACTAACGAATCCAAAATCGCAATTACAGAGGAACCAGCGACGATAGATACACAAGAACTTGTCCAGGATTTGATTGATGTACTGAAAAGGTGAGTTTGACATTCGCAGGAACGTTCCCAACCTGCTCATAAGAGATAGTCCCCTTGTATAGTATAGCATAGCATCAATCCAACTCAGTCCTCTTATACTGATTTGAGAATCCCTAGTCATGACCCTTCGCCCTCGATCTTAACACGAACCCTTCCCGAACCAACCCCATCGGTTGAACCCCAAGCCAAGAGACAAAAGTCAGATGGCCCGACTGACTCGCCAACTATTCTCTCACGCGCGTCGGCAAATAAATATCTCACTATTGATGAGGTTCTCAAAGATATTGATACTGCGGCATCCGACATTATCGAGAGGCTACAGTTATCCAATGGCGCGAATCGCAACCAATATATACCTGTTCCCGCTGGACAGTCGGAACTATCTGCCAAGATTTTGGCCTTCAAGAAGAAAGCTCATGAGCTTGTGCGCAGAGAAAAGGCCAACATAGGACTACAAGCAAAGGCACACAGCAACCAAGTGACCAATTCTAGCAGTTATTTGGGAAACAGGAATTTTGGATCCAATGCTAATGCGCCAGTCACTGCTACATCGGAAGACAGCAAAGTGGTTCTTACACTCTACGGCAACGCACCGCAACCGAAACAACTTTTCTCTAGCTTACAGATTCCAATAAATGTTGATGGAGAGTCAATTTCTCAGCCTCTCCGCGAAGCTGGCCTACCGAATGGGATTACAACTACAAAAATTGTTCCCATGCAGCCCACGAGCTTGGTTGATGATAAGAAACGTTCCCAGACTCTAGGGGAGCTATTCCCAACACCTCCAAACATTCATCCCTTAAAACCTCCCAAGCTTTCCAAGAGCCCATTGCCGACATCAATCGAAGGATGGCACCAGCCATTGGTTGCCGATCCACGAAGCAATATCTATTCGAAGCAACCAGTTACCACTGGACAATGGCTTGATTATAGCAATACCTCATCGCTCAGTCCAGAACGAAAACGCATTAGAGTCGCAACCTCTAACGAAGATGTTGAAGCGGAGCTTGACTCGAACGAAGTTGATGCTGCCAAGTTGGATGCTTTGTTTCGGAGTGCATATTCAGGATTTGCGCCAACCAAGGATGATTCAAAGGCTATCGCCCCGGAAAATGTCTTGAACAAGATCTGGTGGCAACGTGTAGGTGAAAAGCGATGGGGAGATATAGTTGGAAAGGCTGAGGGGCTGAGCGATGGCTATCCCACAGAACCAAGTACTGATAGCTTAGCTTTCACCGATGCGGAAATGGAAGAACTTGAGCAAGCAGTGAAAGAATCTCCCGATGCCTCAATTGATCCTAACTTGATGTCTACCGAACTAAAGGTGGAAAAGACCGCAGAAGAAAAGGATGTTGAGGAAATACTGCAGGATATCTCGGAATTGCTAGAGACACTCAACTCATACCAAAGGAATCGGCATATGTCTAACGCTATGGGGCGTGCTGTTGGCGTGTTTGGAGCATCTGAAACCACATTCATGGGAACCCCTGCAAAGCCCGGTGATTCGGAAGTGTCTACATATGAGATCCTCAAATCACAGTTGGCAGTGATGGTTGCTATGTTACCGCCATATGCTGTTGCGAAGTTGAATTCCGACCAATTGGGCTGGAACTCAGCATCAGTACCAAAATGGAAGTTCCGTATGACCGAATCAAAAAAGGTGTCATGGAGGAAGACGAGATGTCAGCTCGTGCAAAAGTGGCGGCCAATGAGTGCAGCGTCAAATACACGCCCCACTACTAGCTCTTCCTTACACAGAAGCTCTTCTTCTGCTGCACTTTACGGCAATCAGTACTCGTCATCGCGACCAGCTCCAGCTCCTACTGGACAACATTACGCTACTGTCCAAACCCCGATCAGACCGCCGCCAAGTAATTTGCAGCGTCCGCCTGCTACCGCACCTGTGCCTACTTCCTACAACCAGCGTGCACCATCGGCTCCATCTTATCGTCCAGCGGCTTATCCAGGAGCTGCCTACCCGCATCAGTTCAGAACGCCGGGCCCGGCGGTACCGCAATATGCTCAAGCAAACGGCCAACAGCAACAGTATCAACACAATACGCCCGCTGCTTCCTATACACGCCCTCCAACTCAACCATACCAAAACATTCCACAGTCTACGCCTCAAGCGGTGCGATATCCAAGTCAACCATCATATGCTGCCCAGCAACAGCCAATTCAAAATGGTGCCGCGTATCCTCAAGCTTACGGGAATGGAGCACATGTTGGCCGACAGAGCTCGCCTCAAAAACCTGTGTATAATCAGGCAAACCATCTTTCTCAATCTCAGGTCCGCCCTCCATACTCAACACCTGCACCGCCCATTCTACCACCAAATGCCACGAGACACATGCAAGGTCCATTAGCTCAACCACCTGTCATGAACGGCTCCTCCCAATCACCTCAGCCTCAACCTCAGCCTCAGCCTCAGCCTCAACCGGCTTTGCCACCGCAACCACATCACCAAAACTCCTACAGCAACATGAGTACCTTCTTGACTTCAGGCGAGCAACAGACTATAATTGACCGTCAGCGGGCACAAATTGTTCAACAACAGGGGACGCAACATCAAGCCAGAAACTCCGCTCAAGCAGGTGCTCTAGGATCACCACAGCCACAAATCAATGCTAACAGTGCCGTTGCGGCAGGTTTATGAAGTCATTAATTTAATGATGTTTATGTAGGGATCTTACTAAGACATTCATGTCTGGATAATCATAGGATGGCTGGTGCAATTATTGGGAGGAAAGAACCCACTTCCAAGTCGAGAATTTTTCTTCTTCATACTTTATGCACACAGTAGTTTAATTTTCATGGATGAATGGCGTTTATTAGGACTGTTCAATTGAGGACGGTGCATGGATGGTAGGCAAGTAAAGGGAAGCGGTCAGGAATGACTAGATAGATGGTCTATGATCGATACGTGTTCTTTAGGGTTTATAGGGCTGTACGTACAGCTTATGTGTTGCGGGAGACTGTGTCAAAAACGTGTGTAAGATTATAGATCTTTAGTTTTTCAAATTCGTTGAGATGAAATAGTTTTGTTCATTTGAGTGATTGTAATGTGTAACCACATAATTCATTTATGCTGATGAGTCGCGAAATGCTTAATATTAATACTCCTGCTAAGGATATAGAGCTGAGTATCCTTTAGATCAATATACATTTGTTGGGGTTATTTTCCTGACACCATCAATGTCCCCACCCATGTCCATTCCTATACCTCTTGTCCTCCAGCGATGACAATGGCTAAATTACAAGATACAGTACACTAAAACAATAATACAGTCGAACTTTACACATTCGAAACTCAGCACCTATGTCCACTTGAAGTGGTCAACCCATCTAGATTAATCAGCCGCCTCAATAGCAATCAAGCACTGGAGTAGACCGCCGTACAACCTCTTCCGCACTCAATCTTCTGTTCTACACTTACATTTCTTCCTCCAATCTTCACCGTCTTCCTCGGCGTAATCTGGAAGCGATGTTCCTCCCTCCTTCCTTTCTCCCTATCCGCCGCCAAATCCAGTGGTTGTATATATACCGGCTGACTAACATTATTTCTTCTTCCTGTGCCTAGTTGATAGTGCTCATTTCCGCCCCACCATAATACATCAGCACCCCAATTCGTGTCATTTGAACTGGATTTAGAAGTGGCGTTTACATTTGTCACATTGTTCATCACGGCAGAGGCGTGAGTGCTGCCGATTGAGAGGCTGGAAAGTCGGATAGGGATTACGGTTTGTGCGGCTTCGTCATATTCGAAGAGGCCAGAAAGAGCTTTCATTTTGGAGGGGATGCCTTGAACGTGTGTCCAGCGGCCGTTTCCAAGGGTGCCGTAGATTCCTTGTCCGCAGGCCCAAGTGTCGGCGGTGATGCGACCTAGATCCAAGGGAGGTGCTTCTTCAGATTGGCCAGCGACTCGGGTAGCGTCGACGGTGAAGAATGTGTTGACTCCACCTGCGAAGACGCCTGTTACCCGAGGAAGCAGATTTGTGCCTTTGTAGAGCCGGTCGATAGGGACTAGGGAGGGAGCATCAATGGTAGATGATTCGGAATTGTATTCAAAGCCAAGTTGACCAACGGAGTTATCACCAAAACTAAAGACTCGTCCTTGTGTATCGACTGCCAGGGAGTGGTAGTCACCGGTAGCAATTTTTGCGATATCGAATCCTTGAAGTGTACTTATGTGATGAGGTTGGTCGTATCTTCCGGAGGGTCGCGATATCCACGTTAAACCAGGGACACCGAGCTGCCCTTTGGTAGGGTAGTCTTCAGAACCGGATGCGGCAGAGAAGAGGCGACCTTTGGAAGTGAGAAGAAGGCAATGCTCAAGACCGCTGCTAATATCAGACACCTTTTCTCCCCAAACCAAATTATCTGGGTTCATTGTCCGATAACCTATTTGAGATTGACTGCTCCAAAATGGTATCCAAGAGCTTTCTTTTGGCTTTGGCTCTAATTCCTGATCTGCCTTTGAGGCTGAAATTGAGTACACCGTGCCTTTTGACGACAGTGCTATGATGCGATCTTTTGATATAGCTAACTTGACAAGATCTCTCCCTTTCAGTGTTGATGTAGGCTCCTTACAATCTGGCGAGTATCCTATGCCCCATTGCAGCAGATCACCGTTCTCAGTAATTGCTGCCGCAAAGTTACGGTCTAACTTAAGATCTCGAATAATCTTTCCATCAAAATATGGTATTCGTCTTGGTGTCTTGATATTAACTTCGTCAGATTCGGGTGCAACAACTCGGCCCGTATTTGATCCCCATGCATATACTCCTGGATTCTCCCAACTCCTCTTCACTTGCAAATGTTGTGAGCTTATTTGGTCTCGATTCTCTTCTTTTGTGCTGGTGTTCTTCCTCTTCTTTTCGAATTGCAGCTCCGCCGGAGTAGGAATCTCTTCTGCGTGTAGAGCTGGTGGATAACCCGACGCATATAGGCCTCCAGCGCATATTGTCACTGATAACAATAACGCAGCTCTCTGTGATCCCAAAGATCTACTTGCAACTGCAACTCGGGCACCACTGGAGCCTCCAATACTTCTTTTCTGGAAGGCAATTGGGTGATTGGAATGTCGATTTGCTCGTTGGATAATCGTACCACATCTTGGAGCTACTTTATTCGATAACATCATTTGTTTTCATGTGTATTTAACAACAATTGGGAAACAGGCTTTGTATGATAATGTTTGTTAGACTCTCGACTACCCCTCATGCCATAAAGTTCTCTTCAGCCTTGTGCTTCAATGACGAGATGATTTGAGATCTTGAGCCAATAACATCCTAGTGCATGTAAGCCTTATGGTCCGTGCCAATCCCCATTAACAAACGGGGTGTTCCGTATATTTATAACACTTCAGCCTTACCGGTTGCTCTTCAACTTCAATGTAAGGAACCGGCAAAATGTATGAAGATGCGTGGTACAGTTTTGTACCGGAAACACATTCCAAAAAGGACGATGTCGTTCCGCAGGCATCACAACATCGTCGCAAGGAATCTCTGTTGCAGCAAACTAACGTACGTCTCCCTCGCACTCTTAGAGGCATCGTGTTAACGAGTTTATACAGGGTAACAATCAGATGTTGGACCAGAACTCTTCATTGCTGGGGATATATGAGGACGAACCTTCATCCAGAGAACCCCCAAAAGCTACATTGGCAAGAAGAGCAAAATCATATAGCGATTTCTACGAAGTAGCTATGGCATATATAAACAAGGAAGTGAACGATGGCAAGACAGAGAACGAGCGCGATTTCGAAGCAGGGGAACCTAAGATTCCTCTTTTTGAGGAGCGTTACAGCGCGCTCGAGGACGATCTTTTGGACGGAAGCCTGGAGGAGTATCAGTATGTAGATGCAAGTAGTAAGAACCAAATCAATACACTGACCTATGTGAAGGTTATATCTAGATCAATTAATCCTATCGGAGCGTCACCTTGACAACCTTTTAAGTGATACTTCAAGTGCGCTTGATACACTAGCCACCCTGTCAGAATCATTCAAGAATGTCGAAGCGCAAACCACAGCCTTTCAAGCACAATGTGAGGATCTTTTGGAAGAACAAAAACGTATACGTGAATTGGCGGATGAAGTCGGGACAGATTTGCAATACTATGCCTATCTTGAACCTCTGACTCGTCGCTTGAATGCCCCTGGTGCTGGAAGGCTTGTCAAAAATGGTGACTTTTTGGAAATGTTGGAGAATCTCAATTCTTGTATCGAGTTCATGGATCAGCATGTAGGTTTTGTCTTTCATATGTTCAGAAGCCTGTGCCCCTGGAAGTGGCTTCGTCAAAGTCTGTTAGACATTGTGTTGTACATGCTACTGTTGTTTGATTTGTTTGTCAATTCCTTCACATGTTATCTTGTTGGGTTGTGCTTTGAGTACCTTCTATATCAATGAGCCACGTAACGTCATATCACAAGGCGTTCAGCAACATTTAGATAAGCCCTGGAGTCTACGTGACTAACTATTTATAGCCAAACTATAAAGACTCGACTGTATATAAGACTCGCTACACGACTCTTTTAGATAAAGCCCTCAATCTCGTCCAAGTTGCCTTCTCAAATGCTCTTCGTGAGGTTTCAGACGATGCCTCGAAGCAGCTGAAAGCGAAAGAACAAACGGAGACAAATCAATACATTCTTCTCTATGGCAAGTACGAATCTGCTAAGGGGAGTCTAGGCCTTCCCATTGAACGTCTTCTGACCACTGAGGAATTTGCGTTTGGAAGAAGGGGAGATGTGGACCGGACACCGTACATCCAACAATGGCATAACCTATATCAGCAATTACTTGAGGCCTATATAAGATCTCGTGATCCCGTCGGACCTCTTGTTCTTAAAAATCTTCAAAAGTTCGCAACTATTTCACCTCTCCCTGACAAGGAGTTTGAATTATTTGCTAGACGATGTGTGCAATATGTCTTCGATACATGCCAGAATGAGTTGAAACTGGCAGCTAAGTTCTTTCAGGACGGGCCTCTTATGGCGGATTACCCTCCGCCTCCTAATCCATGGAATATGCCTAGTGTATACCTCGAGAAGTTGGAGGAGAGCTGCTTGTCTCATGTTAAGACGCTTAATGGATTCCTAGCCCCATACTTGAGCAATGGTGACTTGCATCGAGTTTGCGATTTGGTTACCTGGCTTGGTGACACTTTTATCTCGGCGGAGGCACATGAAGATGAGAGTCGCGATGGACAAAGATTGGCTGCACAAGTTTTGTTGAGCGTTCATCTATGGCCATTAGCTGATCAGCTTTTTATCATGGAGGCAAGAAAACTCGAGCTCTTCAAATCATCGCCGGAAGATCTCAAGATTATCTTTTCAAATGCTCCAAAGTTATCCAATGAGAAAGTCATTCCAACTAGTGGCTTGCGAGTAGATACAAGTCTTAAAGCTCCCGAGGAAGGCACATCTGTCGAGGCTGGAGTTTCAAACGCGTTTCCAACGGTCAAGACGGCCGTTAGTTTGCTCGTCTTATATAACGAAAGTATGCATGAGAGAACAGTAAGTCGCCGAACATGTAGATCCAATCGTGAGTACTCTGACATTTATATACAGCTTAAGAAAGGCGATGTTCTTTACGAGATCGTACATCAAACTACTGAATCTCTCCAGAGAGCCGCCACGGTCATAAAACGAACTTCAAATAACATCATGGATGCACAACTTTTCCTCATCAAGAATCTAATGCTCATCGAGAATCTGTTCATGACTCACGAGATCCCAGACTCCATTCGTCAATCTGCCGAACTTGACTTCACTCCTCTATGGGAAACCCTCAAGGAACTCCAATCACGCCATCAAGTGTTTAATCCTCTTGCATATATTAGACCAATTATCAAAGGCCAATTGCTTCCTGCCTTGGTTGATAAAGTACTAGATGCAAGGAAGGAATTAGAGAAGGTTTTGGTGCAACAAATTACGGCATTTACCAAGCACTGGCAATCTAGGTTATCAGAAAAGGATCCGAAGAAGAGAGATCAGGTAGCAACGGCTACACAGGAACTGGACGTTTTGTTAGAGAGTGTCTTTGATGAAGAGACTACAAGAGCGGCATTGTTGAGGATGATTAAAGGTGGTGAAGAATATTAGAGTGTGGAAATGGACATAAACTGCCATCGTCTGATATCTAGCATAAAGCTGTCAATCAATACCATCTTGAACATCATCATTTATTTTACTCTGTCTAATAAGCCATCCCATCATAATCCTCAATATTATGTAAACGGCTAGTGGAACCCCCCATATACCATCCTCATCCCCTAAACATTTTAGTCTCTGATATATCCCCACTAATACAATATCTCTCGCAATACACATTTCTCGACCATTGTATGCACCACCTTCCTTTAAAATTATACTACCAATAATTCTAAGCTAAACATTCAACTAGAATCTAGTTTTCGAATCTCCCCCAACTTTTCCCTACTTCTCCTCCGTATCATACCATTTAAACCCATCCTCATGGTATCGCATGCCTATCTTTCGCTCCACCGCCAACTCCATTCCACAAATAACCACACCACTCACTCATCCGCCTCCCTCCCTCCCTCCCTCCCTCCTTAAGTTTCAGCTCCCCGAAGGCTCTGCACCTCAGCCCAGTTGAAACGTCCTCACACCTTCGCTTTCCCCAATACATTCCTCTTATGCCTTAAAGCCACACGCATTCATTGAATGAATGATTCGCAACATGCTACTATCCTATCACAAGCCGACAATCAATGGATATGGTAACCATCTCGGAATTGAGATGGCTCTGTCTGCATTGAATAATTCCAAGTCCAGTCAGCCGAACACAAACATATATACACGTACCGGAAGTATGTATGCCTAATGGAGAAGCGTTGATAAGCACACAGGCATTAAGTTACTCGGTAAGTCAAGTCAGGAAATATAGTATGAACCTCATTAACTAAATTGGTATATTGTTAACGCATAATAGCCCAATGGGCTTTTAACCCCGCTTTAAAGAAGTAATTCCATGAAAGCTCCTCTGGGTATGAACAATTTGAGAAACCACGTTCATTTAAATCAATGCCCTCAAGCGACCCACGACAAAACGCCCCGCCAAACAACTATCGTTCATTTATTCGCCGCTGAAAGCTTGTATCTTCATGTCACAGACGCCACTCTTTGTCCTAATGTCCCTCATCTCTTCGTTCTTCTGACTTCACAGCCGAAGTTTACGCGTTGTAGTGTCTTTCCCTAGCCTCATTACAATACTTGTATGTAATGTTGTCCGTGGTATCTCCAGTTTTTGTACACCACTCGCATGATTGGAACCATAATGTATATTCAACCATTCG